AGGGCCCCTTGCGGGGCTAGGCCACACGCTTCTTAGGGTGACACCAGATTAGGTTTGGTCACACACCACCGCCATTTCTACATCTTCATAGTCTAGTGTCGGCGACGATCACGCCCGTAGAGTGTTATCGTGAGGTAGAGCGTATCGACCCCAGATATACCAGCGGTTGCCGTCGCGTTTCTGTCTCAGATGCGGACAAGATGAGCGCGACCCGGGGTTCAGTGCGCTCTTGTCAGCTACGCTCATGTCCAACATCCTCGACGTGTTCAACCCTCCCCCCAGCGGGCCCACCACCGTCGCCACCGGCAACGACTGCTTGCCGTGTACATTAGTGCAGGCGACGCTTGCCATTGGTGGGGGGCTCTACCTCTTCAGCGGGCGCCCGTTTCAAGACGCTAAGGGCAAAGTCGATCTCGTCAAACACCCGCTCTGGTGGCAACGCCTGGTGCGAGGGGCGCTGGTGGTGGTGGTGGCCCTCGGTTGCTACCGCCTCGGCGAGGCGGCGGTGATTGCCTACGACAAGTGGGAGAAGCGCCGTCCCCCCCGTAACTAGAATAATGCCTATAGTGCATCGCCATTCCCAGTTGGTTGGTGTCAGCGGGTGAGACCTGTGTTGCCTAACCGTGTGCCCTTAGCGTTACGTCGGGTTTGGCAGCAACCATGCGCTCGTGGCACATGGAGAACGGGGGCGGTCGAGGGTGACAAAATAATACTTTAAATCATACGGGGGCGCAGATAATAAATATTCGGTGGGGCTAGAGCGCTGAGTGTGACTACCCCCTGTTCTGAACTACTTTATAGGCTTCATATTATCCGACGACGACGACGCCGCTCGGGTTTGGCACAGTCGCCTAACCACAGGGTGGTCTTCCGCAGGGTTCGCGGAGGCCGACAGTGGTGTCGGAAATGTCCCGCCGATTGGGAACCCCGGTCGGCTTCTCCGGCGGCCGGTGAGAGCCCCCTAGGATCGTCCGTGATGGTAATTATCATTTTTGTGAAGGCAGGGTCACGGATTCATAACCGTGTTGACAACCATGCGTGATGATATTATTGCGAAATAAGCCTGCCTCAAGCCCACCAGCCGCCACCGGAACGTATGGAAGACAGATACACGCTACCTACAGGAGCAACCCGTGAGCAATATTTGTGATAACGCTTAGGGCGACATCGAACCATTTTCGGATGCCGCTGCCTTGTAGTATTTTCTCCCACTTACCTCCTCCCCCCCGCCGCCGCCGCCGCCACCGAGAAAATTGGTGCGGACACACCGGTGTTTTCCCAATCGAGGAGCGGAGCAACGGGGCTCGTCACGCCCTCCCCAAGCTCCTTCCCCAGAGAATATAAATATTGCGGGCTACCCAACCATTAGCCGTGCACTACGACCCACCGAGACCCTGTCAAACACGCCTTTTTGGTGAACGCTAACTCAACAAATACCCTCCCCTGACAATACCAACGCCGCCGGCTTAAGTTTTTGTTTGCTCGTTTCACCTGTTATCCAGGATTTGTTTGTACACGACCGTCATTTAAGGTGCTGTTTTTTTCCTCACCGCCACCGACAAATATACCACCAACTGGAACCCAGTGATATACTTACCCGCCAAAGATGGACCAGCAATTTTTGGTCGACTCGCTGTTGGACCCCCAACTTAACAGCCAAGCCCAGGCTGACGACTTGGCCGCGGGCCAACACCCGCTCCATGACCGCTTCCGCAACAACCAGCCCCGGCTGATGGAGTACGGCACCCAGGTGGTGTTGCCCCAACCGTTGGCGCCGCAGCAGATGCCGGTGGTGTTCCGCCCTCAGCCGACGAGCCCTAAACACCAGGGGAAAGTCGACCCTCAACACCAGCTTCAACACCACCAACACCAGCACCAACACCAGCACCAACACCAACACCAGCACCAACACCTTCAACAGCAGCAGCAGCAGCAGCAGCAGCAGCAACAGCAGCAGCAACAGCAGCAAGGAGGTGGTGGGCTCATGTCGCCGATCCCGCCGTTGCACATCCAGCAACAGTTGATGAACACCGATAAGTCGCCGCCCCAACCTCAAGCGCCGCCTCAGTTGCAAATTGAACAACCTAAGGAACCGGGCACCGAGCAAGTGTTGCGGTCTCTGTGTCTGCGGTGTAAGAAGGAATTTGACCAACCCATAATCATTCCTCAGCTGAGTGACGGCGGCCGGCAAAAGTTCCTTGCCGAGCCCAAGATCTTCAAGTTGTGTCAACACTGCCGTGATTTGCAACGCCAACGTCTGCGTCGTTGGCAAAAGAAGACCAAGGACAAGCAAGGTGCCTGTCGCCGTTGTGGTCTGGACATTCCCCCTGAAGAACAAAAGTTTGTCCTTTGCCCTGGCTGTCGCCAGAACTTGCGTACACGTAAAGCTAATCGTGCCGCGCAAGGAAAATGCGTACATTGTCTGGGACCGCTAGATCTATCGATAATTACCGACGAGAAGAAGCTCCTCAACTCCAACAGTCGTCGTGAAAGAACCAAATATGGCAACTATAAAGTGTGTCAACGGTGCCGTGAAAATGACAAGATTCGTCGAACTAATCTTGAAAAGATGGGCAACTGTAACCGTTGTGCCAAACAGTTGGAGACGCAAGATATTGGCAAGCACAAGGTGTGTGCCAGTTGCCGCAACCGCAAGAAGAAGTTGAGTCAGCTGGGTCCCAGCACTCAGCGCAACCTGATTCTGGGTCCCAGCACAGCGATGGGAGTGTCCCAGCAATTATTGGGTATGGCGGGCAAGGCGCAGATGCCGTTGCAGCCGCCGCTGATGCCGCAACTCGACAACCAGATGCTTCTGGGGGTGCCCCACCACCTCCCCCAACCGGGAGACTCACTTATTGCGGCGGCCCTGGCGGCGGCCAGCCACGACCACCAAATGATGTCGCAGGCGTCCTACGTCACTGTCCCGATGAACCAATACTCCGACTTTAACGCCCATGCGCAGGCGCAGGCGCAAGCTCAAGCTCACCAGTACAACCAGGCGTTGGCTCAGGCGCAAGCCCAACAACAACAGTACTCGCAGATGCAGATGCCCCAGAGTATGTTGCCTCCTCGCCAGAACTAGTTTTATTTGCTTTGTATCATATGTATAATTATTATGTTTTCTTTGAGTGAGAAAATGGTAGATAGCGTCGTGCCGAATTTACGAGGGGGCATCCCGCCGGGGCCCCTACTCGCCGTTAATAAGGGCATCAGCGGCACTGGTTGTGAGTGCGACGGCTCACGAGCGTTGTCCGGAAACCCTGGCCTTTATTCCAATGCGCTCGGGGTCGCTTAGCACTGTCGGACGAAATCAAATCGACAAGGTTAGAGTTAGCCGAAATTTTTGGCCACGGTGGCCTCGCGATTGCTGGCGAGCAAGTAAAAGTGAGGCTGCCCCCACCTAGTAACGTAAGGTGTCAATCTTTTGCAGGGCGATCCACGGGCTACCCTAATTCGGAAACATGGTATTGTTCGTAACAACTGCCGTGACCTTGACGTATGCCTATGTTCATTACCAAGCCTCAGAAAATATCAACAACAATGTCGACAGTAAGTATCACAAAGCACGCCACCTATCCAAGAAAATCGCCAATCAGTGACCCACTTGAAGTAGCTGGCATCACTATAGTGAGACATTGCTCCTACGGCGATCATAATTTGGCTGGACCCGTGCGGGGAACCTCCCCAGGGCGAGTAGGTGCGCCCCTATGCAGCCAGTGTCTCACCCGCTAATTGATCCCATCCATTGTCACCTTGACTGCCAATGGTAGGACTAGCCGAATAAGGGGCTTGGGTAAGACACCCCTGACCGTCGCGATCATGGCTCCGTTGCCGCGGGGGTATCGGGGCACATGTGTTTGGTCGGCGAGAAGCGACAACAAAAAATAAAGTCTCGGCCAACTGCCTACCGGCAAGATAAAAAAAAAAAAATCAACCTTTGATCCAACTAAGGATTTACTTTTGGGAATGTGTAACGCTGCGACGACGTAAACCCCCTAGCATCTTCTAGCGGGGACCCTTTAAGCTATTGAGGCACCGCGTCGCTGCATTTCCGTATTGCTTTCAAGCAAGCGGACGCGCCCCTACGTACATATAAAATTTAGCCGCCGAAGGATCAGAGCGAGTCTTCGGAATTCTCTATATCTCCGCCACATCAGGGTGCTGCTTCTGGCAGACTCATAATCCGAGCCACCTCTTTTACACTTCAACCCCTTTCCCACCAGCTGGGAACCCCTACCCCCCCCCCTGTTGACCCTAAGCAAAAGCAATACGGACAAAATTTACACAGCCGCGGTCATGGTTCGACCAGCGTTATCTTTCCTTGTCTCCGGTCGTCAGGCAAATCTCTCACCACCGTGGTTGGTACCATGCCATTTTTTAATTTAACGCGAGATCTCGTCGACCACGGGCGTCTAATGGTGAGGGGCAATGATCCACCTGCTAACGTCTCGCCTTCAGTTTCCTGTTTGTTTCCTATTACTCGCAGTAGCCGTAGGATCTCCCCCATCTGTCTCGGAGATCGTGTCCTCCCCTCGTGCCGCATAAACAATTCATTACCGGGGTCTATGGCGTCACCATGATTTGATGGGGTTCTTTTTTTTTTTCTCGGAGTTATGTTACCATGACCGCACCGGTTGCTCCAAGCGACGGTGAATTACGAAACATCCTAGACTTCACCCGGTACCCATACGTTTCCTAACCCTAGTCGCCGTTACGTATCCTTTTTTGTTTACTCTTCCCTTAGCCACTGTATACATTTGACATCGTCAAAATCGCGAGTGGTAGCGCGTGTTGTTCTTTTCTCACCCGTCCCCCACGGACCTCGCCTCATGCTCCACTGCAATCTGTCTCAAGCGCTGTTGGGGCTGTCGAAATCAGCAAAGGACAAGGAGTTGCCTCCAGTGCCTCTGCCGCGTGATGATGTCGATGCCACTCGCATCCTAACCGCAAAAACCCTTGGACGCAAAAACTTTAAGCACTTACAGATCAACTCATCCCCTGAGAAACTGCTGGGACCGCTACTGGCCCCCGACCCGAGTGCACACGCCGCCACCTCCCCCATCATAAACTACGATGTTTCGCTGCTTCGTCTGAGGCGGCAGCGACCCCCACCCACCCTCAATTTACAGAAGCGACTGGTGACAAACCCGGAGGTACCGACAATCCTGATGGACGCAGTGCCAAAAATAAGCCCTCAATTGGTTCTGCGTCCCGCCCAAGACCTCAACTCCCAATTGCATAGCCTTCTGTTGGGCGACCATGGTCTGCGGCGAAAACAAACCGTGATTCTGTCCATATCTCCGAAAAAGCTGACTCTGCTGTCACCATTGGACCCCCACACGCCACTGGGTTCTGCAAGTCAAATTCTGGGGTCAGTGCTGGTGCTTCAACTGACCATGAGCAGTCCCTTGGCCACCAAGCTGCTGTTCAAAATTGAAAATAGCAATGATCTTATGTTCCTCAAGGACTTGGGACTGGGCAATTCTGGTACGGTGCTGAAGGTTGTTCATTTACCCACCCAAACCACTATGGCTAAAAAGATTATCCCCATCGATCCGAATACAGCAGTTCAAACCCAAATCATACGGGAATTGCGGATTTTGCATGAATGCCACTCACCTTCAATTATCGAGTTTTACGGAGCCTTTGTCAATCGAAACAACATTGTCATCTGTATGGAATACTGCAATTGTGGGTCACTTGACAAAATTTTGCCATTGTGCAACCCGCAACAATTTCCCGATTACGTGCTTCGGAAACTTGCTTACTCAATGCTTACCGGTCTTGAATATCTTTATACTGCGCATAAAATCATCCACCGTGATATCAAGCCGCTGAATGTTCTCATGACTCACAGAGGCGAGTTCAAGCTTTGCGATTTTGGTGTCCTGCGCGAGTTGACGAACTCGCTTGCTCAAGCCGATACCTTCGTTGGTACCCTGATGTATATGAGTCCCGAGCGCATTCAAGGGCTTAAGTATGGGGTAAAACTGGATGTCTGGCTGATGGGGTTAATGCTCATTGAATTGGCTCTGGGACAATCAGTATGGCGTGACGAAGATGACGATGATGAACATCGCATGTCGGGGCCGAACGGTATTTTAGATTTGCTTCAGCGGATCGTCAACGAAACACCCCCTCTGTTGACGGGGAAAAAGAACCCTGTAACCGGTAAGCCTTACGACCCTCAACTATGTGAGTTCATCGATTACGCTATGGTGAAAGACGAACAGCAACGCAAACTGCCTCGCGAATTATTGGCTAATAAACATGGGTGGCTTGATGGTGTCGGAGACGGACTTTACGATAAGGATGTCAGGGCTTGGGCCAAAGGCATCCGCAAATTGCATATTCAGAAGGCTGAAAAGAAGTTGGAAAGTCAACAAGCGCGATGATTTTATTTCTTCTGCAAAATCGTTAATCTGACGATATAACTCTTTATAAGAGTGTCTGCATACTACTTCTATTGAACCGTTGCAGCACTCACCAAATTCTATTCAATTCATAGGGACATATTTAAAGACGACTTTTTTAACGCCATAATTCTCGGATCAACTACTTCGAATCATTAAGATTACGATCAAGTAATCTTAGCGGCAGTACAGAAACCCTGGCACCCAACCACATAAACCCTGTAACATGACTGCATAAGTTTTCAAATGTGTCCACATAAATTGGAACACTTCCTCACATGAATAGGTGGAATTGCATCAAGCGATGACGCCAAAGTCGGGTTAGGTACCAGTAACAAACCCGTTATACATCATTCGCTGTCATGCTGCTTCTTACAGAAAATTTTACTTTCGCGGTCACTCATAACCCAAGGTGACTTTCGATTGTTAATTGATAGATCGCTTCGAAAGTGTCTCAGCTGCAGATTTCAGTAGTGGATATTTTTTTGGAACCCTGAGAAGTTAGATCGACGACGCAGATATGCTAGAAGTGAGACATTCGGTCACGAGACTATATATAGTAACAAGCGTAGAAAGTAGTGTCAAGCTATGGTTGCTGAGACATACTACACTTGATCTGAGCTAAAAGGCAAAGAGAGACAAAATATGTATTAATCTTTTTACGACTGAGACTTACGCAATGCGTGGATAAATGATGCCTTCCGGTTTTACATTGATAGAGACCTTCTGGTAAAGACTATTCCTAGACGTAGGATAATGTATTCTATGGCGACAGTGAAATGAGGTTCTACAATGTACAACAGGAATGCATAAGACTTCTATGGACTCGCAACCAAACGTTCTCTGCGGGTCGTAACAGAATCATGTTTATGCGTCGAAAGGTAATAAATTCTCCTAATTTCAAAGCTACATTTGGTTTATTGTGAATCATTAGCGTCTCATTACAACATAGGATATCGTCATTAACTATCTCCATCAGGCTCCAGATCTGGTGAGGGTATACTTCTGGAACAGTCTTGCCAATTGCTTTCTCACAGTCACCTTCTGTGCTCCCACGAACAGGTCAACCAGAACCTTAATGGCTCTGTTCAAATCCAGTTGGGATACAAAATCCAGAAGTCGCATCTTGGCAAATGCTTCAGCAATACGCAAAATCGATTCCAAATGCCGCACCGTGATTGGAAACGAACCTGTACTGATCGATTCCTTTCTCAAATCCGCATATACTCGCAGCACCTTATCAACATCCATCTGATAAAGCTTCGGGAAGCATCTGTGGCGCGCATAGTTGATGTACTTCACCAAGAGCTCCTGCAGAATAGGAGAAATTTCTTCTTCTTTCTCCTTAGTAAGTTCATCGAGCTTCTCCCGACGAGTACGAGTCTCGTCGTCTTCAACATCTTCTGTAGACAGAGGGTGCAGTCGAACATGCAGTTGCAACACGAATTTAGCTAAACGCTCATCGGACTCAGGGTTGACTAAATCCCTCACCACGCAAAGAATATCAAAACGCGACAAAATCGGTTCGGTAAGATTAACATTTTGCGCCAAGGGAAGAGTCAGATTGTAACGACCTCCAATAGGGTTGGCGGCGGCGATGATAGCACACCTAGCTTGAAGTGTTGTGACGATACCCGCTTTTGACACTGAAATCAGCTGTTGTTCCATCGCTTCGTGAATGGATGTACGATCTTGATCGTTCATCTTATCAAATTCATCAATGAGACACGTGCCCTTGTCGGCAAGTACTAAAGCCCCACCTTCGAGGGTCCATTCACGCGTGATGGGGTCTTTCCGCACCAGTGCCGTCAAACCCACAGCCGACGCACCTTGACCAGTGGCGAACACCGCCCGCAGTGATGTCTTTTCCGCATACTTAAGGAATTGCGACTTTGCAGTACCAGGATCCCCTAGAAGAAGGACATTGATATCACCTCTGAGGTTGAGCTTACCATTGACATTTTTCAGAACCCCGCCGAAGAGTGAGCAGGCAATGGCTGTTTTGATATCTTTATGACCATAAATCAGTGGCGCCATCAGAGCAATAACTTTATCAATGATACCAGGTTGACGCAGCAACTCTTTGAATTCTCGCTCTTCCTGTTCAGTCCACATTGCCCCACCACCAGCAGCTTCACTCAGTGATTCCTTCAGTTTGATGTGGTTGGCTTCAATCATAGTGTTGAACACTGGGAAACCATTCTTGATGTTGAGGCCAGCATCGTAATTGTTCTGATAGATACCGGTAATCTCAACCACCTCACCAGGTTTGGCCACATCGACAAGGTCCAGCAAAAGCACAACCTCGCGATGTCTGGGTAATCTCCCCGCAGGTACCGTCCCCGGAGCTTCTTGAAGAGTGATTCTTTGGAAGTTTCGGTAAATTGTCTTTTCCAGATTGACTCTGAAGGGTCCTTTGGCGTGACAGTTAGTACAAAACAGAACCTTCACTTCTTGTGTGGGTCCCTGCACGAAAGGACCCAAAACGGCGCCACATTTGAGACAATCGAACTTGACATATTTGAGTTGAGGGAACACCCCAGTGCGTCGAGTAACAACACCACTGACCTTGACGAGCTGACCCATGTTCGCTTCACGAAGATCACGAATATTCATGAGATGAGGGAATTCAGCAATACGGACGTGAATTTCACTGTGGATGTGAGCGTAATTGGGGTAGTGTAACTCAACGGTTTCCATAGCGACAACGTCAAAAATTGCCAACATCTCGTGTGGAGCAGCTAATAAGAATAAAGCCAAGATAGCTTTGGATTCAACGAGATGCGCGTAAGTTACCTCGAGGGATTCGGCATTAACCTCACCGAGAGTTCTGACACGAGCACCGTAAACTGAGTTACCCTGAGCATCGGTATATTCAAGAAGAAAGTTTTTGAGCTCACGGTGAATCAGTCGTGACACTGCAGGTTGTTGGATCCACTCGGCCACCGTGGGTGCTTTGACTTCGGAAAGAGCTTCAAGGGTAAGTTCTTCGGTGAACGGGTCAATCTCAAAGTCTTCCATGTCAAGATCCTCATCGGCTTGGAATTGACGTTGGCGCCGTCTTTGTTTTGGCAATCCAAATTCATCCAAACCAGCATCATCGTCGTCAACATCGTCTAAAAACGCTTGAGAACGACCACTTCTGGCTTGACGCACAAGCTTGTCACGTCTGTTCAATTGTGCATCCACTCTTCTTCTCTCAGCGTCGTCCATCGCATCGTATTCTTCATCGTCAATGTTCTCGAGGTCGTAGACATCTTCGGCACGATTCATACGGTAATCACGCTCAAGATTATCCATAAGATCCTCGCCATCCTCATCTTCACTAGGAATGTCTTCGATATCATTTTGAATTTCAGCCTCATCTTCGTCGGGATCGAAGGGAGCGGCAGGTGACGATGGTGGAAGCGCTGGACTCAGCGGCAAACCCATGGCAGGTGAACTGGGGACATCGTCGTCATTCCGTCTCTTGCGACCTCGAGTAGGACTACTCTCTGGTGGATATGTGGGCGACAGTGGCACGGGAGGTGAAGACATGAAGTGCTGAAAAGTGCGACGCGTCCTTAATTGAATTTAGTCGTGTCGGGTCACGTGCAGAACCCCGACAAGGCTGGAGCAAATTCGCACTTCCAGCCATGGAATTGATTGAGTCAAAGCAATGTAGCTTGCAGGATTCGATGGTACATACCCTAAAACGATTGAAGGGACTCTTATCAAACCACGTTAGCAAAATTCAAATTATCACATACAACAAATACGTCATTAATACGACGTTGAAGCTGTTTTCTTGCTACGCTCTGGATCAGATCTTGAAAACACGCAAAAATTGGACTATGCTAACCGTCTATAGTCACTACTTGCCAAAATGATCAACCAGAATGAGCCTAAGTGCTAAGGCAAACCTTTTAATAGCCAATTGACGGTGTGTGAAATTCCTAAATTGCATCCATCAATTTCATCATTCAATCTATAGTAACCACCACTCAGGAAGGTAAAATGAGTCAAACTTACCCCACGATTGATAATGCCATCTCTGCCGGCTGGCTAGAATCTATAAACATCCGTACACTACATAGTGATTGCAAAGTACGAATTACGTAATTCCGCATATGTGCAGTACCTGTGGCTAGGTTATGAAGATACGCTATCGACTTTGATCGGACGCCCACCTCTTGACATGACTGCAGCTGAAGACAAGAGCTGGCTTGTAGGGCCAGCTCTCATCAACTTTACCCTGGTGTTTGTCTCGCTTGGAGTGTTCGTCTTCGGCTTTGAACAAGGGTTGATGCTGTCGCTCCTTACTAATGAATACTTCCGTTCGTACTACCGGCATCCGACGCCGGCCCAGATCGGTACCATGATCGCCATTCTCGAGATTGGTGCTCTCTTTAGCTCAATCTTTGCTGGCAGAGTTGGTGACAAAATTGGTCGTCGTCGGACCATCCGCTATGGACTGGCAATCTTTGTCATAGGTGGGCTCATTCAGACTACCAGTGTCAACATTTGGAATCTTTCCCTTGGTCGGTTGATCCTGGGTATTGCCATTGGGTTCTTGACCACCATCATTCCATGCTATCAGCTGGAGATCAGTCCACCCGATCATCGTGGGTTTTATGCATGCCTTGAGTTCACTGGCAATATTATCGGGTATTCACTGCTGATCTGGACTGACTATGGGTTTCTGTTCTTAGAAAGTAATTACCTGTGGCGTATTCCGTTGTTCGTCCAGTGTATTTTTGGATTCCTTTTATGGATCGGGTCATTCATCATTGTCGAAACACCGAGATGGTTACTTGACCATGACCATAACGAGGAAGGCTATATCGTTATATCTGATCTTTACGCCGATGGTGATTTGGAAAGCGACGAAGCTGTTTCGATTTACCGTGATATTAAGGAGCTGATTTTGATCAATCGCATTGATGGCGGTGAGCGTTCATACAGCTACTTGTTCAAACGATACCGCAAGCGTCTCTCAGTGGCATGCTTTGCTCAGATGTTTGCTCAGCTCAATGGTATCAACATCATTTCATACTACGCCCCCTACATCTTCGAACTGGCTGGTTGGGTCGGTCGTCTGGCTATTCTTATGACCGGGATCAACTCGCTTGTATACATTGCCTCCACCATTCCTCCTTGGTATCTTGTCGATACGTGGGGTCGAAAGCCACTTTTGGAACTGGGGGCGATATTGATGGGTACACCGTTGCTTGTGATTGCGTTGTCGCTTCGTTCCAATAACAGATACACACCAATGACCGTGGTGTTTTCTGTAATCACTTGCAACGCGGCATTTGGTTACTCTTGGGGGCCTATCCCTTGGTTAATGCTGGAGGTGTTTCCTAATCTGGTCAGACTGAAGGGTGCAGCGATGTCTACGGCAACTAATTGGTTGTGTAATTTCATTGTTGGTGAAATGACACCGATTCTTCTTGACGTCATCAAATGGAAGACCTACTTGATCCCTGCGTCCTCTTGTTTCTTATCATTCTTCGCTGTGCGCTACTTATTTCCAGAAACTAAGGGTATCACTCTTGAAGACATGGGGCTGGTATTCGACGACTCATCCTCAGTGTTCAGTTTCCATCTGGGGTATAATCTGAATCGAGACGAACGCGAAAGACTGTTGCTGATTGACGAAAGAGATCCTCCGAGACCAGTGCCTTATGCTCAAGTTGCTCGTGATCCCAGGCTGCAAGCTAACACAATCCAAGAGAATTTGATTACAGGTTTGGTCTTGCCCGAGGCACCATCCGTGGCCAACAGCGGTTCTCAAGTTCAAGGGAAGGTGATCAATCCTACTCAATCTGAGGTTAGTGCTGACTCTATTCCACAAGAAATAGAACCTCCGCTGGCGGACCAAATCGCCAAGTTCAAACTTGACAGATTGAATAAAGGGTTCTTTTCTAGGTTTGGTCAAAAACAAAAGAAGGCTGATGAAGAGACGCCGTTGTTGCAACGTAATTAGTATCGAGACAAAAAAATAATATACGATCTGCGCAAACCCGGAATCGAACCGGGGGCCCAACGATGGCAACGTTGGATTTTACCACTAAACCATTTGCGCGCTACGAGAGCACGTGGGCGGGCACCAATTGGGAAGGATCAATAACAACACCAATTCTTGCGGAATTTCCCACGAAATAAGCTCAAGATTCAACTCAAGGGGACCCCTTAAGAAACCACTCAATAGTTTTGTTTTGAAAGTTTCCGACGTTATTTTCAATCTAAAATGGGGATAAAAAAGGGATAGATAAAAAAAAGATAAGAGATAGCAATCATAAATCACGTGCTCTAAGTTCCTCGATACTTAAATACTTGAGATTCGCGTCCAAAAAAATTGGGGCGGTTGGACAACCGCCCCCTCCCCTTTTGAGCATGGCTCACTCCCCTTCCAAAAAGGATTTAGTTCCTTAAGGACTTCGTGTCCGCCCGACTTAGGACTCCGTGTCCGCCTCACTCAGGACTCCGTGTCCACTCCACTTAAGGACTCCGTGTCCGCTCCTTGAAGATCTCCACATCTGCCTCGGTGATGTCCACCCTGATGTTTTGCGTACATAGCTTTTTACAGATGGACATCGAATGCACATGCATACTCCCAATATTTGTAGAGAGATGATAACTTACTTGTTCTTAAAAGTTATGTTTGTTGAGTTATATTTAGGCTTTTTAGACGCTGTCTGGAGTGACAACTGGCGAGTCGGCATCCTGTACACTGTCAGGGGTTACCACGGGAATGTCATCTTTATTCTCCGTGCTTTCTTTGGGTTTATCAAGAGCTTTCTTTGGTAGGTTGGTGGGCTCTTCCAACTTTTCTTTACTCTTCTCCTTCGCTTCAACTCCCAGAATGTTAACCGGAGTAAACTTCTTCGGCAACAGAACACGCGAGAACCGCAGCTTCAACCGTTGGGTGACCAAGTCCATGTCCAAATGGCGAGTAAGCGACAATTTAGGGATACATCCAATGTAATGGTCATCATCTAATTGCACATCGAGTGGATCTTGCGTGTGACAACCTGGCAGAATCAGCAACCGAATCAGATGCTTTTTACCCGATGGAGAGTTGGGGTCTTCAGCCTCATACAATTCAAAGACGATTTGCGACAAATAATCCAACTCGGGTAAAGCATTTCTGGCAATCTTCATCGGCACCTTCAGCTCGAAGAGTACATTCAATAATGTGTAAATGTGCGATTCTTTGGTGAAGTAAAGCACCACACCCGGTTTGGTATCCTTCCGCTTGAATTCAGAGATATCCAGCAATACTTGCTTCGCTAAAGGCAACGAAGTGAGCAAACCAATGTCTAACTTCTCTTCTTCCTTGATCCCGTATTCTTGAGGGCAGATAAAGTCGAACAACACCTTAGATAACTTGTATAATTCGCGTAATCTTGAGAACTGCTGCTGGTCAAATGGAGTTTCCAGTTTGGTTGAGTTCAGACTCTCTTGAAGTACCCAACCAAGAGAACCCGCATGCACATTCAGCAGAGGCAAGTGCGATTGGGAACTTGTGGCCAGACCGGGGGGAGTCGAGTTCACTGGAGAGAATGCATCGGGGATCTTGAAGTTGTTCGCTGCCAACTCGTTGATGGGATATTGTTTAACCAAAGAGTGGTTAGCGATGTCGGGACAAGTCGCTTGTAAACGCTTTTGCAATTCAGGATCATTCTTGTCCCACGCAAACACTTTTTGCAAAAACTTACGGTTGTGAAGAGCATCATACTTCATGGTGTCATACAACTCAGAAATCTTCAGTGGGTGAGTCTTTTCAACCAGCACGAACTCTTGGAACAACTTGTCCCAACGTTCGCGGAAAAGCATGGGATCCTCCCCGCAACACCACCTGTCTTGGAAAGTATTCACATCCTTCGTTTCGAAATTGTATTCGAGAATTTGTTTGTGTAAGTTCATCAATTGGCATACGCGCTTGATGACATCGAAGGGTTGGGGCATTTTGGGTGGCCATGTGAATTGAGGCGGAGCTTCAGCACCTTGACGCAATAAGGGCTTGAGCTTCTTCTTAACTTTATCCATTAAATCTTTAGCAGCATTTGAGTCGTCAAGCAAATCCTTACGAACAATAAGATAGTCATCAGGGAGAGTGTCATGTTCAGCATCGAGTCCGAGAAGAGACATCGTCGCCAAGTTGGCCAGGGCAGTGACCCGACGTTCCAGCGAAGTGTAAACCTTGACATTATCGAGCGCCAGCCGGTTGAGCAACTTGATGTTTTGTCTCATCTGCTCACCAACGTCGTGGGCTTGGTACTTAGCTGAATGCGTCGGCTCACCACCCCATTTGAGAATAAGTTGCACCTTTTCCACTTCTTCAGTTTCAGAATTCACCGTGGGTTTAAGCTGGACTTTAGTACCAGGGAAGTGCATCTTCTTTTCAAGAGCTCCACAAAGCTGGGTCAACTTTTTAGGATCTTCAAACTTCTTTTCCAAAGCAATCTTAGCAGTACGAAGTACGACTTCGAGGTCACTGACATTACGGATAATGACTTCCTCGCGGTGACCCTTGAGCAACGAGATAAAAAGAGGCAGCCTGAAGGAATACTTGAACTTTTGCTTCGGGGTACGATCGGCATGGCGAATAACCAGAACCATCCCCTTGAGCACCCACTTCTGTTCCTTTTCTTCGAACCGCAGGTCCAGTCGCTTCAGTGCTGGAAGCTTATTCTTGATCAAGTCACGCAGCTTTTTGGCCTCCATGAACTTTTGACGCAAAATCAGAGCACAGGTGTCATAGTAGTCGTTGTTGTCTTTGACAAAGGAGAAACCATTGACATCAATGACGTACAGAGCACCATTTACTCGCAAAAGATCAAACCCACAAATCGTTTGTTGGAAAATACGCAGCACATTCCGTGCCATTTCGGTTTCTTCCTCGGTGAGTTCAGTGATATATCGAATTTCCTTACCATGGGTGTTACGTCTGACGATACCATCAACCACTGGCAGCTTCCGCGTTTCGGCGTGGCAGTAACCTTGACCGACGGTGTAGGCCTTCACATCTTCGAAATTGTCAGTATCCATAAATTGTTCGTAGATGTACAGACCTTCGGTTCGAGGATGGTTGAGGTTAGGATCAAATTCACTCAGCTTATTACCAATCTTGCGGAAGAGACGACGCCCACCACCACCATTGGCCTTGGGGTAGTAGATGTAGATGTTATGGTTTTCACCATCGACGGGTTTTTCCACGAATGGTTTCTTCAAAATCTTGTCACCTACTTTAAGCGTGTCGTCATCGATCATCTCCCATTCCGGTTCATGTTGATTGGTGAGGTCATGAATCGCTTGTTCCAGCATTCCCACAACATCACGAAGTCTCTGCTTTAGCTCTTCGTTGATTTGCGGTCCGCCGTCGCGTGAAATTTCGAGGCGATCAGGCAGAGGGACATTGGCGTGATTCAATATCAGAAGTACAAGTCGACGATCCCATAAAGCTTTTTGGAGGACGAGATCATTGAGTAAGTAGGGCTTCCGGTAGTTGGCGTAGGCAATCGCCTTATCCAATGGAAAACCAGTCAGGAAGAACGAAATCAAAAAATCGCAAGTGGGCCAGTTTTCAATCGCTTCATCCAAGATGACCTTGTCCCCGAACACAATGGTTTCAAATTCGCCATTCTCGATGAGACGGTTGAGAATACGCCGACAGGGCTTCAGTAATACCTTGGCATCCATGGCACACACCCCGATCTTGCCAATCTTAGGAAGCAACGGGCCGACACGTTCCTTGCTCAGGACTCTCAGAAGCGCTTGACTTTGACTGTCGTTATCGAAAGCCTGACGGATGTCGTCTTCGGTAACCAGGTTTTTCGCCAGCAGCAGGTCCACCAGAGTCAGAAGGCCCTTGTCCTCCTTATTGGTTTTGGGTTCATACAGCTCGAGCATGGGGGCAATCAGGGCGATCGCCTTCTCCATCACCGGCAGGTGTGATCTGGCTGCCTCCAGACCGTTGAAGATGGCCAGCTTGTTGGGGATAGGCACCGGGGCCAGTTTTTCTTCCCCCATGGTCAAGAATGATCGGTGAGACCAGAACTGATTTTTTCGTGAAGTAGATACACCACCACCACCTTGCTCAGAGCTGCAGCATGCGTGCAGCTAGCGTTGGGAGGCGGTTCACGTGGTCTACTGCGGCGTCCAGCGGTCGAAGCTGGGAAAATAATAAGCGGCGCCGTTTAATATTCGTAGTCATCGCGAGATGAATGGCATGACTCAGCTGCCATGTATGGTATCCGTAGGCAACACTAGGCATTTGGAAATACTTCTAATTAATTGGGAAATGCGAACCGCACTACGGAGAATAACCTAACTGTTATTATGGCTGGTGTCCACAGGCAGAGTCAAACTCAAGCGGCATCCCGGGGGATCAAATTTGCTGGATGCCGTTCAACCGATAGATGTGTCAATTCCATTAATTGTCTATCAAAAGAGACTACCTGCGACTCATCCACACGTCAGTAAATACGATTGATCTGGTAAGGTTAAATACGGTCATTTCCGAAAATTCCGAACTAGATTGTATCCGCAAGATCTGTTAATGGTATCAGTTATAAGAGTTATGCAGCCAGACGCGGCGTTTACGTTAACGGCTCACAAAGACTTGTACAGGGTCCTCGCCACCAGCATTGGCTGCAATGATGGCAGGTCTTGTTCCCCGCGTGGAAGGCGCGGGAGTCTGCTGTGGTGTACTTATGCGGCAAGTGCTTCATAGGGTAAGAAATAAATTGAGAAACGTAGAGATAAGGGTAAATAATGTGCTGCTGGCTACGACAATTTTACGAATGTCACGACGCTCCGTTAACCACCTCTGCTCTTGGATGCAGTGGTGACTGCAGCCCAAAGTGGCTGCATCGACGTAGTCAATCTATCTCTCTCACCCCGAGGAGCCGAAGTGGACTAAAATATTTTCAACTCCCAAGTTGGCGTGAGAGAGGATTCCCCGAAGGGATAAGCAAATCGTTTCTATTTTCATAAATCCTAGGGTACCGTCTAAATGACGTGGTTGAATAAGTAACTTATCAGTTCCCCATTCACCAGTCTTCTAATGCATTCGGCGAAGATCGCCAGCACATCGATCACCGCTAACTTTTCGTGGGTTTGACTGATGGGGTAGGTGTTGGTGACAACAATCTTGTCAATGCACTCCAGCTCCGTCAACACTTGGAGACAGTTGCCCGAAAACACCCCGTGGGTGCCCAACACGTACACCGCCTTGGCACCACAGTTGAGTCTCAAGTGTTCGGCAGCGGCGACAAACGACGTCGGCTTGTCGATCATGTCGTCCAAAATGATCGCCGTCTTGCCCTTGACGTCACCAACGAGGGTGATCAACTTTTCCGGGGCCACTTCCTCGTCGTCGTCATCGTCAGAGTTGGTGGCATCATAAGTACCACCCAAGGCGTCGCCGCCGTTGATCGCAGGCACCGGGGGCACGGGGTCGGCGGCGTAGTCTTCATCAACAACGTGACCCTTCACCACTCTCGCGGTTTGAAGCTCAGACACGATGTTGTCTTCCTCCTCTTCTTCATCGTCGTTGTCCTTCAAATTCAGTCTCGCCAACGCCTTCTTCTTCGAGTATTGGTCGTGTGTACGGCGACGATCGGTGTGGATCATGGCGAAGTTGATCTTGAGCGCGTCCGCCAACGCCGTCACCCGCTTGGTGCCGCCAGGATTCTTCGACACCACCACCGCTTCTTCCCAATCGGCGATGTTGTGACGGATCCAGTTGGCCAACGAGGGGCCGGCAAACAAGTTGTCGACGGGCTTAGTGAAAAACCCCTGCATCTGGGCCGCGTGCAAGTCCATCGAGATGACGTGGTCGGCACCCGCCATCACCAACAAGTTGGCAAGCATGCGGGCGGTGATGGCACCACGGTGCTTCTTCATCTTCAGCTGCTTCGAGTAAGGGAACTGGGGGATCACCGCCGTCACCTTGGCCGCCAGCCCGCCTCTGCACGCCAGAATAAGAATTAGGAGCTCCATGATGTGATCGTTGATCTCGGGCGAACCCAGCTGGATAATGTAGACATCTTCGTCCCGGATGGACACCCCGATTTGCACCAGGGTCTCGCCATTCGAGAACTTCTTGAGGGTGCACGGCGCTGGCTCCACGCCGAGCTTTTCACACACAAGCTTACCAAGCTCCGGGTGAGATGAGCCAACAAAAACCTTGCACTTTCTCATTTCCATCAATTGTGGGGTGTGATATCGACACAGAGAAAACCCCAGTGATGAGATGTCTGCGATGAGTGTGGTCTGCCCCAGGTGCAGGCACAGCCAATCGCGCACCCGGTAATTTACGGGTGTAAGACGCAGTATAGGGCATTGCCGGGAGTATCAGGCATCTACTTGGCCTCTAGATGGTGGTGTGACTTGCTTTGTCATCGAATATTTCACCAGAATTCATGTACTGCACGATTTTATCATGATCTCCGATGATTCCTTTGGACCTCCCTCAATCCCCTTTTTCGAGTCACGTGATCCTAACGTTTTTCAGGAGACGTCGCAAATTAGTTTGGCGGCGGCCGCCCCTTGATCTCCCACGTTGTGATAAATTTGCATGGTTAATTAAGGCATGATACGTAAATTCTGTCAATACATCGTAAATTACTTAAAATCTCTTTTCCAATTCGTCCAACAAGGTGACACAGTCCTTGGCGAAGTTTCTGATACCTTCCGACAACTTTTCGGTGGCCATAGCGTCTTCGTTAAGCAAGAATCTGAAGGTGGCTTCGTCGTCAACGTAAGAAACCTTTTCGTGCTTGGAGGCTTGAGCGGATTCCACCGACAACTTGGCGGGGACGGATTCGGTCGAGTCCAACAATTCTTGCAACAACTTGGGCGAGATGGTCAAGTAGTCGCAACCAGCCAAGGCTTCAATTTCACCGGTGTTTCTGAACGAAGCACCCATGACAATGGTCTTGTAGCCGTACTTCTTGTAGTAGTTGTAGATGTCAGTGACCGATTCCACACCGGGGTCGTTTTCGGCGGTGTATTCCTTACCGGTGCTCTTCTTGTACCAGTCCAAGATTCTGCCGACGAAGGGCGAGATCAAGGTGACTTGAGCTTCGGCACAAGCAACGGCTTGCACGAACGAGAACAACAAGGTCAAGTTGCAGTGGATGCCGTGCTTCGATTCCAATTCTCTGGCGGCTTGGATACCTTCCCAGGTGGAGGCGACCTTGATCAAGACTCTGTCCTTAGAGATGCCTTGTTCTTCGTACAACTTGATGATGTGGAGGGCCTTTTCAATGGTCTTTTCCTTGTCGAACGACAACCGCGCGTCCACTTCGGTAGACACCCGTCCGGGGACAATCTTTAAGATTTCCTTACCGAATTCAACCAACAAACGGTCGAGGGCAAGGGTGGCCTTGTGCTTGGCATCGCCATCGTGTTGGTTGGCGTAGTCGACGGCGACATCGATCAACTTGGCGTATTCGGTCTTCTTGGTGGCAGCCAAGATGAGCGAAGGGTTAGTGGTGGCATCTTGAGGGGTGTACTTGGCAATCGACTCGAAGTCACCAGTGTCGGCGACAATGACGGTGCCGGTAGCCTTCAATTGTTCAAGAGAGTTGGACATGGGGATCAATGGGGGAGGGGTGTATTTTTCAGGAGGATCGTTGGGCTATTTATTGCGGCGATGCTGGGGGCACGTGAGCTTGCCACGTTAACGCATATTGTGTAGTTCGATTACGAGCCCTGGGTGGGTTTTTTTACTAAATAGTTTTCTCACCATAGTAAAATGGGGTGCGAATCCCCGGGGTCGATTGCCTATGCATTACTAACCGAGTGGCTCCGCTATGTTTGGCTCAGCCGTTACTAATTCGAATGACTAACACGACGTAATCACAAGTAACAAAGTAATTTTAAAGTAATATAACCACCACGGAACCGTCATGCTCAAACTGACAACGGCTGATTGCTCTCGACCATTGCCACCAATTGCGTGTCGCTATTAAGCTCCCCCAAGGAATGCTAAAATCCGAATGGGCTTCGTTGCACAATTGATACGTTACCGCTGGAGGTTGCCCCTCGCCACAGCAATGTATCCGTACGTCAACGGTTCGTCCGTCGCGGAGATGTGAGCGCCGGCAACTATTTGATCGGTGATCGGCTCGGCTGTCGGGGACGCATGACAGCCGGGAATTGCTGTATCAGATTACAAGATTTTCACAACAACAACTCGATATGGTGAAAAGACTTTACATTCGGGCCCACACCGACTACGACTCCAAGTTCCAGGTGGTGCCGATTAACGTCAATGAGCCCATTGTCTTCGAGCTGAAGCTCGGCAAGTTTGAACTTATCATCGATATCAAAGGATTCGACGGGTCAGAGTACCATTTGCACAACAGTTGCTACCTGCAAGGCGACCACAAGTTTCTTGATGGCACCTCCCGCTCCAAGGACGACAACTTCGACGTACGCAGCAATGCCAACGTCCAGTTCGAAGTGTTTTTCACTCCTAACCATGACATCAACCTGAGCGAATTGGTGTTTGGCAACGATTGTCCCGTCCCCGTACGCGGTGTCATTCCCACTACACTCCTCAATACTGGGCTTAAGTTGTTCAATTGGTTCATCAATGATACCGTTAAGGGGAACTTGACTATCGATACCCCCTATATCTACGGGTTAGGCATCAATCTGTTCACCTTTGTTACGATCGCTCCTAAAGGCTTGGGACCGGAAAAGCTCAAAGGCAAACATGGTTACAATGAAGGCTTAGGGAAGCAGCAAAAAACCGAAAGCCTTTCCATCCCCGATGGTCTGGATGAACGTGTGAGCTATTTCATGAAGGATAAGCACTGTAAGAAGTTTACTTTCCACAAGGGCGTTCGCTACCAGCTTCTGTTTGAATCCAACTTGATCAAAATGGCCGATTCCGCGTACGCCGTGAGTCTCCCAGCTTGGGGTCTGAAGACCTTCGACATCGACGTGACCCTGTATGCCAATGACACGCTTAACAACTTCAATTGGGTCATTAAGGAAGGTGGACATGATGGATTTAAAGATGGAACCGTCGGGTTGGTCGTCAACTTTGCTTTGGTCGACGAACCCAAAAACCGCAAGCCTACCTCAGACAAAGCCGCCGAGACTACGGCTAATGATACTGCCAAGGACTCCAAAACTGAATCGCTGCTGGCTAGGCAAGAGCAGGCGCTGGAAGCGGCGCTGCAAAAGGACACCGCGCCCACGAAGGAGTCATCTCAAGCCACACAACCCTCATCAACCACTAATGCTGACGAAGCTAAATCATTGCCATCGGAACACCATGAGTCTCGGGTGTTGTTTAGGAAGTCCGCTCCCGTCAAAGGACTCGAACCACTTGAGGATCTTCACATAAACGACGAAGTTGAATAGATTTTGATACATATTATATTACATTGATGATCCCACGTTAGACGCGTAATTTGCAGACACTCAATTGCGAGCCCTGCATCACGATAACTCGCGCACCCGTCATCTCACTTCCTCTCCCTAACGCACTCACGAAAGCTATACCAATTATAAGGCAGTGACCGATGGATTCCGAGGAAGGCGGAACGAGCAAAGCTAACCTGCCCCGCCCTTCCATCTCGAGTGATCCGTTCGCTGCTTACCATCACCGCAAGCCCCTGATATCCACCGACTTGGACCAGTTTTCTTTGGATGCTGCTATTGGTGATGCCTTCAAAGCAGTCTTGGGCACCACCACTGAGGAACCAGCCGAAGAGGCCTCTGATAATGATGGTGAGTTCAATTTTGACGACACCATTAGTCAAGCATTCAAAAAGGTCATGGCTGAAGCAAAGCAAGAAAGTAATGAGCCTGAGATTGGCGAACCCTACAAAAATGACCAACTGCGAGCTGAGCATTACCCTGACCAGCATGACAGTCATGCTATCGAATCAAATAATCATCACGACTCAGCCGAAGCCAGCTTTGACTTGGAAGGCGCTATCGATGCCGCTTTCGAACTGATACCTGCCAATGGAGCAGCAGCCGACGAGCGAGATGGCTCAGTGACCCCTAACAGCCACCATGACAATGGCATCGATATGAGAGCCGAGATCAAGGATGTTTTCGAAGAAATGGAATCACTGTCGTACCCTCGTAAAGACTCAGAAAACGCTTCAGATAAACTAGATTTAGAGGGCGTGATAAGTGGTGCTTTCGAAGGTCTTGCCAAATCAGCCGAACCAGAGATAGTTCATCTGACTCATCGATCTGCTCAGGAGACTGAATCGGCGGTTTTAAACGCTGAAGCAAGTAATGATGAAGTGGGTGACCATGAACTCCCTATTGAGAACGACGACGACGACGACGATGAGTTCACTTCAGCAATTGGTGAAGCATTCAAAGCATTTCCTGAGCTTGGAGCAAGCGTAGGCAAGTCCGCATCTTCCGATCCGGAGGTCCCAGCTCATAAAGAATCAAGCAGCGTCAACTCAGTACAACAAATCAGTTCGAATGAACCCTACAGCTTACGTATGACTCTGAGAAGTACGACGCCACATCTGCCAGCAACACTGCCAAAAACGCGTTCAGCTCTGCCCCCTGTCATGGATAATAATATTGATGATGTTGTCGTTACGAAGATCGAGTCCCACGCCTCAAGTCGGGAGATCAGCCAGGCACCTTCTGGTCTGTCGTCACCAAAGGCCGAGGTTGAACACGGCGGGCCAAGTGATGACGATGACCTCAACGCCGTGATATCAAATGCGCTCGATTCTGTATTAGGTGTTGGTCCGAAAGAATCCCTGGCTCCAACTCAACCAGAACTTGAGCCTGTACATCAAATTGCGTCTGAAAGTCGGCAAGAAGCCAAACCGCCTCAACGATCCCAATCTCACCTGCCCGAACCACCAGAAAGGAAAGATCTGATTGACTTGAGCCAAGTGATTGGTAATGCTGTCAAGGTTGCCATTAGTGGACTGGAGAGCCCATCGGCTGAACACGAGACTGAACCTACCGGTCCCAATAATAATGAATCAACCGATACAGACCTTGAAGCCGCCATTGGTAACGCGCTTCTGATGTTCACATCTGAACAGGTAAAAGAAAACGATGATGATGAGGATTTGGATGACGCTATTGGACAGGCTTTCCAAACTGTATTGGGTGCTGACCTCACGAATAAAGAAAACAACAGAGAACGGAGTAAAGCAGATGCAGATGCAGACTTAGAACAAGCCATTAGCGATGCTTTAAGTATCGCTGCCCCTCTCAGAGGCACCCAGGAAGGCAATGAAGAGCTTGAGCATATCATATCCGAAGCATTCACGCTGGTGCTTGAAGATCGTCGGCCACGACGCGATCTGATTCTCCATGTCGCGTCTGTTATGCGTCAATCGTTGGATACTGAGATAGAAGCATCTCTGATGGACAGTATTATTGAAAATGCATTCTCGATGGCCATGGCGCGGCTGACGACAACGCCTGCGCCGGAACTCTCTAGATTGGTGCTGAACCTCTCAGCAAAGTATGGGCCGTCGAAACGCGGGGCTCCAGAGAAGCAGGCTCGTGAAAGAGAGTTCACTTTAACATCGTTGAAGGTGGCTCGGCATTACGTTGAGGGTCTGGAGTTAGAAGGCTCTGCTGTATTACTTTCAAACTTGTTAAATGATCACACGCCTGGTGCAGCTAATGATCATGAAGTTCCCTGGGTCAATCCTAGTTACATTTCGACAATTGCCACGCAAGTGATATCAGCTCTTTCCATTGAATGTCGATGTACTTCTGATGGATTGAATTCAACAACGTCGCCATCATCCGATGCGTCTCTTTCACCATCAATAAAGCTCAGAGCTGACAGTCGTGAGCGGAAGAAGCAATGGCGTCTTGAGAATGTCGAGCGCAATTTGGATATTGAGCTCAAACAACGAGTGACGCGACGAGCTATAACACTTTACGGCGAAGAAGATAATGCAGACCGACGCAAGTGGATTGAGGAAGAATTTACTCGTCGACGTGACCGTCGCTATGCCAGAAACAAGCGGGCTCGCGGGCATGATAAGGAAATGGTGGAGTCATTGACTCGAAACCCTCATCTTGCGTCTCCAGTGACAAGCTTGTTTACCTTGAGCTCTGCTCTCTTCAACAATGTGTCTGTGGAGTCTGTTTCTGCGTGTGTACTAGCGACTGCCACTGCAGGGGCACTCTATGCACATGAGCATGAAGTTGTCGATATAAAGCTTATTCTGGTCGCAGTTTTCAATATCTTGATGGAATCCATGGAGCGCCAGCCTCTACAGGAACGACTTCTCAATCTTCGCACAGGATTGACTGGACTGAGTGCGCCCTACTTTCCTGGCGACTCTCCTCCATCTCCAGAAGAAGATGATCCCCATGTCAGTGTGTTCTTTGACATCGCCAAACAAATTCAAGGGCTTGCCGATAACGTACTGAGAAAACGACCTCGAGTTCTGGACTCGCTGGGCTCTAAGCGCGCAAAGTACGATGGTCATTATCCAACTTTGGCTCTTCCTGCAACACTGCCATTCATTCTGAACAAGCTCAATCAACCGTCATCAGGAGGTTCTACTCCGCAACCAACTCCCCCCAAGCCTTATGGAGGGCTCAGAAAGCCAGGTAGCTTTCAGCGGCCCCAGCCAAAGATGAAACGTCAATTTTCATCTATGTATCAGTAATTTCATTTCTTCATTGCATTCATAATACAGACCTCAAGTTTATCTCGAAGCATTGAAACAAACAGGCAACAATAATTTGATAACATTGGGAGGTGTTACTCCCTCAAGACATATTGTTTATTAGTGAGTTAACTTGATCAGCCCAGTGTTCTTAAATTTATCCTGTTCAATAATAGATTGATGCAATGAAGTGGATCGAGGACTGGCTTACCTTAAAGGCAAGACAATGTTGGTTGCATGATTCGATTACATGCCAGCTGTGGTGAGTGTGTCGTGAATCCAGTACAGCCAAATGATTCGTAAAAAAGTTTGCCGGCCCCAGGAATCGAACCTGGGTTTGTTCGGGGTTGTGTCGCCACAACGAACCGTACTAACCACTATACTAGACCGGCTTGTTTCAAAAATTTATAAATGATAAGTTAATGACACGTGACAGAAAACGATACCTGACTTTTCCCCAAGAATTTAGCTTTGATTGAATATTTTTTAACAGAAGTTATCACTGATGATTATTGAACATCTAGTGGTTGTTAGTAGTTGCACAGGAGTTCATTTTGGTGCCAAACGAAGCTGATTGAAGTAGGAAAAGAAATTGTTGAGCATCCCTTGATGAATTTTGGAACTTTGGTTTACATCAAGACATTGCTGCATAACAAGTCACATCTTGTTCAAAGTCTCGTGTGTCACATACTTCGCCAGGTGCTGAAATGTGACTTAGCTGTTTCATGTAATTTCCTTTATAAATTTCCCTTCGATCTTGAGTGCAAAAGAGGCATATATGCCCCTCATATTGCAAGAATCGTCAATGATCGAATAACCACATTGATGAAGCTCACAAGCTGTGATACTGACATTCTACTGTGTTCAAACCCGATTTAAAATCACATTGTTGCCATCATGAATTTAACTTGACAGACTTGAATGTGTTTTTCTGGACAAACGGAAAAACCGATACAATACAATTGTGTCTTCAAACGTTGCGCTCATATGGGCTGATACCATATTTTTTTTTCGATGAGATCAATTATTCAGTGTTTGGTGAGTAATTAGCAATTCACTTCGCTGAATACGTAAACGTAGTTTTTTCATTTACATTGTGAGTTATCAAGAAGCATCCGTAAGTAATTTGCGAATTTATCGTGCAATTGAATTTTTGATGATAATTTGTATATATAATGGCAAAATCGTTGTTTAACAGAAGAATTGAAAGAACTACCAGAGATGGCCCATGTATATTTAAAATGTAGATCGGAGAATGTTATAGATTAGAGCTTACTTCGTAACGACCACTCTAACACCTGTTAGGCTTAGCCAGCCATCTTCTAACATGACCAAATCAATGCAAAAAGGAAATTGAGGCAGACAGGATTTGAACCTGCAACCCTTCGATCTGGAGTCGAAAGCTCTACCGTTGAGCCACTGCCCCACTCCTGGTGTTTTTCGAGTTATGGTTATACAGATCAAGGAAGAATAATAGTGCTTAAGTTCTTCGTCTTTGTGAGGTTCTAGAAAGCTCATATGCGCACCTGATATAGTATATAGCGTAAATTTACTTTTGGTGTAAATTTCGATGCGAAATTGAGGATACAAATTTCTTGGAGGTTGCTATTCCATTTAAGATGGACAGAGCTGCCATTGTCGTCGGCCTCAGAGGCTCTAATACGTTGACACGAGAATGTGCGATGGACTGTTGCGTTATTTACAAATTGGTAACGTACCACGTCAATAGCTGGCTCTTGAGAATGTTTTTTCCATAGTTGTTACAGACTTCCACAGTCTTCATAAGAAATCGACCTCCCCGCTGTCCGTAATGAGGCGAATCAACCTCTTTTTGCCGCTCAGACGAAACTCGTACGTACTNCGTACCAAGGGTGCCAACGAACGGCACACTTACTGCGAGTGCCCCGTCAGCCATATCGTCTACCGGCTTGTCAACCAACAACCTACCCCCTACAGAACCGTGTCTGATATGCTCCCCCCTCGACGTCTTAATCTGGTTGCGTTTAAAGAACTAGCCCGCTTTTTGCGAGCTGTGTTCCTCCTTTTCAAGGAGTCACGACTATCACATGAGGCCCCTGCTTTATGGGCAGAGGCTGATTTGAGAACGTGGATTGAACAACACCAGCGGTACATTGAGACAGGCAAGGGGCAGGGTATACACTAACCACCACCACCGAATGAGAAGTTGTTTCTGACCCAACTTTATGTGTTTTTGTTTTCAATCAAGGCGTCTCTCAAGTGACTGGCTCGAATCACCCACGGCTATGGTGTAATTGGCTAACATAATCCCAAAAGGAGAGATCAGGGTTCGATACCCTGTGGCTACGGGCCACATTCCCCCTTTTGCTTGAGCACCCTACTTCAGTTATTACTCTCTCAGAGGTTTGCAGTTTGTTCTTGCTTCCTCAACTCGCAGATATCTTATTTTTTTTTTTTTCACGGCGGTAGGTGGCTCTTAGAGTCTTCTACAACCGTTTTTTACAGGTAGATATTAATGCATACTTATAGATAAAAAAAAAAAAATAAAAAAAATCAACAACACTACTACACACCAATTTTTATGATGGCGGCTAGGGTTGACTCATGCGATCCGCAGGTTATTAACTTTGATACTCTTTTTTCTTAGTTCACGTCCATTCATCTTTGTAAAGGCCAGAAGTTAATTCTTAAAAGATAGAAAATACCAATACAAACTAGGATACAGCAGCACCCAAATTGCGAGCATTCGGTGGTACATGTAAGACCATTGTCTATTTTCAACCTCAAAAGCCTTAACTCTATGCTTACCCCTTCAATCGATTTCGAGATCACCGAGTCATACTATTCATTGCCCACACAAAATATGTCAAATTTATCTTACATGAAAAATAGCTAAATGAATCTCAATTGCAAGAAATAATACCATATTGCACCATACAAAGCGTCATGCCCAAACCTGGAGTTGCACGAACAAGTCCACAAACGCCGGGCTGTCCCAATCACCACGAGCAACAATCGCTCTCACCTCATCCACCATTACCGGATGGCCGCAAACAACGACCGCAAGATTCGTCTGAGCATTGACTGCCTCACTCTTGATAAGATCTTGTAAATCCGGACGGCCTTGAATTGTCAGACGCTTGGGGATTGGCTTCAACGAACCCTTCTCGTCAACCAGCTTTTTGTCACTTTCGCAGGCCGACTCATGAACCATTTGTACGCCAGTATGGTACACCAGTAATTCTATGTTCGAAGGGATCATTGTCAATTCATCCGCAAACCAATCAGTTGTTCTGGATATCCACACAAGCTTAACTTTTCGATCGCGATGTTTTTGAGCATACGTTAAAGCTTCCGACCACATTCCTGGTATCCCATTCCCTGAAGCTAGGAATAAAGCATTGTCATATCTGTTGATGCTTGCTGGTTCAGCGTAAGGCCCGTCGAACAACACGGGCATAGTGCAAGACATCGAGGGAAGTTTCACCAAGTTTTTAGCGATCAGTGAGGTTAAACCTTCCTTCACCTTGGAGAACAAAGTGATATGGTCAGAATGGACAACATAGCAAAAGGGATGTGATTGGAGAATATGAATCCCATTCGGCACCGTGAGGAAAAGATGACCACCGGGGGGATAATACTGAGGATTGGAGATGGGCGCCTTAATCACTATCGTGTCTTCGATTAAGGTGAAGTCAGCTGACTTTACACCAATCAACGCCATTCGTACGAAACGCACGCAACGGTCAAACCCCCAAACAGCTACAGCTGCGTACATAAATGGCCCATAACCTAATGGTGCGAGATGAAGCCACAGACCAACAACAGTAAGAACCGAGAGAACAACATGAAATAGGAAGAAAGCCTCATACCAACGACGACGCAAAAACAATAAAGTCTGGAAGAGGATGATAAACATTGCAACAAATGCAAATGTACCACCCACAAGATAAAGCTCACTGTATTCACTAGCCCTTCTAGTATCGAGAGCAATGGTGAAGCACACCATATGGATCAAAATTTCAATTACGCACACACGAGATATCCACTTATGCCAAACAATCATCGTGGCAAACGACAGGCCCGTCAACCATTGCAAGACATTATTTCTGCCACCAAGGACAATGAGAAGAGGCATCAAAAACACACCGATGATACCGGAGCGATCCGCAACTATACGAGAAATGAATACCGTCTTGGCATGCGCCTCGGAAGGATATCTTGAGACCGGATATATAGTATTGTCGGGATCCCAATAGATTTTGATACCAGTTAAAACGGCGGTTATGATGACAAATGCGGCGATAATCAAGGACTCAATGCGCTTGGGCATTAACCCCACTTCAAACCGGCCTAACAAAACCGCGTCGTAATTCTTATGCCTGAACGTGGCAGAAGCGAAGATATAACGTTGCATTGCTTTCACAAAACGTCGTTGGCGCCGTAATGGAAAGAGGCGACGACCCCAATTGACTGAAGCGTAAAGCATCAACACTCCCAACCAAAAACCCAAGAGAGCACTACCATAGTAAATGGAATTGTTGTAGTTTCCCAAGAAGTACTTATAAGACTTGTAGCTTAGATCACGATAAGTAGTATTCACCCGAAACGGTAACATGATGGGGCCATGGCCCACCTCAGTAAAGTCAATCGCAAATGTGTCATACAACTGTAAAGCGTTAGTTATTGCATCTTCACTAAATTCAGTGTCATAACGCAGACATATTTTGTTAACAGCATTCAAGATTGATGTTGGCGAGCCATCGGTAATCAGTTGAAGGCATCCCACCACCGAAACGAAGATCATGGGGTCGAAGCATGTGGCGTTGCGAGACATCATGCGGGAAACGTTGGTAACCAGCAGGCTACAAGCCGAACCAGCCTGAGCTGCCAGAGAATACACAAGGTTCCGTTGGGCGTATACCTTGGCAACACCAAATATAAGACAAACCAAAATCCATTTCATTGATCAAGTATGGAAAGTTATGCCATCAAGGAAGACATTCTCAGTTTAAATAAAACAATAGAATGAACAAAGCCTCATCGCCATCAACGGGCAGCTCACGAGCAATAAACTATCACTAGTTCAGCCAATAACCGCTACGTCACGAGCACGTTTGCTGTTTATAACCCACGAGGGTTGCATGAGGGTACGGCACTTCAGGAACAAGGGTCGTTTCGAGCCCCAGGCGGCAGATTTATTTCGGTAGGCAGTGCCACAGCTGCATCAGATTCATCAGATAATTGTGCCAAGAGTTACGCGCGCACACCCCTAGAATATCGGCAAGGATCAACGGACTTAAGGGCCTGAGATAGAGTCGGAGGAGTAAATCTCTACAGCACAAACGACATTATCCCCAAGATTATGTGATAGCCATATGGTTCAAGCCCTGCTTGCCGTATGTGATGTGGCTTTGTCACTGCAGAATTGTCTATCTGCCTGACAATGCCGACTCGGGGTATGCGAAAAAAATCTCGTGCTCACTTTGATTGGATCGTCAAATGATTTCGGTGGAACACATTAACAAACATGGTTTCAAACGGAGGAAAGCAGAATTGCGCTTACCAAATGATGATAAGCGGACTTCAGACGGCAAGCTTCGAAAGCCTAGAACTACTTAAATGTGTATGCCGTGCGGCTAGCCTTGCCAATTATTATTTCTTTTTTCACTGTACATTGGCCTACATGAGCACATTAGAGCACATAAATTAACACAAACTGAAGCTCCGCCAGTATAGTGATAAAAGAGCCAATCACATTGCAACGCTCTTATTCTTACCTCTAATGGTTATTACTTCAACGAAATAACCAGCTCATAACGATCTGGTTTCACGTCTCAACCAATGAAGTGCCCCCTTTTCGCCCATCTTTTTCAACTTGGGAGCAAACTGGTGCCAAATATCGGCGTGGTATCGATTTATCCAATCAACTTCGGATTTTGAAAGCATCAGCTTATCGATCAATCGACGACAGAAAGGAACCTTAGTGAGATAGCCAAACCCTAAGTAGTTCTCGCCCTTGCGAGTTTTCCCAAATTTGGAATCGCACTCGATAATCTCAAGACCGCTCTCTACTCGGAACCCAACTTCTCCGTCGATGTAGTAACCCGGCTCATCGGTTAAGACACCACCAGGTTTAAAGAGAGGCTCCTCCAGGGGGCCGCCTGCAGTCAGGGAAATGCCGAGGGGACCCTCGTGTACATTGCCACACGCCCCCACACCATGCCCTACACCATGGTTAAAGTCAAGGCCGTGTTCCCAGAGAAACTTGCGAGCATACCCATCAAGTATAGTACCCGTTTCTCTTGAGTTAGGGGGAAACTTCGCGTTGGCAACGGATAGGTGGCCTTGAAGAACCAAGGTGTAGTAGGTTCGGTACTGTGATGACGGGTGCCTATTGAAGCAATAAGTTCGGGTAATGTCGGTTGTACCCTCCAAATAATGAGCGCCCAGATCCAATAAAAAAATCCCCTTGGGATCCACAACATCACTTTTTTCGGGAGTGGGAGCATAGTGAATTATAGCTGCGTTTGCATTGTTCAGGGCAATTGTTGCATACGAAAGCCCTCTGAAATTCGGCATTGACAGTCTGATCTGGTAGATCTTTTGTGCCACTTGCCACTCAGTCAATGGACGACGTTTGTAGAGTTGTCTTTCAATCCAAGCTGCATGAATAATAAATACTAAGGAGTCCTTCAATTGAGCAAAGCGAGTATTAAGCAATTCTGTTTCATTCTTTACCATCTTCAATAACAGGATAATCAGTTGGAACCTAATGCTTTGGCGAGCATACAGGGTCGGTAAAGTTTGCACAAGAGCATAGTTGCACAGGGTTTTGGCCGGAAGAATTATCTCAGTGTCAGGATTGCTAAGAGAGGATCTCAAGTGTCCCAAATCAGGATAAAATTGAGTATACTCTTTAATCACAACATTGGGCGTTTTATCCAAATGAGCGCGTACTGTGTCCGATATTTTGGCTTGGTCAATATAGAGCACAGCATCGTCAATTGTGACAATAGTGTAGGCGAAGAAACTGACATTATAGACAACATCGTCAACTCCACGTAAATTGAATAACCAAGCAATCTCGTCCAAGTCCAGAATAACTAGATGCAGAGCACCCAGCATGCAAACACGTACCCGTGCCAACTTATCCACGACCGTTTCCCCAGCATATTGGATATCATAAACAAAAACGGGAGTTTTCGAACGCTCCGGTTTATCGGGCCATATTTCATCAATCAAGTTGTCACCAAGAAGTTCGAATTTGAAAGGCATAATTCGCAGTGTCTTCTCCAAAAATTCACCAGAGGAAAGCGTCAAAACCTTGGGATCACAAGAGATTACCGGCACCCACGCCGAGTTTATGGCATGCGTCACTGCCCAATGCGTCCACAGCGGAACTCCAGCTTGTCCCTGTTTGAGAATGCCCCAATATTTAGGATCCAATTCCTTCTCAGCTTGAAGCCAGTACCGCCCATCAGTGCTAACAACTGCTTTACCTGTAAGTGAATCATCATCATCTAAAGTGATTATGGCAATACCTGCACTGCCCGTAAAACCTGAAATGTACTCACGACGGCGTTCCCCGAGTCCTGTGTACTCACATAGATGTTCGTCTTCCAGTGGAACCAAGTAGACGCCAATACCATGCTTCTTCATCAATGAGCGGAGTTGAGTCAATTTTTGAGCCGAAGACTTGTCATTGACTCGAGTGAGCGAATCTTGTGGCATTTTTATGCTAAGATACGACTCATCGTCACTTTCTTCTTCTTCGGATTCATCCCAGAGGTCAATGTCTCGCAGAGACAGCAGGCGTAAGCGAGGGAAGCAGCTGGCGAACGGCGTACTTAACAACGGGCACAGCCGGGAACGTGTTGACTTCGAGAGTAATGGAGTCTTCTCTGAAGTCATGTGTTTAGGGGGTGAGTAATCATGAGCCGCACAGATAACTGGCTCGGTCATCTGCGGGGCCGGAGATCGCACAATATTTCCAGTGGGTGGGGAGTAGAGACGTATCGGTTGCATGAAGGTTATTGAGAACAAGCTAGACACTGATGCTACCAAGATGACACGAGACAAGGTGCTCCTGATGGAAAGAATACCACAAGTGCACAAGTTGAAGAGTAAAGAGTATTCGGGTCTAAGCCACCCGACAAAGTTAGTCATGGATTGAATTGAGGTTGAGACAAGACTATTTCCATTTCAACCATACTAAAATTGTGAGTCGTTTTGTTGATCATTTTCCCACATGGTTTGAGGCTTTTAACCTCACAAACTGTGAAGAAGATCTAGGATTCAGATGATAGTCTTTCCACGGAGAGGAGGTCGTGTGCGCAAAATTTTGCGTCTCTTCAGGTCTTGAGCATTTCACTATTCAATGAGGACAACATGACTCACGAAGTGTCAAAATCACAAAGCAAATGGTAGGTTTTCAACGACTTGTTGTGATTTTCCACTCTATAATGATGACGAAAGTGATGAGTAGATGCAAAACAAGCCCAATTTTTGTTGTAAACCGGACGTGAGCGATCTTGTCTGCTAATGCATAAGGGGAAAAGTGCCAAGGTTTTCATGAGTGCCAATTGCAATGTGACTCAAGACATTTGCTTCAGAAATGAGGCGATCCGAGTTGTCAAGGTAGTGATGGGCCAGACTCACCTTTCGCATTGATCAATTGCGTCAAGATACACAATTGCGCCTCAGCATGCCATCACCACACATTGAAAGCACCTTGTGAGGTTTGAGCGGTTTTCACAGACACGAATTGATGTTGCCAAGAGTCAAAAAAGCGGAGTTCAAGGCAATTGACTGTGTCTTTAAAAATTCCCTGTTCGGGAAAGAAGTAACGAGCGCGGTCAATCACTGCGGGCACACGTCAAAGTCTAGATGGTAACGAGCCGCAACCCCCTTGAACGCCCACAATATTCGAGCTATATTTAGCCCAGGTTGTCATAATGAATTTACTCGGACAGAATGTGTGGCACTGCTGATAGGATATTTGATTGATACCACAAGGTGGAGGACGTTCATTTGCCAAAAGTTTTACGGGTCGCCGCCTTACCAAACACAAAGCCACCTGCATTTAACGCGAGCCGCATTCGGCTGCGAACCATCTTAAACCGTTTGAATATGATAGAATGGCTAACTTTCACGACCAAACAAACGTAAGAAACCTGAACAATCGGCGTGATATCAAGCTGACATTGTCAATAACGTGATTGGTCGAAAAGCTTGAATTTGTCACGCGAGTGAAGCGGAAACTCATCGTACCCCTGGTGACAAGACTTAGATTGTGACTCTTGGTGTAGCTTCCTCGTACGGAAAACTGGAGTGCTTCGATTTTCTTGGCTTCCGTTTATGTATAGTCTGATTGTTTGCACGCGCCTCACCCGCGCGAGTGAGAGCCAGCAGATGAGGCCGCAGAGACAAACAAAGGCTACTTCGTAATATCGAAGCGCTATATTAAGTAAACGCCTGTGTCATGGTGCCCGCCCCAGGATCTTAATGTAGCAGGCAGGTTTCCAGGCCAGTCATAGTAAGCCTCTTTTTCGCTGCGTGCAAGATGCTCGAATAGTTTCCAGTTTAATGTCGAGACGTAGGAAATCTAGGGGAAGAAGGAGGATCGCAACACAAACCTCGAGATTATTAGGAAAGAGAACGCGTTTCACGATGCACGACAGGGGGATTTCCGTATCATAGGACTATTTTCAACCAGCACCATCGAGAAGGTGCAGTACTTCCCAATCGGGAACTATTTTTGCAACCATATTGGGAAGGCTGTCTACAACAGTTGAGCTATATATTTAGCTCGTAACTTATCGTTTCTTCTTGTCAAAGTACAGCTTAAGCCCCCTCGTTGAACATGAAGCTTTCCACCGCCACTCTCGCTGCTATCGCTACCGCTGCTGCCGTCAACGGTCAAGCCATTCCCGTCGCTCAAAATGATGCCCGTCAACTTCAAGCTCGGGAATTCATCAACGAACTCGAAGTTGCGGTCAATGGCATCACTGCTTCGCTTAACAAGCGTGAATTCGAAACCATGAACGAAGCGCAATTGATGGAATTTGTTCAAAGAGACTTGGGCTCGGCCATCTCGCAATTGATCTCGGCTTTCCTCAACCTGGGTATTCTCGGTGACATCTGGAACACTATCACTACCGACCAAGCCTTGAAGGACCAAGTCTTCGGCCTTGTCAAGCTGGCCGTCTCCGGTTTGTTCGCTGCTTTGCCCAACTTGCTTTCGGCTATCTGGAACTCGGGCTTGCTTCAAAACATCTTCAACAAGTTGGTTAACGACACTGGCTTGCAACAAGCCATCCTTAACCTCATCAAGGAAGCCGTCAGCGCCATTTTCGGTGCCCTCACCGGTGGTTCGTCTAACCAAAAGAGAGAACTTGACGCTCTTTTCGAAGAATCGCTCGCTCAATTGCAAGCCCGTGATGTCAACTTTGGTGACTTGTTGGCCACCATTATCAAGACCGTTTGGGACTCTGGTATTGTTCAACTGCTTTTCAACTCGATCGTCAACTGGATCAAGACCAACCCTGACCAATTCCAAGCCGTGCTCAAGCAAGTCTTGTCTGTCGGCTGGTCGCTCGTTCAGACCCTTTACAACTGGGCCAAGAATGCTGGTTTGATTGACGCTGCCTTTAAGTGGTTGGGCGCTAACATCGGTAACATCATCACCTGGGTGATCAACTTGATCGGCTCGTTGTTCGGTGGCTCCTCCAACGCTGCTCCTGCTCAACAAACTCAACAACAAAAGAGACAGAGAATGATGTACTAAGCTATTAGTTACACATACTCTTTGGAGACTGGTGCTCCGATATGTATACTAGCATACCCAGCTGTACTGCACGATCACAGGTTACTGGCCTGTGCTTGGGCAAATTAATGATTTAATAAAAGAGAAATTTGAAATATTTTTAGTAGTGGTGCCATGGATGTTTCCAATTTTGATTGAAAGAGTTCTCGTGTAGTGCTATTTTTAGAACACCCCTATTCATACCGTTCCTGAAAGTTACGATAAGGTGCAGAAAGTCGACTTTGGCAACACTATCATTCTAATCAATGCCTCCAATCGCTACGTCTTGTATTTTGTATGACTTATAAAGCGGATTTATCCAATGTCCAAAATTCAAGCTTGTCTTTTGCAGATGGATGTTACGAGTTCAAATCATGGAGGTAAAAGTGGTTTTCATCCAAATTCGAATTGATTGAATCTCATCCTACCCAATTTGAAAGCAAAAACAAGTTCTACCATCTTGTGCTCTATCAGCGTGCACCCATCAAAGTCTATAAAATATGCATATCATCAAAACCATGTTAATATTATCATGATCAACCACCCAGTCACCAGTACATGGGTGCCAAAACTCTTTTTTGAAGAGTGATCTGAAGTTGACGCGAAAGCTGACGTAGTATCAGAGGCAGAGGTGAACAAACCACTGGAGTAAGGCACTGCCAGTTGAGGCAACACTATCGATATTGTTGGCGATGGTGTTGACTGTGTGGCTGATTTCGAATTTGTCAACGTTCCATTGATTGCGTCGAATGACACTAGATTCTCTTCCTCAGTGTGGCGAACTGGAGCAAATCGCATACGACGATTGTCCACATCAAAGACCACATATAATTGTCGAAAAAGGGGAACTCCCATCATGATAAAATCAACATCAAACGGGGAAATACCATCAAGTGTACAATACTGGCTAGACCCCTCTAGGGGCACCACAAGATTGTGTAAAGGTATTGCCACGGAGAAGTCGCCAAAAGTAAACTCAAACACCAGAGTTTCATCACTGGGGCACTTGACCACATCCAGTCCTTGTTGCTGTTCCACTCCCAAAACGGTCAGTATCAACTGATACGTGTCTTTTGGAACGTAAATGTTGGCAGCACCTGTGTCCATAAGTGCCACCTTCGTCAGGTTGATAAGGGGATATCCCAAAAAGGTCATGTTTGTTAATGAAACATAATACGTGGTGGCGTTTTCAATCAATGGAATATCGGTAAATTCTCCAGAAACTTTTGCATCATCATACCCACCAAATATGATCAGTCCATTTTGACTCAGATTATCACTGAGGTAGACACCAAAGGATACCTGTTTGATATCACCCTGTTGCTGAAGCGAACGAGGTAAATTGGGGTACATGTCTCTAGTATCATTTGAAGTAATTCCCAGATCAAATCCCAATCCCAAAACTCCAAAGGGCAGCGTCAGGGAGTTTGCGACGCCAAAAATTTGACTTTTCACGTCCACATTCCCAATCTTAATTTGATCTGAGCCATATATGCCCTTGACTCGATCACCGCCAGCATACAGTATCTCCATAGACTTGTTCAAGTCAGTGTATGTGCTCAGGTCATTCGGGGCGAAGGCGCCCATAGCTTCGCACACGTTATTGCCAATCACAAACTCAGGAGGTACCAATGACGAGTCCAGAGTGCAATTTCCATGTACCTGGAATACCCACAACTCGGAGCTTGCTGTGTCAACTTGAACATGAACGACTTGGTCATTCAGGCCGATCTGAAGTGGCGCCAGCATCCAGTAATGATGGTCCTCCACAATCAATTTGGCGATACTCTCCCCTGCAGCCATAGCACCAGCAAGACAAAGGCATTTGCTCAATAACATTGCTGCTACCAGCGTGAAAGCCAGGTACACTCTCAGAAATCTTGATTCTTTTATGTGATCTTAATGGAGTAGCAAGGAGTTTGATCGGCGAAAATGCATGATGTGGCGCAGCCGAGAACACAATAATAGTTCTCGGAACAAATTGGGTGAAAGAGCATGATGGAGAGAAGTTACCATTTAGAACTATCAATTTGTTGCCGGTGAATAATTCATCTCCAAGATCTTGATATCATCTCGTTTGATCGGTGATGGGCTAGGAAGCATGTTGATGTAATTAAGATATTCGGTTAAACCAAGTGCAATTGAAGCAGGGATATTTTTCCGTCCAACTGAAATTCTTGATTGAGGTAATATTTATGACCTATACGTAACCAGTCACTACCATAGGAATGTAAACACTGATGAAACTCGTCTACCATGTTTATAGGTGCTCATAGGTTTGGCTTCCGGAGTGGCCTTGTCGTGAAACCACGGACCGATGACTTCACAATGATATATTAACGCAACGAGGTACCAGGTACCTAACGCTGCCGCCCCTGAACTGACAATGCAGGCAGATGAGGAACTGGGTTTGCACCACTTAAAGTTTACAGATTCGGCCGAATGCGCACTGAATAAGGAAAACTCATCAAACACACGCTTACACCAATTCGAAGTGGTTTTACAAGCTCTCGAACCGAAAAACCTCGTAGTCTTGATGATTGGTGCCAAGCACACAACCCTGAGATTCATCGATTGCCAATCGCAGGGGATTTGCTAGCTGGATTTGATGGACAACTTGGAAGTTGATGTCGTCATTTAAAATTTCACCGTATGCCAAGCGTAGTATCTCTACTGTAGTCATGACGACAATATGCGAGTTTGTAAGCTGTACCTCAAGTGAAGGTCTGGGTAGGACTAGCTTGAGCGTGGGGCTTGCTGTCAAGAGTACTGGATCAAATTTGGCAATTTCAAGTATAGATTCGTGTGTGGAAACAGCAACGATGTCAGTCTCGTTCATCAAAAGGTGAGGCCTGCTCACACTCAACTCAATAGCGGTGCCAAGATAAAAGACTTGCCCAAAAAACTCTTGAAAATCTGTGATGAGCTTGGACGTGTCCACTAGAGTACGATATGATCCATTAAGGATTGTAGGTTCGAAAAAGGATAATTGTGTCAGAATGGGAAACCACTGAAACAATGTAGAAGCTCCCATTTGGTTTTGTAAAAACTTCAAAATGTCACAAAGTTTGACTTCAGGTCCATTCAATTGATAATATTGCTGAATCTCATCTTCTTTAGCGAGCTTATCGATAAACTCAAACTTGATCCATTCTAACCATGTGAAAAACCTTGTCTTGTCGACATTAAGTTGACGCAATAGCTCGAATACCTCAACTATCTGCTTCTGAGTTGACGTCACAAGTTCCTTGAGTACGGACTCATTTAATCCAAACCGGAACGGCGATTCGGAATCAGCAACCCAACGACATAGCCCAAAAAGATCTTGAGCAATTATGAGGATCCGTTCAAGCGCAATTACAACCTGACTGAATATCGTATGCGCTAAATTATCGTAGCATTGTGAAGCGAGTTTGGATAGTAGTTTATAACCTCTTTCGCCCATTTGGTTCAACCAAAAATCTTTTGTCACTGGGTCTACTAGACCGGTGATCACGTATTCTTCGAAATAACTCGTTGTAACATTTTGTGGCACCCCTTGACATTCCGGGTCAAGTTCATCTCGAAGGAGACCAAGGTATCGATCTAACGCTGCAATAAACGGGTCCACTTCTTTGAGTGCATTATCCCACAGCTCCTTCATAGCCTTCTTGTACTTGAGAAGCTGACAAAGCTTCCGCACAACTTTCATAAAGTGATTCCTCTGTTCAGCGTCCTCGAGTTGAGTCAAGACTGGGACCAATTGATTGGTGTCATTCACAAATACCTGAGTGAAAAAGTCACCATTTTGTAAGTGATCAACAAAAGAATAACCCAGTCGGCAGGTGACATTGAGAAGGCCATCAAATGTATATCCCACGTTCGCAGCATCCGCCACTACAATATAATCAATCGAATCTGTAGAAACCATCTCATCCAGAAGTCGAGGTAGTTGCAGGACCAAATCAACCTCGATGAGCTTCTGATATTTGTCAAGTCCAGTGTCCTCAGGTCTTCGAGCTTTAGAAGTGATGTGGTGCCAATCAATAGCCCGAATATTGTCAAACTCACCATTGAGCTCTCCACAAAGCTCGCCGGTATTCAGATCGTATATCTTAATCTTGTTGTCATCTCCCAGTACGGCAAATTTCAAGCCATCATCAGCGAACCGTACACTGCGAATGGGCAGTCGATTGTTGATGGCGTAGATACGCTCTCCGTTCGGTCGATACACCCAAAGCGACATTCGATACATCAGGACACATAGTAGATGAAGTGCCGGGCACCAGGCAAACACGGTCCCATCGGCTCGACCCATAAACTTGGGCATGGCGGCTGATGTGTAGGCGCACCGATCAAAATATACGCGCTTGAATGATTCAGTGAAGTGCGTGCTATACTTGGGGAAATACCATAAACTACAAATTTTTCATGATATGGTTGATCTCTTTCGGAGATCATTAGTTACTATGTACATACTCAGTTTTAAACTTGCTGTCTGATGTTGACGACCAACCCGGGGCCTCTAGTCAGAGAGATGACAGCCTTACCAAGCAAGTTCGGCTTCTTGGTGCCGGGCGGTTGCAGGGCGTAGATAGCGTCAGACACCGCCTTCAAGTTGGCAACAATTTCTCGGTCGGAAAAGTCGGCTCTGCCAATGGGGATGGCTAAATGCTCACCCTTCTGCTTGAAAGGCATGGCACCCAGCGAGTTTCTCATCAAGTCCGACAAGTTCTCAGCCACAGTCCCCTTCTTTGCCAGAGGCATCAAACCCTTAGGCCCGATTTGACGAGCAATGGCCTTGAGCTCCTTCACGATGTCAGGGGTGGCGAAGGCGTGAGTCAACCCATCCAACTTGGTAGTACCGTTTTGAATCAGCTCAATAAGATCAGAACCACCGGCGAACTTAGCACCGTCGGCCTTCGCTTGCTCGATGACCTCAGGGTTACCGGAGAACACCATAACGTTTGATTCCTTAATCGGCTTGGGGAAGAAAATCTCCCCGGCCAACGGTTTTGACCCACGTTCGGGCAAAACCGTCATGTGTAACGAAATGGTGGTTCTGGAAGCAGGGAAGCCGACCTCGGCAGCACGAAGATAGCGTAAAGCTTGGGGAACTTCCATATAAAGAGGGTGCAATTCAGGGGCTTGCTTTTGCACAACCTTCCGCCGCTGCTCCTTCTTCAACCTCTTCTTAGCTTCCAGAGTGTCCTTGGCCATAGTCCGGGCCGTGGCGCTGAACCACCGCACACTTCTGGTGAACATTGTTGCGGACAGTGCTTGACGGATGGTGATGAATTTTTCGCACCGCGAGATGGTGGGTAGATCCATGGGTACTTTGAGGGTACCAAACGTGATAAAGAAAGAAGAAAGTCTGGCTATACCTGTATCATGAGACTGGTCCTTCAAACTATAAGACCTGGTCGTAAAGGTGTTTGAATATATTATAAAGCGCCGTATGTCGCACTTCCTTGCGTATGGTTGATGTGATCAAAAGTAATCGCAAAACAATCAAAGGTATACTTTGTGGACACGAAGGGATCTTATATTTCACTCATTGTAAACTTGTAGCGGAATTATCGAAATCTTAAAAACGCCAAATAATGGGAAAATCAAACGTACAACGATAGTATATGTTGTATCCTTGTGAATACATCAAAGGCTACAAAACTCGCGTTTCTGGGGTAATCGTCTGAAATCTGTACTTAGGAGAACCAATATAATGGTCATTTACACAAAACCACCGACATTTTGTCTCAATACCACGACAGACATTTGAAAATTCCATAGAGGCTTAGTTTCTCACCCAGCACGGCATTTTCGTGGCTTTATCGATACGGACGCGTTGTGCTCACTGTCCAATCATCACTTCGAGTAATCATTGTGAACTACAAATCTTCTACGTGAACTTCCGGCAAAACGTTTTTAATGGCACCAGTTTGAGTGCGCAATTCGACGACATAGGGCTATCTATATTGTAGATCAAGACGACTTCGTCTCTGCACTGATCTAGGTAGCGATGCAGGCATCTACCCTTGGTTCAAAACCTCTATCAAGCCGGCAGCGCCACTTTGCAACGAACCAAGTTGAATAGCATTCCGTGCATCGAACCAGCACCATTATTTTGCGAGTTAACGTTAAGGTTCGAAATGTGCGAGAACGATGACCCCCCCATCGAAAGATTAAAACCGAGACGGCAAAAAAAAGCAATACACAAATAGAGCTACACTGTGGGCATTCATTACGCGATTTCATTGATCAGCTGAGTGTTGTCAGATGATATCTGAATGACCCCAATGTCTTCTGCAGGAATATTGCCTGACATTCTTCAGGTTTTGTCCTTCTTTGCTGATGTGATTTCAGTCGTCGTAACTCGACTATATCTTGGCAAAATTAACTAAGTGAAAAAACTTTCGGTGGCAAACATGACTATTCCGAGATACCTCCTAACCTTAAGTAATGCATTTGTGATCCGCGGTGTTTACAGCACAGCAGTGCGGCTTAGCCGACCCAAAACGCGAGATCGGAAACTACCGAGGACGGCGCTTTTTTTTCATCATTCGGAATTACATTGGCGCACATGGTACATTACTTCGAACATGCTGCTGCCATGTCTCTCGTCCGGTAAATGTTATAGTGCATTGTCGTGAGCCATCAGTAGTATCGTGCGCGATGCGTTTTGAAAGAATTCCGATATTCTTTCCTATTTACGTGGCAGCATCATGCCACAGCCTCAGAGAAATATCCCTCGGCAGAAGTTGTCCGATATACCGGTCCGACATTTTTAGTTGGGTGGGCAGCGGGTGGCGGCCCGTATATGTGATGCGGCTCTCGGGACCGTTGATCAAAACCCCGGTGACATCAACTACGCTTAGATGTGCTCACAATCAACGCTACACAAAAACCTTGATTAGAAATACTGAAACGGAACAAGTTGTGAAGTAAACTCAGCTAGAGATAGTATTCAACCTCAGCTTACTCCTCAGCCTTCGCATACGATGGAAAAGCGCATTACACTTTATTGCAACGGTCAACCCCAATCTCGTCATTGCGCGCCCCAAAAAAAAAAAAGCATTACCGGTACATCCTTCGCGCTTGCGCCACAAACGCACAGCCTGTGCAATTTGATCGACCTTTGCCGCCATCTGCAATCGATGTTCTTCGGCCTCATGGGAATTGAACGATTTCGCCTCGGATACAATAAGAATATACCATGAGCCTCCAAGCAAAACCGCGCCACATCCCGTTATGGCTAAATTTTCCTCCCATCGATGATTGCGAGCGATCGTCCATGGAAGATGTCGAAACCGAATCAAATCGCCAACACTCGAGGATACCAGTACATCGCTAATGCTGTTGTCCTTCTTGAGTGCTATTTTGAATCATTCTCCCCGCCACGTTGCCCCTGACTTTGTCGCCGAGTTAACGGCTCAGGGTCGCACCACCCTATCTAAAATTCGTTTCATCTTCTCTCAACGCACGGAATTGCCCCAAATTTAGCCATATATGCGATGCACAGTTACTTCGTGGGGGTCTTACTTGGAGAGCAAGTGGAGGTGGTGCCGACGGTTGAGTGGTCTCCATCAGGTTTTCCTCCAGGCATAATTATGCGGTACCAACCCCGCATCTACCCCATTAGTAATGTCGTTAGTCCCTGGCGGCAACGCCCATCTCCCCATTCTCGATAGTCGGTATCCCCTGCACAATAAACCAGTGCATATGCACATATTTTCCTTGAGAAATTTTTATAGGCACCCAATCCTGCATCGTCACCCCGCAGACACCACCGACAAAACTACTCCGCTTAAGTTGAGCAATCCCCCAAATCACCACGAGAGAAAACCTCTGCACCACCAGGCATCGTTTCATCACCGCCATCCCTAAGCAAGCTTTACCGGTGACTGTCTCCCCCGCCCTATGAAGCCTGCGCGAAAGCCGAGGTTCACCCCCGCTAGCCCCCTGCCTTTGCTGGGGTCGCCGCTGCCTCATTATGGAGACGATGACAACCACGACTGCACCGGTCTGCTGGTGCTGCTGACATTCCTGATCGGCTCCAGACGGTCTCTTGATCACACCTATTCGCCGTTGACCGACGACAACTACGGCACGGATGACGATTTCGATGATGACAGGGAGCTCTATGGGGATGAAGTCAGTGAGGTCAATGACGATTCTCAAACCGAGGGACTGGACTTTATGATTCCCCCACAATTTTTGGCTCGACTTCGAACGTTCCCATTGTTTAATAAGGCCCCAAAACTGTTCCACTCCAAGATTGCCACCAACTTGAAACTTGTGAGCTTTCATCCTCAACAGTATATCATCCGTCAAGGCGATGCGCTGATGTCAATGTACTGGATTCTCAAGGGCACAGTGCTGGTGACGTCGACCGATGGGGAAGCCGTGTTTGCTGAGTTAGCTCCAGGATCATTTTTTGGCGAAATTGGTATTCTTTATAATCGACCGCGAACAGCAACGGTGGTGGCACGCACTCGAGTGCTTCTAGGGGTGCTTACTCTGGATGCCTTGAATGGTGTTTTGAAAAATTACCCTACCATTGAACGAAGGATTCGCGATGAAGCGCAAGAAAGACTCGCTATGCAAGAGAAGAAGCGTAAGAAGGATCTCCAGCCATACTATCCTTCTGGCATGGACACTAATCTTGCTCCGGTAGTGGCAAACTCTATTGTGGCTCCTGTAGCGAAAGCACCCATTGCCTCGCAAATCGAACTCACCCCGGGCCCGCTGATACCTCCCCAGGCGGGTGGCTCGGCTCTGACTTGCCTTGATTCGACTATCTCTGTGAAAGAGTTTATTATGAGCCTCCCCATCTTTGCACAATTGCCTCTGCGGATTATCCATAAAATTGCCCTCATGGCAGAGCCCCTTCGAGCGCCAGCATTTGACTACATTTTCCGCAAAGGTGATAAAGGTCTGGATATCTACTTCATCATTTCGGGCGAAGTTGAGGTCATCGACAACGCCAGTACTGATAAACAAGAGCACGACGCCCCCAGCCATCTTAATGAGAAGATCCTTGCTCGTCTAGGTCCCGGCTCCTACTTTGGTGAGATTCTGTTCTTGCTGCTTTTGAACAAACGAGTAGACGACACCCGCAGTGCCACCATACGTGCCATTCTGACCGTGGATTTGATCGTCGTCCGTACTGAAACGCTTCAGCAATTATGCAGCCAATACCCTCAATTAGTGAAAGACATGCGCCGTACGGCCGAAGAGCGCATTAATAAGAACAAGTATCACCAGGGGAAAAATCGGCTATCCATCGAGAACTTGATTAATCGTGAGAGACTTGGAACTATGGACCTGCGGCTGCTGATAAGCCAGGCATTAGCAGGCCTGGTGGCTCAGTTAGATGCTATCCCTCCAAAGGATTGCTGCGACGGACTAGTATCACCACCATTATGCCTGCCTCATCTGTCGCGAACGAATTCACCGGTGCAAAGGATACATTCACTTTCTCCTAAGGAGACGTCTCCATTCACGGGTCTGGGGCTTTTTAACGCTGGTTGGCTGTTTTCCAACAAAGCCACCGCAGCATCAAAACTGAGACTGGTCTCGCCCATCACCATAACTCATGACTCAGGTCCCTCATCGATGCTGCAGGTGCTGCTGCTGACAGGGAGCCAGGCTCGTAAGCGTAAGCTGGTTTACGATGTGCCGGCAACGACGTTGACACTTCCTCCACTCAATCCCTTGAGTCCTCTGTTAAACACATTTGACCACGATCTGCCACTGCGGCGGGGACTGTTACTGCTGTTCCAGTACATGCCACATTCGAAGCGTTTACGACTCGCTCTGGTAACACAAGGTCGAAGACGTTCTTCGGTTCTTGCTAATCCTTCTCCACTCCCTGACAGAATCCTCTTGAGAGTGTTTGAGCTTCTCGATCTCCCCGAGCTTATGAAGCTCAGACAAGTACTGAGACGTTGGCGCCATTTGTTGCACGCCGCACCCAATTTGTGTACCCATCTTGATTTGGGTCAATGGAATACGAAGATCGACGACAAAGCCATAATTTCTATAACTGATTTTGTTGGTGGTCGTGCCGTTTGCATTGACATCTCCAATTGCTTCCACATGACGGATGAAGGTTTTCTGTATCTAATTAATGAGGTTGGTATGCTGGGTCGTCTCACCTCGCTCAGAATGAGACTGAATTGGGACTTACTGGCGATGGCTATAATGGATCTTACAGCGCCGCTGGTTGGCCGTTACCTTGAGGAGCTTGATTTAAGCAATTGCCGCAAAGTGCGTGACAATGTTGTTGAAAGACTTATTGGATGGGATGACCCTGAACTAGCTCGTCAAGGTACTATCGAAGACTTGGATTATGCTATTGATCAAATTGGTTGTAAGAATCTCAAGGTCTTACATTTGGGATATTGCAAGCATCTCACTGACAACGTCATGTTACATATTGCCAACCATGCGCTGAAGCGTTTAGAAATGTTGGATTTGACTCGCTGTACTACTATTACCGACCATGGATTTCAATATTGGCTGTACGTGCTGTTTCCCAACCTCAAAAAGTTACTGCTCAAAGATTGTACTTTCTTGACTGATAAACTGATCATTGCTCTTGCTCTGTCTTGTCAGAACCTTGAGATCTTGGACCTCAATTTCTGTTGTGCCCTTACCGACGTTCTGATTGAAGTCTTAGCCATGGGTTGTCAGCAGCTTCGGGAATTGGATATGCTGTTCTGCGGACTGGCAGTGCTGGATCTGCTGCTTGTGACATTACTGATGCTGCTAGACAAGTTGGAACGTCTCATAGTCAAAGGTTGCATTAGAATTACCCGGGCTGGTGTTGACGCCTTAATTCTGGGCAGAGCACCGCTTACCTTCATTGACATACGCCAGTGCAAGCACGTCAATGTATACCCCGAAGGAGTTCCGGCACAAACCCTCAACATTAACCCTCAGACCCGTCTGGCATTCGTTAAAGCTGGACCTTACCACAACGTGATTGAAATTGCGTTATGAGTTATTTATTAACGATGTATTATATTTATAGACTAATGAGATATGACATTATGAGATTTCTACAAGCTGAATCCAATTCACTTCCTGAGGGTCGTGTTCATACAATGCGAGATTTATCTGCATCACGCATCTCACATTATGCTGCTCTGGGATGTACTATTGGTAATTCGACTTCCACTACTTAACTTGATTTGATGTACACGACTCCTATAGGTTGGCGTGCTGCGATATGAGCTGTAAAACGGTTACGGCGTATGCATCCATATGGGGTAGTGAATTCCGCGGATATGCATATCATCTATTCTCAAGTCACTCTGCCTTTTCGCGCTAAACACATTCTTAGTCTATAGAAATTTTCTGATATTCATTACATTAAGCGACGGAATCGCAATTTTCGATTAAATTCGTAAGACCAAGACTAAACAAAGAGACTCTAGTCACACTCAAAGCCGTTTAATAAACTTCAGCCAAAAAATTTCAAACTTAGATCAAAACATCAAAAAATGTTGACATCGACGTGATTCGAACACGCGCATCTTACGATAACAGAAACCCCAACCTCTAGGCTGAGAAGCTTACGCTTGAGTCTGCCGCCTTAGACCACTCGGCCACAATGCCATTATTGACTTTAAATCATTCAATTCGATGATGTCAGTTAAGCGGTGAGGCAACCATCAAATTTCGGTACTTACAAGCCTGATAACTATCTTAACAATAACCCGAACACTTGAAACTATAACTTCAGCTCATATTTGCGGCAAAATCATGGTTGGGACCAGGTCTGACTTTTTTAATTCACGGGCGTCGCTTCTGGATTTACTCATTTGACTCTGAATAAGGGCCAGAAGTTACTATTTCAAACCATAAACAAATAAGAATCCAAGATTGTATTACAGAGAAAACAAGAGGAAACATTTCATTGGTCTACTCATATTCCGGAAGACACTTCACTCAGGTTTTGACACGCCAAAATTCAAAAATAACATATACGGATTAGAAGAAAAAAATATCAGACGGATTATCATGGTTCCGCAATTATCAATACGGTGCTTTACGGTGCTTTCAATGTTAGCTGATTGTTTGATTTTTGATCTCGGCATTTACTCTGCGGCTTTCTCAAATACACACGATGTTGCAATCTCTGGTAAAATGAACAAAACTTTCAATTCAGCAAATGAGCAGAAAATGCGAGACTGCCAGGGTCGACTTAATCATTTTATAAATCGAACAGACACATGAGACTCGGTCTTCGTGAATACAAGTATCAGACATATTTTGGTTTACCATCAACATTTGGTGTACTATATGTTCTGCATAGAAGTCTCAACGTCTGCACGTTATACAGGTGGTAGAGACACCCTGTAAAAACTATAATGACGCAAGATTCCATAATAATAGACGATAAGCCGTGCCTCACAAGTTCCTTCTCGGAGGAAACAACGATGGAGATAGAGCGGCAAATCAGATATGCCATCGAAAACATGAATGACCGATATGGTGTTCTCAGTTTCGTATTCCCCCAATCACTCTAATAAAACCGGGCCGGCTCTGAATGACTTTTTTTTCGAATCTTGGTGCAGACGACGGCATGCCCCTCATATGATGGATAACTGACATCTCAAAATATGGAACACATGAGTATCTGAAGGCTCCTACACACGTACCATTCCAATGCACAACATAGGTTAAAAAGGAGACAATAAAGAACACAACGAGCAAGGAACTTCTACAAGCTTACTCCTTGGCCATTCTTGGGAATTTTGGAATACCTGAAGCACACGTAATTTAGCATATCCTTATACATTCAATCAGCCCGGCTGGTAATGATATGAATTGGCATTCAATTACTCACGTTTTACAAAAGAAAAATCTGCAATTAGATCTAACACTTACATGCTTTAATGAAACCCAATCATAGTGGAATTGCTCTATATCCAGTCCTGTAATATTAACTAAAGGTTTTAATATTGCTCTCAATAGTCATCGCTTCCGGTTTTTCTTCAGCTTATCCTCAAATTTTATGAAAGATGCGGGCACGCCCCACTTGTTCTTAAGCAAATCCACAATAACGGGACCATGAGGACCTTGCACTTGTACCTCCATTAGTTTGGGGTTTTGTACACACTCATGAATGGTGGCGCTGCCTTGACATTTGACCTTAAGCTCATCCGAAAGTGCGACAGGTTTTATATAAAACCGCTCAAAATCCACAACCTTCGTAATAGTCTTTCGGCCAATCTTCGTTTCGGTAATTACTTGAATTTTGGGAGGTTCCCCCTTATACATTTCTCCTCGCTCCTGACCAGGCTTGATAACTTCGCAATGAGGAGAGAATCCTTTCAAGAAAGCTTTAGATACAGCGTCGCGAGGTGCACTAGGTTCTTTGAGTCCTGTTGCTGCTTTGAGATTTTCGTCCAAAATCAAATTCTTAGGATTCTTTTGATCAACTTGCCCGTGCTTCTTCACGTAATTGTCCAAAATCTTCTTCACGTCACCAGCAGCGTATAACCGTTGGTAATTGAGGTCAAGATCATTGAAAATAAAACGGTAGTGTCCTGTGGGTTTGTACCAGCTTTTGATTTGTAGTAAGCTTGAGTTCTTCAGAGCAGTAGGCTCAGTTGGAGCTGCTTGAGCTTTTGCAATCGTTTTATGAGTGACAAAGTTTTGAATCTGGGGCGAGTTTGTACTCATAAGCTTGATAATTTGTAAATCATCATCTTTACCTTTGACGCTCAAATAGCCTTCTTTAGCCATGGCTTTGAGAAATTTTGTGGTCTTTTTCCACGAGGTTTTCTTCACGTTGGCATAGCTTGAGTCTATCACAGGAAGATTTTTGTAAATGTACTGGGACATGAATGTCGATGCCGGAATTGGAAGATCAATTTCGCTAGTTTTGATAGTTTGAAAAAGCAGACGAATGAAAAATTTATCGAGGTCTTCCACTGATAGGGAAGCGACATCATCGGTCACATTATTGACGGCATTGTCGTCACCAGTAGCAACGTCTCTTGTTCCCTCCAATACGATTTCGGTGTTTCCATCAACTGCATCTTCGGAATTTACAGTATCAGTTGCAGCACTTTCGGGAATTAGTTCGGTGATGGACTTGACTTCTTCGGGAACGGTTATATCAACTTTAGCAAGCTTGTAAAGCTCATCACCGACCAGATGAATGACATTTACGGCCACCCCAGTGCGGCCAATAACTCTATCAAATTGAGTCATGTTAAGGTTTGTCACTCCTATCGCTTTGATAACCAGAGTGTGAGCCGAATCACTAACGCCGACAATCACACCCTTTACCGCTCTCTTGTCGAAGGGTGGAATAGTTCCAGGAAGCATCAAGTCAGCTCCACCTGCAAGTACATCAATGACATGAGGGTGGGTAATGATCACAGGCAAAAACGCACCTGCTTGCCAGCAAGTGTATACCAGTGGATACAATTTGGAATCACGCTCCTTAAACCACACAGGAGTTTCGTTCTCATCAAAATAAATAATGCCACTGCTTCCAGCATCGGTTTTGAAGTTGGCTTGCTTGACTGTGTTGGGAACCAACCGAAGCTGATCTTCTTTGCTCAACTGATCCAAATCAACTCCATAAGTGGCGGCAATGGTTTGAAGGAGCTTTCGCCGTTCACTAGACTTGATGTTAGCCAGAGCCTTCTGATGAGGAGGTTTCTTGAACATGCGAATTTAACGTCAAAGTTCAGCTAACGACATCGCCAGCGTCCCTACAAAAAGTGCGATCAAGAACAAAAAGTCAGCTTCCACACATGCTCCAATTGATGTTTCTAATAGTGGTCTTTTCATTCTATTGTTAAATAGTCAACTTTATTTGGTGGTCTTATGTTAAATCACAGCAATCTTTTTGTCGAAGCGAACGTGAAGTTAATAGAAAAAATATTAAATAAAAGCATTGTAGATAGCATTCGCTGAAATCATTAAAGCTTCCAAATACTGTCTTGATGTCAGTCCGTGTGGAGCTTGAATGGTGGACACCGCTGAATAGTACCAGATTGTCGAAGAATGCGACACGTCCACGTCGCACAATACCATGGGGTCGAAGGAGCTCTTCCCTATAACACGGATCCGAAATGTGGTGTTGTTCGCTCTGGTGATATTCATTGTTGTTACAGGGTTTGCAACAATTACATTCACCACCTCCATTGAGAAGCATCCGTTACCGTTGCAGCATATCGCTAATGCCAGCACTGTTGTATCTCAAGGTGTGAAATACCAAGTTCCCGTATACGTGGACGTTCCAAACTCACAAGAACATGTGGTGGAAGCACTTGAGTCCAGATTCAATAGCGAGTTATCGCTGTTACCAAGAATTGCTTCGCAGTGGCTGATCAAATGCATTCGGGGACCCGCAAACCCTGACACGGACTACGTGATCGAACTCCAGCCTGGCAAAGATGCCGGTTACCACATCTCACCTTTTTCGAAGAAGATAACCCTCTACGTTAACGAAGCTGTTAAGCAGGGGGAGAATGTTGTTGAGCTTGGCACGAGCGTTTTGCATCAAGTTTTCGACTATGAGGTGGCAAAGTTTGCTGGAAACATTAAATCTAGTGCCATAGAAGTGCCCTACAGTTCGCGATATAATGTTGTATTCAGTCTTTTCTCTGAACTGGGACACCCAGTCCAATGGAAGATCGATGAAGCACTCAAATTATTCGACCCCATCTTTGATTCCCTCAAAGAGTATGCAAATTTTTCCGTATCGCTGCAAATCCAATATTACTCGAATTTGGCGGAAGGTGTTCAATTTAATCGGGAGATTGATCGTCAGGTACTTCGACTGGAGCATTTATCGACATTTATCAACCATGGTGACTGGAACTTGTTTTCTCACGACATAAACCCCACAATCAACTTCATGATGTATATTCCAGAGAAGAACTACGAAGATGTTCCCACAGTTATTGAAAACTCTGCTCTGAACTCATTTCTAGTACCGCAGTGGGGTGGTGTGCATGTATTGAGTCGGCCAATGGCTAAAGCAAAAGACGAACGCGAAACTGTGCTTAGCGAAGATGAGTTATTACCAGTAATGGAGATCTTCGCATCTCAATTTACTCAATTGATAGGTATGGGAAATCAGCCAAAGCTGTTGGCGATGCGGACGCTGCTGTTATACCGAACACAACTGAATGACAATCTTCAGCAAGCTCTTGATATTCTCAATAGTTTGGTTAAGGTGGTTATATCGTTGGAGGGCATCGCCATTCCTGAGGCCACCGTGGAGCTTGTGCGCAAGCTGTTGTCTAGTGTCGCTGAACTGCTGACCCTAATCAGTGCGGGAGAATTTGAAGGAGGAATGAAAGAGTCAGCCAAGGCCGTTGATTACGCCAACCGAGCATTTTTCGAGAAGGAGATGGTTCAACAGGCTTACTTCCCATCAGAACACAAAATGGCAGTATACTTGCCGTTGTTGGGCCCCGTGGGGCTGATCTGCATTTTTGCGTTGTTGCGAGTGGCTGTCGATGCCAAGCGGAGGATGAAGCACAAGAAAACACAATAGGTCAGTGGTCATTGATTTGATTGTACGCCTCCGCTGTGCTATCCATGACCTTATCGAATAACGCTAAAAATAGATGGAGATTACGAATTGCGATATTATTTACTCCATGCGATTTGTAGTTACGCCAGTGGCATTATGTAGCTGAAGATATAACCCATGCTGCAAAAATACGATGAAGTGACAAGTTCACCCATGACCCCGTTCAAAAACCATCTAGAGACGAGAGTAAAAGCTGGCGACAGTGGTGTACGTGGAGACCACTACACGGATGATGTCAACGAATGACCTCAGTAGCGTTTGTGGTCGATATCGGTATTGTTTGTTACTAGGCGCCACTAGAGCAGTACGGTTGGGGGGTGATCTCACGTGATCTGCAAAAAAACGCGCCAAGCCATGTGCAGGCCAGCCGATGATGCTGGCTGGCTGATAAATGCAAGTGTCCCATCTGGGTAAGATGCCCTCACTACCAATCAAAATATGAGCAACCGGATGTTGTTTGGCGGTCTGGCCCTTGGTCTTGCTGGACTTGCATCTTTCCTCTGGGGTAGTCTGAAACCGGTGGCGGTGTCAGCACCCGTCTCCACCGGTGATGTACTCCCCTTCGCCCACGGGGGAAATGAAGTGTTTGATCCCTCTCAAGTAAGACCCCAGGACTTCTTTAAGTATGGGTTCCCCGGTCCGATCCACGATATGGGTAATCACAATGAGTTCGTGCTGTGTTTCGACCGCAAGACACGTAACCCTTATTGGGTGGTGGAGCATATCACTAAGGATTCAATCAAACGCACAGATGGGGTCGATCGCAAGAAGTCGGTGTTTAAGGAAGATGAAGGCGTTCCGGCTAAGTTCCGTGCTCGTTTGCGGGACTACTTCCGGTCAGGCTATGATCGGGGTCACAACGCTCCCGCTGCCGATGCCAAGTTTAGCCAACAAGCGATGGACGACACTTTCTTGCTTACTAACATCTCTCCCCAAGTTGGTGACGGCTTCAACCGTGATTATTGGGCCTACTTCGAAGACTTTGCTCGTCGTCTCACCACTAAGTACGACGACGTTCGTATCATGACTGGACCGTTATATTTACCTAAGTTGTGCCCTGATGGTAAATATCGCGTCACCTACGAGATGATTGGATCACCTCCCAACGTTGCCGTCCCCACCCACTTCTTCAAATTGGTCGTCGGCGAACGCACGGGACTGGACACTCTTGCCGTGGGGGCATTTGTGTTGCCCAATGAACCCATCGATAACACCGACCCGTTGACGAAATACCAAGTTCCCGTGGAGGCTCTCGAACGTTCGTCGGGTCTTGAATTACTCCAAAAGGTGCCACCCAACAAAAAGAAGGACTTGTGCCGTGAAGTCAACTGTGCCGTGGTGGTTAGAGAGTTCCCTCAACAAGTAAACAACCTTATCGAGGGAAAAAAGGATTAACCATGAATTGCATTAGAAACTTATCAATATCAAATACAATAAAGATCACGTATTAGCATCTTCATTCTTGCTTCCCCTCCTGTAGAGGTGGTAGAACCTGATGGAAATTCTGCACACAGGCCGCGCTCACTATATAGAGTCAAGCAATACGACCCGATCTCACCTACCATGCCTAATTCCATTTGTTACTTTGACATCACTAAGGATGGCGAGCCCGAGGGCCGCGTCGTCTTTGAATTGGCCAATGACGTTGTCCCTAAAACCGCTGAAAACTTCAGGGCATTGTGCACTGGTGAGAAGGGTATTGGAAAGTCGGGGAAGCCATTACACTACAAGGGTCTGAAGTTCCACCGTGTGATCAAGGACTTCATGGTTCAAGGCGGTGACTTCACTGCTGGCAATGGTACTGGAGGTGAGTCGATTTACGGCGAAAAGTTTGAAGATGAAAATTTCAAGTTGCTTCACGACAAGCCGTTCCTCCTTTCGATGGCGAATGCTGGTCCAAACACCAACGGATCGCAATTCTTCATTACCACTGTCCCCACTCCTCACCTTAACGGCAAGCATGTTGTGTTTGGGAAGGTCATTGAAGGTAAAGGTGTTGTGCGCAAACTCGAGCGGTGTGAAAAGGGCGCTGGCGACGAACCTGCTCAAGAGTGGGTGATTGCTGAATGTGGGGAATTACCTAGTGACTACGTTCCTAAAGGTACCGCCGATGCCACTGGTGATCCCTACGAGGAATGCTTGCAAGACTGCGACAACATTGACACCAAAGAGCCCCAACTGGTCTTTGATGCTGTTACTAAGCTTAAAGATATCGGCACGGCTCAATTGAAACAAGGGAACTTGGATGTGGCGTACGCCAAGTACAACAAAGCCGCCTTGTTTTTGGACGATTACTTCCCCGATGATTTGAGTGATGCCGACTTGGCCACTTTGCATTCGCTCAGAGTTGCGTGCAACTTGAACGCCGCTCTTGTTGCACTCAAGCTCAAATCAGGTAAGAAGGCGGTCGCGGCTGCTTCTAAGGCGTTGGACGAAGAAGGTATTGACGAAAAGTCAAAGGTGAAGGCATTATATCGGTTGGGCATGGGTTATAACCTCGCTAAAGACGAAGCTAGTGCCGAAAAGTACTTGCAGCAAGCTCTTGCCTTGGAACCCAACGACGCCGGCATCATAAATGGGTTGAAAGAGGTCAAGGAGAGCCAACGTAAACGTAGAGAAAAGGAAAAGAAGGCGATGTCTAAGTTCTTCTCCTGAACATATAGCATCATGGAACTGTTTTTTGAGAAGACTTCCTTATCAAAATAAACGAAGATTAAAATTCTTTTGGGCGTTACGCTCACTGGGGTATTGTTTTCGTTGTAGATGTCAGTGAGCTTATTTGATACCCCGCTGAATTATATGCACCTTGTAAGTCTTATCAACTGATACACCGTTTAGGAATTTGCCACCATGACCACTTCACTCACCTAAATTCTTCCAAAATTGTGTGAGAATATGGCTACTTTCATGGTGCACTTTCGTCACGCGTGTAAATGATCTTCGAGCCTTCTGCAGCGTTCCACGTTTACGCGCTTTCCCCCCTCCATGGTCCCATCGAACCTTAGCGTCAAAGGAAGATTTTACCATGGATGACGTAGGCGGCAAATTAAAGAGTCATGTTGGTGACGGCAGATAATCATAGACGTTCGATTGGAATGCATCGGTGGCGTTACACGAGAAGATGGCGTTACTAATATTGTGGAGAATGTGTGTCGTTGCTGCCATACTGTCTGCAGTACGGCTCTCAAAAATTTTCATCCAGTGCGCCACCCATAACTCCCGATAACCTGGTGCTAGGCCGTTTCCTGACACCCTCCTTCACCGCTTATACCCCCCTTGTGTGTGTGCTGACTGATACTCCGGTTTTATAAGCGTCACAGGGTTGTATTTGCATCACAACTGTACTGGCACTGATGTCGAGACAGTTTCCTTACTCGTCGGCCCCGCTTCGCGAGATTAAGGAGGTCCAATTTGGCCTCCTCAGTCCCGAAGAGACTCGGGCGATCTCGGTGGCTAAAATCGAGTTCCCTGAGACCATGGACCCCGCCACAAAGAAGCCTCGTGAGGGTGGGTTGAACGACCCTCGGTTGGGACTGATTGACCGTAATTTCAAGTGTCAAACGTGTGGTGAGGATATGGCGGAATGTCCCGGGCATTTTGGTCACATCGAACTTGCTAAACCAGTATTCCACATCGGCTATATTGCAAAAATCAAAAAAACATGTGAGCTGGTGTGTATGCACTGTGGTAAGTTGTTGTTTGACGAACTGAACCAGGCGATGGCTCAAGCCATTCGTATTCGCGACCCCAAGCGCCGGTTCAACGCAGTTTGGCTGGTTTGCAAATCTAAAATGGTGTGTGAAGCGGATGTTGTTGACGAGAACAATCCCGACTCAATCGTTGGGCCTCGCCGGGGTGGGTGTGGTCACACCCAACCCACAATCCGTAGAGACGGGCTCAAATTGTGGGGGACATGGAAGAGCAACAAGAACTTCGATGAACTGGACCAACCGGAACGGCGGTTGTTGACTCCGGCAGAAATTCTTAACGTGTTTAAGCACATCTCACCCGAGGATTGTCACAGGTTAGGGTTTAATGAAGATTATGCCCGACCCGAGTGGATGCTCATCACGGTGTTGCCTGTGCCCCCTCCTCCTGTGAGACCGTCTATTGCATTCAATGACACTGCTCGTGGTGAGGATGATTTGACGTTCAAGCTCGCGGATGTTCTCAAAGCGAATATAAATGTTCAGCGTTTGGAGATGGATGGGTCGCCGCAGCACGTTATTGCCGAATTCGAGGCGTTATTGCAATTTCACGTTGCTACCTATATGGATAATGATATTGCTGGTCAGCCGCAGGCGTTGCAAAAGACTGGTAGACCGATCAAATCTATTCGCGCCAGACTCAAAGGTAAGGAAGGGAGATTACGGGGTAACTTGATGGGTAAGCGTGTGGACTTCAGTGCGCGTACTGTCATTTCCGGTGACCCTAACTTGGATTTGGATCAGGTGGGGGTGCCATTGCTGATTGCTCGTACTCTTACGTATCCTGAAATTGTCACTCCCTATAACATCCACAGACTTACGGAGTATGTCCGCAATGGTCCTCAGGAACACCCTGGTGCCAAATATGTCATCAGAGACACTGGTGACCGTATTGATTTACGGTACAATCGCCGTGCGGGAGACATTGCTCTTCAGTATGGGTGGAAGGTTGAACGACACCTCATGGATGACGACCCTGTGTTGTTCAATCGTCAACCCTCCTTGCATAAGATGTCCATGATGGGTCACAGAGTCAAGGTCATGCCTTACTCAACTTTTCGTCTTAACCTTTCAGTCACGCTGCCTTATAATGCTGATTTCGACGGTGACGAAATGAATTTGCACGTCCCTCAATCACTGGAAACTAGAGCCGAATTGCTGGAGATCTGTGCCGTGCCGTTGCAAATCGTCTCACCCCAAAAGCTGGCTCCTGTTATGGGGATTGTTCAGGATACCCTTTGCGGTATTCGTAAGATGACTCTTCGTGATATCTTCATTGAGTATGAGCAAGTCATGAACATGGTGTATTGGATTCCCGACTGGGACGGGGTTATTCCTCCACCCGCCGTGATCAAGCCCAAGCCCTTGTGGACAGGGAAGCAAATATTGTCGATGGCCATTCCTAAGGGTATTCACTTGCAACGTCTAGACGGTGACGGTGCTAGCGCGTTATTGCTGCCCAAGGACAAGGGGATGTTGATCATCGACGGTGAAATTGTTTTGGGTGTTGTCGATAAGAAGACCGTGGGTGCCCTGGAAGGGGGGTTAATCCACGTTGTTTTCAGAGAAAAGGGTCCCTATGTCTGTGCGCGACTCTTCGGTAATATCCAAAAAGTCGTCAACTATTGGTTGTTGCATAATGGTTTCTCCATCGGTATTGGTGATACCATCGCTGATAAGGACACCATGAGACAAATTACTGGGTTCATTGCTGATGCCAAGGTGAAGGTGGCTCAGATCATCAAGGATGCCCACAATAATGATTTGGAACCTCGTCCAGGTATGACACTTCGTGAATCCTTTGAAAACTCGGTGTCAGTTGTTCTTAACCAGGCTCGTGATGATGCTGGTAAAGCTTCAGAAGTGAACCTTAAGGAACTTAATAACGTTAAGCAAATGGTGGTTTCGGGTTCTAAGGGTTCATACATTAATATCTCGCAAATGTCGGCTTGTGTTGGTCAACAAATTGTTGAAGGTAAGCGTATCCCTTTTGGGTTTTCTGACCGTACTTTACCCCACTTCACCAAAGACGATTACTCTCCTGAACTGCGTGGGTTTGTGGAAAATTCTTACTTGAGAGGTCTTACTCCGCAAGAGTTCTTCTTCCACGCTATGGCTGGGCGTGAAGGTTTGATTGATACCGCTGTGAAAACTGCCGAAACTGGGTACATTCAACGTCGGTTGGTCAAGGCCTTGGAGGATATCATGGTTCACTATGATGGGACCACTCGTAACTCTTTAGGTGACATTATTCAATTCCTTTATGGTGAAGATGGGATGGATGGTACTCAAGTGGAACGGCAGCTGTTGGACACATTGCCTGGTACCACCATGGCGTTTGAACGCCGTTACCGCATTGACTTATTGGATCCGAAGTTGACTATCTCTGAGCTGTTGTTGGAATCGGGTAAGGACATTCAAGGTGATGTCAAACTTCAACAGGTCTTGGATGAGGAGTACAATCAACTTCAAAAGGACCGGGATTACTTGCGGCGTGTGTGTTTCCCCAACGGGGAGTACGTGTGGCAATTGCCTGTCAACATTCGTCGTATTATCCAAAATGCACAGCAAAAGTTCCACGGGGGCCGTCAACGCGCCCTGGACTTACGCTTGGACGAAATTGTTCAACAAATCAGTGACCTTTGTTCGAGGGTCACTGTCGTTCGTTCGAGTAAGGATAACTCAACATCTACTCAGCTGTTGGTTGAGGAGTCCCAACAGAACGCCACATTGTTGTTCCAATGTCTTGTGCGCTCGAGACTTGCCGCTCGGAGGGTGGTGGAAGAATATCGTCTTAACCGGTTATCGCTTGAGTGGGTTATCGGGGAAATCGAAACTCAATTCCAAAAGTCTCTTGTTCATCCCGGTGAAATGGTGGGTGTTATCGCTGCTCAATCTATTGGGGAACCTGCAACTCAAATGACCTTGAACACTTTCCATTATGCTGGTGTGTCCCTGAAGAACGTCACTTTGGGTGTTCCTCGTTTGAAGGAAATTTTGAACGTTGCGAAGAATATCAAGACGCCTTCATTGACGATCTATCTCGACAAAGACATTGCTGCTGACATTGAAAAGTCTAAAGTTGTACAAGCTGCCATTGAGCATACCAATTTGCAAGGTGTCACCGCGTCAACTGAAATCTATTACGATCCAGACCCCAGAACTACTGTTATTCCCGAGGATCTTGACACAGTTGAAGCTTACTTTGCCATTCCTGATGAAAAGGTGAATCAGCTGCTCAGTCGTCAATCACCTTGGTTGTTACGTTTGGAACTTGATCGTGCCAAGATGATTGACAAGCAATTGACCATGTCTCAAGTTGCCGAGAAGATCACTCAAAATTTTGGTGACGATTTGTTCGTGATTTGGTCCGACGATACTGCTGATAAGTTGATTATCCGGTGTCGTGTGGTTCGTGATCCCAAGCAATTGGATGAAGACACCGATGCCGAGGAAGATCAAATCTTGAAGCGAATCGAAGCACACATGTTGGAGGAAATTTCTCTTAGAGGTATCAAGGGTATTACCAGAGTGTTCTTGGCACAAGAAGATGCCCCCATTATCAAGCCTACGGGTGAATTTTCCAAGGAAAAGGAATGGACTCTTGCCACTGACGGGGTCAATTTGGCTGAAGTCATGCAAGTGGAAGGCGTTGATTACACGCGTGTCCGTTCCAACAATTTCATTGAGGTGTTGCAAGTTTTGGGTATTGAAGCTTGTCGTGGTGCTTTGTTCAAGGAGTTGAAGGATGTCATTGAATTTGGTGGTTCCAAGGTTAATTACCGTCACATGGCATTGTTGATTGATGTTATGACTTCGAGAGGTCACTTGATGGCTATTACCCGTCATGGTATCAACAGAGCTGATACTGGTGCCTTGATGAGATGCTCATTCGAAGAGACTGTTGAAATTTTGTTGGAAGCCGGTGCTGCTGCAGAATTGGATGACTGTCGCGGCATCTCTGAAAACGTTATGCTTGGACAAATGGCTCCACTCGGTACGGGTGCTTTTGATGTTATGGTTGATGACAACATGTTGCAAGATGCTCCTGGTATCATTGAAGCTGGGGAATATGAGGATGGTGGTGCCACGCCTTACCGCGACTATGACTTGGAGGATGACAAGATTCAATACGACGATGGTGGTGCGTTCTCGCCGATTCACACTGCTCAAGTGGGAGGTGAGTCTGGTGGGCTCACGTCTTACGGTGGTATGCCTCTGTCCCCTGGTGGGGCCACTTCGCCGTTCAACTATCCCACCTCGCCTCTGTTCCTGGGTGCAACTTCCCCTGGTTACGGGGGTATTTCGTCGCCTTCGTACAGTCCTACGTCGCCTTCTTACAGTCCCACGTCTCCTTCATACTCACCCACGAGTCCTCTGTACTCGCCGACGTCGCCATCGTACTCCCCTACCAGTCCCCTGTACAGCCCGACTTCGCCCTCATACAGTCCCACGTCTCCGTCGTACTCGCCGACGAGTCCTCTGTACAGCCCCACCTCCCCTCTGTATTCGCCTACCAGTCCTCTGTACAGCCCGACATCTCCGCTGTACAGCCCTACGTCGCCGTCGTACAGTCCCACGTCGCCTTCTTACAGTCCGACATCTCCTCTGTACTCACCGACGTCGCCGTCTTACAGTCCTACGTCGCCTCTGTACAGCCCTACCAGTCCCTCGTACAGCCCCACTTCCCCGCTGTACTCTCCCACTTCGCCTTCGTACAGCCCGACGTCGCCCTCGTACAGCCCCACGTCACCACTGTACTCGCCTACGTCGCCGCTGTACTCGCCAACGTCGCCGCAGTATTCGCCTACATCCCCTCTGTACAGCCCTACTTCACCTCTGTACTCCCCAGGATCTCCGCAATACTCCCCTCCCGGAGAAGACGACGATGAAAAGAAGGACTAATTGTATTATAAACATTTTCAAGTGCAAAATATCGGTAACAAGTATGATCTATAACGAATGGTCACAAATCTTAATACAATCAAAACGTAGAGCTTTTACCGATTCTCTTAATGCATTTATATTCTCCCACATCGATTCGATTGCGAAAGACCACTATATATCTTCAGTAATCGAACAATCCGTCATCGTTGTTCGCCCATTCATCTTCACCTTCACTCCAATCCAGACCACTTTCATCTTCAGAATCGGTGACAGAATCGTCACTGTCATCCTTATCGTCATTGACAATACCTTCTAACAGCAACAACTTCAAGTTCTCATTCTTAGCAACTGTACCTTGAGAGACTTCATGTGTCAGTTCGACATTGCACAGCGTCAACTTAGACTTCAGCTTGATGAGACAGTGTGCGCCAATGATGCAATTTTCTAATTGAACATCATTTTCAATGGTGACATTGTCGAGAATCAAACACCCAGTGAGCTTAACACGCTCTCCAATGTTACAACCGCTTCCGATTGCCAGTCGCTTCACAGCAGAACGCAGACCAATATGCGTTTCCTCACCAACGAATGAATCAATACCAATATTTGCAGCCAGTTTGTCTTTAGGTTGCACAGAGCCGCTCTTGCCCACCTCAGCCGCCTTCAACTTCATGAAGTAACGGTTAGCCTCAGTCCACATCGGAAGAGTGTTACAGCGAATGAAAGTTGCCTGATGAGGAATTACAAAAATCCCCACGGTGTCCTTAGGTTGGGAATGCTTCCATGAACGTCTCGCTAAATCACGTACGATTTTGAGTAATGAATGAGTTTGGAGATACACATCGTCAAACTTGGGCTCTTCCAAAGCTTTGAAAACAGCTGCACTACCAAAGAAAATCAGGGAGTTGAGTAAAGTGGTCAGAATTGTCGTTTGAGGATGACGCCATGTCATTTGCGAACGCACAGGTAACAGCTTGTGAAATTCAATATCCTTGGTAGTCTGAACATCTAGCAAATGACCGTCATCACTATACATGGTGTACAACTTGGCTTGTTTGTGCTTCTTATCTTCCACTTCTAAAGTCTGTTTGTGAAACACTGCCAATCCAAAATCGCTATCACCACGGTTACGGTATTGCTCAATCAAGACTTGTGGGGGCAAGTCAGTGATAAAGTCACAAGGCAATACCACGAAGTGCGGTGATTTGATGTGGGGTGCAAGTTGATGAATAACGGATCCCAGTTCCGGACAATCATAAGCCTGCACGTCGATCTCCAAGCGTTCCACCAGCTTACGATAGTTGTCGATGCTTTCCTGAACCAAAGTCATTGCCTCTTCCGGGCACACCACGGTGATATTTGCAAAGAACGCCTTAGTGCAGAAGTCAAGGGCATAGTGGATCATCGGCTTGTTGGCAACAGGTAAAAGGGGTTTGGGAAACCCCGCCAGTCGCTCTTGTGAGAATGGAGCCAACTGTTTGCCCGGCCCACACACAATGATCGCGTGGAACTCCATGCTTAACGAACGATTTGTGAGAAGAGGTGAGTCGCACAAACAGTGATGGCATCCATCTTGGATTGAGCTGAACGCAAAATTTGGCAACGACGGGAGAAAGAACGACGATCAAAGTGAACCAAGAAGTCAATCATACTCAGCGTGCTACTTTCATCTATCACAAATGATGCATTTGGACTTGTCGCTTCTAATTGCTCAAATTTATTTTTTGAAAAACTAAGATTAGCTTCATAATAGATGTAGGTAGCAAAGTAGCTATAATTCGAGAGCTAAAGTTTGAGAAGTTGTTTACATTAAACTACAGTCCCTGTAGCCGTATCCTCTCTGCTTCCATACATCAGCCTGCGAGCCTCAAGTGCACCGTTTATCTTAGTCAGCAACGAGATCAGCTATCTGATATGGCACGGCCCAAGTCAAAGGGGTGCAACAATTGCAAAAGATTGAAGATCAAATGCAATTTGGCGCGACCTCTGTGTGAATATTGTGTCTACACCAACAAAACTTGTGACTATACCATAAATGAAAATTCCCCAGTCCGTTCAAATGTGTTTATCATGCACTCAAACAACAAGGTGAAGAAGCCTCGCAGGAAGCCAAAACCGATTGTATCAGAGGTCACAACGGTGATAACACCCCCGAAAACTCCCATAAGCACCGCCCCGACAACTCCTTCACGAAGTTCTTCTCCAATATCCATACAGTCGCTTCTTCTGGATCCTTTGGTAGGGCATTTGGTCTCAGATGAAGTGTTTGATGTTGTTTCTCCGAGAATAATCAGCACACCAAACACACCTGCGGTGTGTAGTCTCAACAACACGTCAAAGTTGATGGGGATCTCGCCATTTGAGTTCATGATCCTTCATCACTTTGAAAGCTGGGCAAAGGATAGGTACATAATGTCTACTGATGTTCGGCAAAGGTTCATATGGGAATGGGTGATGCCCAGATACTTGCTTGAACTGGATGTATTGAAGATATCGGTTTTTGCCTATTCAAGTATGCTTTTATTACAAAAGCATAACCCTCAATACTTGCTAGGGGACACGCCATGCTGGTCTAGCTTCAATGATGAAATGATGACATTGTATGAGTTTGCATTCACCAACTTTGAGTCACAGATGAAGCAAATTAACCGGTTGAGCAGCAAAATAAAAGCTGGTGAACCTATCAATATCTTAGAAGCCATATCCCTTGTCATAGGTGCAACAATAATGATATCAGTGTTTGGGAGACACTCACGAAGAACAATGCCATTGATATCATTTGATAGATCTCAACAAGACTTTCAGAGTTTATGTGCTGAGATGAAACAAATCCTCACCTTATGTTGGCCAATTTTGAGAAAAGAACCGCATGCAGCATTAGTTCCATCGCTAGTGAAAAACATAGACTATCCAATATTACCTATGTTTCAGCAATTGTTAGATGAGCTAGACACGCTGCCATCAGAGTTGTTCAAAGGCAAGAAGGATAACATTGATGCAGATAACAAGGTCGGGTTGCGTGACGCCATTTTGACACTAAATGCCCAAGTTCAGCAATGTGAAGAATATTCATCAGAAGTACCTATTCACCGTTTCCAGCATTTCGCTGAGGAATCATTCTGGCGACAAGTGTATAATGAGAACTACTTTGCCCTCCGCATATTGAACTTGTACTGCGCATATTTGGTGATGCTCCAATATTATTTTGTGAGAGAACGTAACATGTGGATTGACTACATGAATTGGTTCCACCAGGAGAGCTTATTCAGGTTTGGGAAATTTTACTATGATGAGGACGAAAAATTGTACGAAAAAGTGATCGTCAATGGCTACACAGCGGGATTCCTTAACTTGTGGAAGCTAAATATGGATTGAGGTAATAATACAACATTATATAGAACGATGAAGGTGTGAGTTCAATCTGTGAGGGCCATTTCATCAGGTAAGGTACCCATCAAACTAACTCGCAACACCAGAATGCGAGTACGAGATTTCAATTCGAGGTAGAAACCATCGTAGGATTCTCCAAGTCTCTGAAATGATTGAGGAACGGCTAGTTCGATTTTTGTAGAGGTTGGTTGGAGTTTGCGCTGCAACATCTTCAGCCACCCTACAAGTGTTGTGGTATCCGATTTTGGTGCCAACAAAGGCAGCGAGCATTGGAGTTCTTTGTTTTGGGAATAAGGACGCTCTCGGTAGTTTTGAGGTAGCGCACAAACGGCAATATCGGTTAACGGGGAGGCTTGGGGATCGAGCTCGATGATTATTTTTTTAGGCTCCATCGGTAATGTCAGAATTGCTAAAGCACAATACTCTGAGTCACATTGCCAGAGTTTGTCATTGGCCAAAAGAGTGTTTTTTGGATCATTCCAATGATATGCTCGAAGCTGATCGCGTGCTCTATGCCATAGCAGTCGTTCGTACATATTCCAATCTGTGAGGAACCACATGATCGACCCCCCAACGGAGGGATCGGCAAAATTGTACAACTCACTCGAACGTGGCCTGAGCTGTGAAGCCATATCTTCCAACTTATCCTGGGCCGATTCAAGGGAGTCAATCACATCAATAACTTGATCAACATATTCTTCCAGGGTTGGCACAACAGGAGCTGGGTCATTTGATATTCGTTCAGAAAGACGAGGATCTTTGACTGGAGAATGTGTGTGAGGTGTGTGAGGTGGGCTTTGAGACGGTTTCGAGGGTGTCAACAGCCATTTTAATTTAGATAAATGCGATTCTGATCTGGGCAATAATAAAATTGCAAGCAGTAAAACGGACAATGCTCCCCATAGTTTCCAATTGAAACGCTGTTTCGGGCGGGCGCAAGGGACAAATTCCAGGACAATGGTTGATGTGAGAGCGTCGGGGTGGACGCTGTTCAACGCGGCGTAGTTTTTCTCCCATTCGGTAACGTAAAAGTCATCATCCTCACTTGCCATACCGAGATCGTCGGTCATGGCTGCACCAAATTTTAAGGGTAAACAATGGCACCGAGTTTAGTTGGGTTTAAGTACAGATGATTCACAGAGTAAACTTGACGCGTAATGCTGATTACATAAGCTGGCATAGTTCAACCACATTTCCAGGTGATAGAGACGTGATGAAGTTTTACGAATATATTGATAGTATTCTGCAATGGATAGTCGTTACCAGCCATTGAATTGACAGGAACTGCTAAAAATTCGTTATAAATTCGTTCAGCCTTGATGGCATCACTGCAGCGGATGCCTACAATACACTTCGGGTATATGTTGGCTCATCGTGTCTTCCAATCTCGGTGGTTTCACAATTCACCGACAGAAGCGTCACTAGATAAATCTTAATACGCTCTTTGTATCAGGAATAAAAGTACTTCTTTCAATATCTGGTGAGGGTGGTCATTAATTGAGCTCTTGTAACTTGTTCATGCGCAGCCGCACTTTTCACTTCACTCACCATGGAGGCCTACACTGAGATCATTGAACCTTCACGGGTTTCACATTGTCTCGGGCTCCACTTCATTCTGCCCAATGTAGAGCATCTCATGGTGGCCAAGGACACGCTTCTTCAACTTTTTGAGCTCGTGCCCACATCCGATGGGCTACCCAAGCTCATGCTTGTTGACCAATACAAACTTCATGGATGCGTCACTGACCTCAAGCGCATCAAAACCGTTGAACTGGAGTTGGACTATCTCATTGTGCTGACCAAATTCGCCAAGTATTCGGTGGTGAAGTGGGACGCCACTGCCCATCAAATATCCACGGTGTCTCTTCATTACTATGAACAAGCGATGCAAAAGTTGTCTATGGAAACGTTATCACGAAGCGACCTCACAGTGGAACCCACTCATTCATCAGTTGCTTGTCTCAGATTCAAAAACTTGATGGCCTTCTTACCTTTCATCGTTGAAACTGATGACGACGATGATATGTTTGATGATGACAAACCCTTGGCGGTGAATTCGTCCGCCCAACAAGAAGTCTTTGACCCTTCATTCATCATTGATGCTAATACCTTGGACCTGCTGTTAGGCGATCTCATTGACCTTCAGTTCTTATACAACTACAGTGAACCCACAATCGCGTTTCTTAGCCAAAAGCAGTACACCTGGGCGGGCATGTTACCGAGAATAAAGGACAATGTTACATATACTGTTCTTACTCTCGATACAACTCTGAAACTGACAGTGCAAGTTTTGAAAATTGACAACTTGCCTTATGATATTGATCGTATCGTCCCATTACCTTCACCAATGAACGGGTCGTTACTCATTGGATGTAATGAATTAATCCACGTTGATAATGGTGGCATTGTAAGACGTATTGCCGTCAACGAGTTCACGCTGAGCTGTACGGTATCTATGAAAAATTACACCGATCAGAGTCTACTCAAATTACGATTGGAGTACTGTAGCGTGGCACCTGTACCCAATGAGAGTCGCGTGTTGCTTATATCACGCGATGGTGACCTGTTCTATATCAACTTTGAATTAGACGGCAAGGCGATTAAAAAAATGACATTGGAGCGTGTAAGCGACTCATCAGATGACCTGGCACTCAAAGTAAGCCAACCAGGTGAGATAGCACTGATCGGTAAGGAAATGCTTTTCATAGCTAGTGCCGGTGGTGACCTGCGATTGGTTAAATTCCAACCGAAAGGCAGTGTTAAGACCGAAGGCGCTAATGAAGCTGAAATTTCAAATGAGAAAATGAAGAAAATTGATGACGAAGATGGGATTTATGATGACGACGAGGACTTATACGGGGATGACGACGCTCCTCAGGCGCAAAACCGCGGTCTTACTGCTTTAGAGTGGACATTGGCAGACACACTTGCCAACTTGGGTCCTATGCTGCTGTTTACTCTTGGATTCTCGTCGACAGAGAAACACAAATGTAATTTGCCCAATCCTCAATTTAAAGAGATAGCAGTCGTGGCTGCACTGGGAATTGGACCTAATACGTCATTATCAGTGATGACACCTTCACTCCCAATGTCGATCAAACTGTCACTTACTTTTTCCCAAGTCAATAGAATGTGGACAATTAATCAACAGTTTCTTATAACATCAGACGATGTGAATCAGAAGCTGGAAATTTTCCAAATTGATAAAAAGTATGCTCGACTCAAAACCCGTGACTTCAAAAATGATGAGAGCACAATTGCTATTCACGAATTGGATGGTGGCAAATATATTTTGCAAGTCTCGCCGCGACTGATCGCTCTTTACACAGATAAGTTCAAGCGAACTTTGGATTTAACGCTGGAAATCGGTGAACTGGAATGTGTGACTTCGTATATTCGTGATGAGTATTTAATGGTGTTTTTGGCACTGGGTGTTGTAAAAATTTTGCTGATCAATACCTACAATCTGACATATACCACCATTGATATCCCTGAAATACTTGGTCTGACCATCATCACCTCGGGCTATATTACCAATTCTCATCTCCTTAATGTTGTATCTAAAGATGAGGGCATACTCAAGCGGGGTACTAAGCGAGCAGCCCTGGGGGCTTCAAAGTCCGAAAATATCGATTTTGGCCGTAAGCAAAAGACATTCATCCTTATTACAGCCGACAATCGTATTGTTGCGTTTACCAGACAGCATAATAACAAGTGCTACCAGCTCAATGATACTTCTCGCATGCTGGAACACTTGTCGCTTGCCAAATTTGACCCGAAAGATCAAGAACCCGATCCCAATATCAAACAAGTCATCTTCAACGATTTGGGTGACCGCTGGCATAGTCAAGAATATTTAACAATTTTGACTGTTGGTGGTGAAGTGATCTTATACAAATTATACTTCGATGGTAGCAATTTTCGTTTTGTCAAAGAGCTGGATTTGAAGATGACCGGGGCGCCATCTAATGCTTATCCCGAAGGTACAGCAGTTGAAAGAAGATTGGTGTACTTCGCCGACATAAACTCTTATACTGCTATTCTTGTCACTGGGATTATTCCCTTCTTTATCCTCAAATCTATTCACTCGCCGCCTCGAATTTTCCGCTTCACGAATATGGCGGTGGCTTCAGCTGCACCCTATACTGATCATAGAATCAGTAATGGTCTTGTGTGGCTTGATCTTCGCCAGAACGCACGCATTTGTCAATTGCCTATTGATGACATGGTGTACGACTTTGAATGGCCAGTGCGTCGCATTCCTATTATCGGTGAGCTGATCAATGCAATTGACTATCATGAAACTCTGCAGTGTTATGTGGTGCTGACTGTTAAATCGATCCCATACAATGCAATTGATGAAGAACTCAATCCCATTGTTGGTACAGACCCCGAGAAGGAGCTGTCAAAGTCGTACCTTGGGCTGATCAAATTGATCTCACCAATGAATTGGCTGGTAATCGATCAAATAGCTCTTGAACCCAATGAAGTGTGCATGAGCTTGAAGCTGATGGTGGTTGATGTTGGACTGCTGCTGACTAAGTTCAAGCTGAAGAAGGAGGTAGTGGTATTTGGTACTGGTAAGTACCGGATGGAAGACTTGGCATCCAATGGATCGTTTTACGTCTATGAGATTGTCGCAATTGTCCCCGAGCCGGGCCGTCCCGAAACAAATCACAAGTTTAAGCAAATGTACCAAGAGTCTACCAAGGGTGCGGTGACGATGGTTGGTGATGTTTCTGGTCGTTTCCTTGTAGCTCAAGGTCAAAAGATAATTGTTCGGGATGTGATGGATCTGGGTGTAGTATCGGTAGCGTTTATCGATTTACCCACATACGTGTCCGAGGCTAAACTGTTCGGGAATTTGATTGCTTTCGGTGATTCACTAAAACTGGTATGGTTGGTGGCATTTGACGCTGAGCCATTCCGTATGGTGATGCTTGGAAAAGATTTGCGGCCGTTAGATGTTACCTGCGCCGACTTTGTGTGTCATGAGGACGACGTACATATTGTTGTGGCTGACAATAATAACGTGTTACTGGTTCTTCAGTACGATCCTGATGACCCGGCTCTGGCCAATGGTCTGGTCTTACTAACTCGAGCCAATTTCGCTGTCAACTCATATGTTCTGGGTCTTCGATCGATGCCAAACCAAATTGCAACGTTTGATAGTGAAGCCAACGAAATTAGATACCGTTTGAGTGGTAACTGGAAGACTATTGGAAGCTGCGGAAACGGTCTGTTGTTCGCAATGACGCCCTTGAGTGAGGATTCTTATCGGCGACTTTATTTGTTACAACAGCAAATGACAGATAAAGAATATCATACATGTGGGTTGAACCCACGTCTCAATCGTTTGCATAGTCGTGATGGTGCTGCAGACGTTAATCAAAAGCCTGTAATTGATGGCGAGGTCATCCGCTATTTCAAACGACTTACAAATGACCGACGCGATGTGATCGCTACAAGAGTGAGTACCGTGGGCAATCCCCAAGAAGTTTGGCGTGATTTGATCAACTTAGAACAGGTGGTGAATATCTTGTAGCATCAAAAGGATCTAATAAACGCCAGATATAATGGAATTTCCTCAATCTAATATGCAATTTGGTAAAATCGAAAGCCAAGCATACGATAATTTTATAATACATCCAAAGCTGGTTGCTGCGTGGAGTATTACCACAGTCTGAGACGTCAATTGGCCTTGCGACTCTGACGCGCCCTGACACGCACTAAGAAAAATAGTAGACGAACCATCAATCCCCAGATTATGGTGAATCAACGAAAAAAGCAGGTGCTGTTCCACAACAACACGCCTTCGCCCCCGGCTACTCCAGAGCCCCGTGGGTTACCAATGCCCACGGTGGAGCGTGGGTGGCTTACTATTCCCTACCACCATTTGGCAGTGCTTGCGTTCATGTTTCGGCAAGGCCTCACTACTTCAGTTCAAGCGACATTACTTCAAGGGCTTTTTACGCTTATTCCACTCCAGTTGGCCTACAACTATCTTATCGTACTGAACACCAACAGTAATACGAAACGGGGAAAAGACAATGATAACATTTCGCTTCTTGTCGTTGGAGCTGTGTTGGTATCGCTCGCATTGCTGGGTCCACTTCATGTTTGTCTCGTGTTGTTTGGAGCTCCCATTTTCGCCTATTGGAAAGAAACAGCTTTGCTTGCTGCTCATTTAGCATTGGTAGCTTTTGACCCGCTCCTAGTCGAATTCAAGTTCGACTTTGCTCGGTTGCGGGGCATTTTTGGTACAGATGCTGCCATCAGGACATTAGTAGGAAACCCCGTGGTGGCGCTGGCGCTTGGAGGCTTTGTTGGCGCCTGGTTAGGCGTGTTGCCAATTCCTCTCGACTGGGATCGCCCATGGCAACAGTGGCCTATCACCTTGGTGGTTGGCCTGTACTTAGGGACTGTTGTCGGAGGATTGGTTTCATTGGTTATGTAAGTCATATACCATTAATACAGTAGCATAGACCACCTGACTCAGCTAGGTGACTCCGGACCTGGATCGTCCGTCCCCACTACCCCGCTAAGATAGCGCCCTCAGATGTCGGACATATGCAACCGATAAATGAAAAATTGCCAGAAATCACATCATGGCAACCATATAGTCTAAGTGAGCAAGGTAATATGCACAGTTAAGATTTGCGAATATGTTGAGGTGCTCAATTGACGTAATTTTGTTGCCAGACATGTAAAGTTGCCCTCCCCTCCTTTATGGTATGAACCCTGGGCTACATCCCCCAGCTATTTAAATAGTTGTAAGGTACAATTTGTTTTACCAATTGCCCCTTATGCTGGACTTCAACGACAAATTCCCTACTAACGTTAACCCATTATACATCCCCCTTAAGTCTCTGGACACCTCGCTCTTGCTGGGTGGCGACCCTCAAGAATTGGACCTCGCGAAGTTGTTTCCGGGCGAAACCGTGGTCTTCACCGCTGCTCCTGGTGCTTTCACCCCCACGTGCACACAAGCTCACATTCCCGACTACTTGAAGCATGAGAAGCAATTGAAGGACAAGGGTGTTGCTCGGGTGATTATCCTTTGCCAAAACGATGCGTTTGTCATGAACGCCTGGGCCAAGGCCGAAGGCTACAACGCCGATGAAAACTACTTCGTTTTCGCCTCTGACCCTAATCTTGGTATTTCTAGTCAATTGGGCTCGGACTACACTCTCAACTTGAAGGACAAGGGCTTGGGTGAACGTACCCTGAGATGGGCGGCTATTGTGAAGGATGGCAAGATTCAATTTTTGGGGGCTGAGCCCGATGGTAAATACGGCAATGTCGTTGGCATCAACCACATCTTGAAGCGCATCTAGTTTTAGTGCAGATATGTTTATTTGAATGTAATTGTGGTTTTTGAAATTGTCGACATAGATTGTAGAACCAAAAATTCGGTGTGAGCAATATATTGAAGAATCCCTGAAGCAATTGATCCAATAGTCCTATTCGTATCTATACCCAATCACAAAGAGTCAGCCATTTTGCAACTCCGATTGTTCCACGTGATATCATGTATATCGCAAAGATCGAAATGTAGATAATAGTAATTTATGGGTGATAAACTAGAGGAATCAAACATAAAAAATCCGTGCTCATTAACTTTCGTTACCTTTTAAAAGGGTGGAAATTGTTCCGCCATTTCCGGCACTGCATTCTCCAAAGACGCAGCGTCCAACAACATGACCGACAACTTGGGATCAATACCGTGTTCACTGAAGACACGACGCGAGTCGGTTTCCTGTTTATGATTAGTGTAGTCCAGGTAAATGTTATACTTAGCATGCTTCTCTAACACCATGTCTTCGTAGTGGAAGTAATCAGTTTCATTTTCGATGATTTGGGCCTTTTGCTTTTTCAGCTTATTCTCGTCGGGAATTTGAGCAGCCACGACGTAGTAGATCTTGGAAACAATGACGAAGTAGTCAAACTTGAGGTCGTGTTCGGCCATCTCCTCGAGCAACATTTTATATAATGGAGGTGTGACCTCGACCGGCATGTTGATCAATCTTTCGCTAAAGATCCAAGCGACTCTCTTCTTCGAGTCCTTGGCAAGCAATTTGCGCAAAAACATGTTGAACTCAGTGTGCTTTTGCGTCTTTTCCACCAAGTAATCCATTACCTGTTTGACACAAGGTTGCAGTTGTTGTGCGTCAATAACCAGAATCATCGCAAAGGGGTCCAGCTCTTTACCATCAGTTTTGATGGTGGTACCAATGGCATCTTTGACAAGGATGACATCAGCGAGGCCCAGGACATCAAACATACTTCCATCATCACCGAAGAGCTGACGCAATAACATCTTGGTGGCATGGAAATCGACATCTGGGTTAAGGTTGAAGAAATCGAAGTCAACATCGACAGTTTCCTCTTCACCTTGATCGACTTCCTGATCAGATTCGTCAGTGGAGCTTACATCAATATCCAGCTCTTCATCAACCTTTCTCTTCATAATGGAGATGAGATGCGCACTGCTTAATGCTATCAGGAGAATGAGTGCGATACCGATGAGCTACTTCCCTGCACCATAACTCCTTGAATTGGCTTGCAAGGCATTTTTACATGATGGAAGCCTTTATTAGTTATATTGTGTAATGTGTAGCAGGGTCTAGAATGATTCGTTAAACTATATAAATTTGAGCACCAGCATCTAAAATGGTACCACACTACATAAGTACGCACTTCTCATCACGATACTTGTCACGTCTGCGACGCAGCTGCCGTGTCACCTTCTTCAGCTTGCTTCGACCCAAAAATCCTTGTCTTTCCCGCAACCCGTAGTCATCACCCGTGTCCGGCTTGCTGTGATGTACACGGGCTGAGTGTGGAGCATGTGAAGTCGTGATGGCTGGGGCTGATACAGTTGTTGGTGTTGCAGCCGGATAACTTGGCGCATTGAGGCTGATGTCAGGGATTGTGTTAATGGACATCACTTTGTGCTCGCCACTCCATTGGGAGTTTCGCCGGAACTGTGGACTCATTGTGATTTCGGAATCTCCCGAAACCCCGATTCTGGGAAGCTCCTTGTAATAATTATGGTCTTTATCAGGAACGTACCAATAGTAACGGTTTCTGACATCAACAAATGAAGGATCAGTGGGAGCAATATCAGGTAATGGAATACTTGAATTACTCGCCAGAGACTCACGTCTTTTCGGCTCATCATTAGCAACTGCTAAATGGGGGGAGGTACCTGACTGAGGGCCCAGTGTGATGGGGGAAAGATCACTCCAGTAGTTTGACTTTGAACCATGAGGGCGAACTATAGGTAAGTGCAGTTCAATACGCTCCTCCAGAGGGTCGTCGGGCAGCACTAAACGGTAAAACAAAATATAAGGCCACTCGTTGTCAAAGATTTCCTTGAAAGTCTTTTCCTTGATACGATGCTTTTTGTTCATATCATCAAAGAGCAACCATTTTGCCAGATACCCTTCCTCAAGTGTCAACGAAGTGTTATTATTATCGCGGCGGGTGGCAGCAACAAAATGACCCGAGCTAATCAGCGTACCACGATGGCATACAGCCAGCTCAAGAATAAGTTTGTAATTATTCATGTCATAATTGTCATCTTCTGCGACGAATTGAGGCAAATTGATAACTGGAGGAATGACAACGCGACGTTTCAGACGATTGGCAGTCGACGTGCCAACGTCATATTCATAGCGCTTCAAGCAAATGGGAAGAATCGGCCGGCGATTAACAAACTCTTTGGAATTTTTTGCAGTACCATCAGTATCATTATCGTCAGTGTAGAACGGCAATAATCGTAAGAACATCCAAGCTGGTAGACTGACCTCGTGCAACAGGGTAGCTCGACCGCGAATGGTCAGAGTATCGTCATTCAGTGATTGGTGGGTTGTAGTTGAATTGGGGGCAGCAGGGGACTCCAGCCATATCAGGAGAGTCAGCGAACGCGTTCTAGGCAATTCACCTCTAATGGGTTCCTTGAATAGTGAACTTCTTGATGGCTGCAGTTTCATCGACAGGCTTGATGTGGGAATTACTCCTTCGATCACTTCAATGCGATCACTAGTGGCACGACGCTCGAGTTCACGCTTGACACTAATTGAGTTATTGAAGTAGTGTTCAAGGCATTCTTCGAGAAGGATTTCTTCGGGTTCCTCATCAGAGTCTGAGCGTGTTGCCACACGGCCAAGCTCTTCTGTGACTTCAGCAATGGCCACCTCAGAGTCTGGTGGAGGGGGTGAAGTGTTAGGTGATGGAGAAAGAGTGTCATCCTCAACAGCACGAGATTGAGATGCTTCGCGTGATGAAGATGTATCTTCAGGAATCAGCACAAATAAAAGGCGTTCCTTGCTGATCTTTTGATCATCTTCTTTGCTAAACTTACCACCGTGCTTAATGTCGATCTTAAACGTAAGCAATGGCATTTGCAACATTTCCGTGAGGAAAACGAAAAGCGCTGCCAGATCTTGCTGAGTATGGGATGTTGCCTCAATGAAACCAAGTTTGGTTAAAGTTTCACAAATTTGAATAGTGACATCGGTCGTGATCAAATTTCCCAGACGCAATAAAGTGGTATATACCCTGAGTAACGCACTCAATTGATCGACAAGTCGTTTGTTAGGAGAATTGATGTGAGCGTTACTAATGAATAAAATTGGTTCGAAAGCTTCCATATTGGCAAACATGGCGAAGAGTAACGCATCCAAATAGCACATAACGTTTTCCCAGTTTTCAGCCCCTTGATATGTAATAGCATGGCCGCGCTTGTCAATGGGACTGTTGGTCAAAAAATAGCCTTCGTTGGCCAGTTGGAAAAATCGGATGAAATGAAATGCTTTCACCACATCACCATTGACAAAGGGCAGTTTCAAAACTGCACAAGTCTCGGTGTGTGACGGAACCGGTAGGCCTAATTGATCAAAATACAGGCGCACCGTTGTTACCGCCAGCGAGTAATGATGATACTTCTTAGGATTGACAGGTAAGCATCCATGAGATTCGCCTACCAGCATCAGCCGATAGTTCTCTAGATACTGCTGCCAGAAGTCCTCATCGAAAACCGATGGGGAGGGGGCCATTCTGGCACTATTGTCGGGGGATCGCGAATGTGGAGTCGCGATGGCTTCAACATCTGGGGTGTCGATGTGGCTGTGGTGAGGTAGCGGAAGCGCTTGCGGAAGTGCTTGGATAAGCGGTAGTGGAGAGATCGACTTGATACTTCCTAAGCGGTGAGGATCCATAGTTAAAGATTCAATTTCAGATTTCCAGTTGTGTCAATTCTAATGTATATGACGCTATGCACATAAGCACATGACAATAGGAGAATTAAAGTCACGAGCGTACCTAGCCGGCATCCAAGCGACGGAGACAGCCACAAAAGACGGGGCGAAATAAATGAGTCGGCGATGACTATTCATGATGCCGAACCCGATATCCGACATCTTCCGTTAGGTCCGAGGACCTCATACAAACAGGGCAAAGAACTCTTTTTACTCAACTTAATTTTAGAAATGTCACATACATCACCTCTACCATAGGGTTTACGCTCAAATGGAAATACTTTCAGCTTCTAATACATTAGCTGGGAGTGATCGGATGCCAAGAATGACCTAAAGTAACGATGGTGGTAGCTGTAAGTGGTCGGATTCTCAACTTGCATTTGTCTGACGTGGTCATCGGAACGGACTTGATTCGGACACTTATCCAAAATTTCCCTCAAAACATTCATTATCGTCCAACTGTTATGCTGTCATGGCGTAATGCCGATAACACAGCTTGACCCCACAGTCGGCAGCGCTACCGTTATCGGAACTGACGGCACCACTTTTCTACAACCGCGCGTAACGCGTCCTTCTCCAGAGAGCCTGCTTTTAAAGTAGGATGGATCCAAATACACCACTACCCTCCATGCTGGAGAAGCTACGATATATTTTTGGAGATGCTATGAAATCCCAGTCTTTGCGTCACTCGTCTGAAATCACGGACTCTGTTATACCGAACAATCGCAAACGACCTCGACATATTGCTCTTGATATCCATGACGATGACACACTAATATCGACATCACAACCGACTAACGATCAGCGTGTTGATATGTCTTCAACTATAATCGGCAACACTTCAAAAAGAAGCGATGTTAGGTTTCAGCACAACCGCAGAGAAAGTCAGAATCACACTTCGGCGGATTATAGTCGTCGATCTTCCGAGATCCAGGATCAAAAGCCTTCACCCGATGTCGATTTAACGTTGCCTCGTCGCTCATCCAAGGCTAAGTCTTCTTCAGCAAGGGGTCAGAGCTGTTCGAAGGCTCCTATATCACGAATGGAACAGTGCACAAATCTGACTCCCCCACATAAAACCGACGTGTTTTCCAAAAGTTCGGAAAAGCAGGAAAATCTATCAAGAATTGGTTCTACAATGCATGAAATGTCAGATAGACGGCTGCGTCAAATGTCAGGACACCTAAGCGAGGAGAGTGTCGAAAAGCTAATTATCAAATCGATCGCGCCGATAATCGAGGAACTGAAAAGCTTACAAAAAAAAGTCAATCTTTTAGAAAGTTGTCAGAATCAATCAACTTTAGCAGTGGCTAAGGAATTAGCAGAGCTAAAAACAGAGATCACCAATCTTCGTGAATTGACCTTGAATCAAAGGCAGGTTTTTGACACTGTTCTTGATAATCTCAAGCCGTTGTTACACAGTATCCAACAATCAATCGAACGAAGCAATGCAGAAATTGGTAGACTTGGTGATATACTCGAGTCTAAAAGTCGCCAACCTGACACATTGCAAATGGTAGAAAACATAAGAGCTCGTGGCATAGAACAATTGGGTGCTATTGACAACATGACCACACAGCTAGAGGCAGTCTCCTACAAACCATTATCTATCGTATCTACCAGTGACCCGTCGAAGGGTGATTCTGAGTCAGATAGGCTTGGTGCTGACGTGGAAAATGGTAATCCCTATGACCCCGCCTTGAGCGGTGTATCCCATTATCACTCACCTGAGCTTTCCATAAGGTCAGCGTCAAAAGTTGCTCCGTCACAACAACTTGTATTATATGATGCGGATTTGGAACAAACTCTACCAACAGAAACCCTGACAAGAAAGGCAATTGTTATATCCAAAGAGGAGGCGGATCGAAAAGCATTGCAATACCGTCGTAAGAAGAAAGTACGCAGAAAGATAGCCGACTACTTTAAGGATGTTGTGAAGCAAAAGGTGAACGGAGGCGATTTTGCAAATTTGCATGAGGATGGTCATATAACTAGTGATACTCAGAGTTCGCAGCATACCTATTCCATAGATGAGATACCAGAAACCGAAAATGAACAGGGAGATGAATCCGATTCCAAATTAAAGGCATCTCTCCAACTGAACCCCCGAATCGACATCAATGAGTTTGCTACCCAAACCACTAGCGCCATCCAGCTGACGGTTAGTCGTCAAGAAGCAACCTTAACGCACATCCCCACCGAAGTTTTCGCTAAACTTCGGTGGATGATTGATTATGTTAAAGCAAATCTGCAATTTCCGTCGCTCAATGGCATCCCACCGCACCAAGTTCACTCATGGTTGAGGTTGGTTTTTTACTTTGCTGCTATATTCAATATACCGAAAGGCTCAAGCTTTACCTGCAACGATTCATGCGAGTTCTCGGTCGACTTATTTGTCACCGAGGGTATTGCAGACATTGAGAACAATTGGGCAGCTCATTCCCCTGACTGCCAATATCAACAAAAAGCGATTGACATGTTAGCGAATGTTGATCATGTTGGGAAACCAATGCATTGGGTATTGGATGAAGTAGCCAAACTACTATCAGGTAACTTAGAATCTTCACAGTTGAAAAAGCTATGGAAGGTTACATTCGATTGTAATTTGAGTGAAGAGGCTTCAAATTATTTATTGCATAAATGCCAGCAATAGAGTTGCTGTCTTTCGAAATCAAAGTCTATAAGTTTACTATGCATGTTTTAGTAATCTTCTATAAACTGTACGGATTGCAAATTTGGTTTCATATTAATATGATCGGGTCCATCAATCACAAATCCCTTAACTGTGATCACAGTAGTCACCATTGCATATGCGATATAAATTGAGAGAGACTTGCTTGGACGCCATGTTGCCTGTACTAGGAGTTTCGTATTGGGCACTCCACAAATATGCAGTTGAGATGAGGAGATATATCTGACTTCCTCGCTACAAAAGAAAGTTCTGAAGCATTTCTAAGTTTTAAGCCATCATTGTGTTTTAGATTTTTCGTTACTCCATGTGTTCTGTGCACGGGATAATTGTTGAAACGAGATAAAATCTGGCAATTCGTTGTAAAAGCAAGATGATTACGATCAGCATTACCGTCGATTCCGTGATATGTATCATGCTGCCCCATATTACAGTCAAATCATGAAATGGTTATGAGTTAATGAGGCCAGGTAACTTTCTCTCTATCCCTGGTGTTGAATAAATCCTTTTTTCTAAACGGTAGAATGTTTGGGAACTTCTGATTAATAGTATCGAACGTCTATCATTTGTGCATCGACACACGCCACGTTGCAGATGATGGTTTGCAGACAGGATGTGAACACCCAGGTAATTGCTAAGAAAATAATCGCATTGATGCGAGAGGCGACAATTATAATAAATGAAAAGAAGTCGTGCCGTACAAATTGTATAAATGGGAGTTATCTACATACAGTAACTCCTACATTCATTCGATTCACACGTATGTGAACATCTTGATTAAGCGATAACAAACACAAACAAAACTAGTTTTCAGTCAAGCCTCCAAAAATAAATAAAAAAATTGGCAATCAAGTCAACAGGAGCTTAACAAAACTTCAGCAATTAACACCTACTAAAACACAGTCATCCCTAGATGTGACATCATATAGTACAAAAAATCAACCGAATCTGGTCCAATTGTACACTTCGATCATGGATACGTTAGGATTTTGGCGCAAGCGCTCCAAGATCATCCCTCTCAATGGTTCCTGAAGCCCGTAGGCAAAATGCTGCGCAGTTTGCAAGGTTGGACCCTTTGGCCACATAACTCGATCGAGTTCGAATCGTAAGATGTACTCACCTATGTCTCCCTGCTGCTGAATGGGAGGTGTAGAATGGCGACGCCACCTGGTGTTGCCCCAAACCAACTCAAGAGCCTGCTCGAGTTCGGCGTACGAGGGATCTTTCAGGGGCCATTGAGCTAAATACCATTTCAACGCAGGACCATCCAAACGATTTTTTATCACAAGCACCCGTAAACGGTCGTATTCAGACGGCAGAAGATGATTCTTGTGATTAGCACACACAACTTGTGCCCGAAGCAAGAAGTTGGCGAGCTCTTCCTCTAAGATGATAGGCGGAGGAGGCAAGACGACCGGTGCCATGCCAGGGATAATCGGCGGTGGGGGGAGTTGGACACGCGGTTCGCCGACAAAATTGTGCGCGAATACCTTGAGAATAGAATAAAGCGCTGCCAAAAGTTCCTGATCTGGTGACGGCGCGGCTTGAGCGAACCCAGCAACAACCTGAGGGGGGGCCATCGGAATCATAGAAGCCTGGTGAAAAGATGCGCCCGCACCCGCAACAGGTGCGATACCGCCAACAGATTGACTCAGACTAGCATTTGGAACAGAGTAGCCTGCAGACACATTTGGAGTAGACGTAACTTGAGGTTGTTCCACCCCCACTGCAGTTGATTTTGACGGCTCCGGGGCAGAGGGTTGCTTTTTTGTCGACAACCGCAGCTCATTTTGAAGTTCCCTGGAGTCTTCATTATCCAGATTCTCCACCAGATCCAGCAGCAGGTGATCAACAATGACTTCTCTGCGCAGCGATGCACGAGGAGCTCTTTGGGGTCTTCGGGTAGTTTGAGATTTGGAAGCTACTCGCAGACCTTTGCGGGCGGTTGATCCTTTAGGGGTCACCGAGGCGACGCGAGTAGAACGACGAGTCAGCACTCGAGACGCCACGGCTCGCTTGGCGCCACGTTTCGCTTGACCGCGCTTGGTTTGGTTTGTCGTCAGTTCAGTCAGCTGAGCTGGCTGGCGTTTGGGACGCCCTTCAGAAATTATGTTAGAAGCATCAATATCGAGCTTGATTAAACGTGTACCCCAGCCGTGTTCGGCTCCCGGTGGCGGATCTCCACGCTTCTTCTTGGTAGCCTTTGTTTGGTTTGTCTGACTGGCGACCGGTGCTTGAGCTTCTTGCGCCTTATTCTTCGGTGGCCGACCGCGCCGCTTCTTTGTTGGGGGTGTAGCAGATTGATCCGGTGCATTCAGGTCAGTTGACGCAGAATTGGTTCTGCGTTTTTGACCGACCTTAGGCGAGCTGATCGATCTCGACAGTTTACCATTAGTCACAGACCTGGACTTCGGTGACGGGGGTTCCAACTCATCATCAGATTGCATCGGGGAATGGTCTGGAGACACTAAGGGCAACGGGTCATGCTGCCTCATCGAGAGATGGGGTGCGGATGACGATTCAGGCGCACTTTGATGATGCTGAGGTGCCGTAGCCTGGCCCACTGGCACCGGTGGTTGCGCGTTTGTTGATGACGACGCAATGGCCGCGGCAGCGGAAAAATCTGACGCTGGTGCGGGAACTGCCGATGACGACGCTAATGCTGCTGGCATATCCAAGGAAGCTGCCCTAGGATTCAATGGCACTAACAGAGGTAAGGAACGAGGTCCAGGCACGGTGGAGTCAGGCGGGTGCCCAGGAAAAGTTGACGCGTTTGGGCTGGGCACGACGTTATCGCGCCGGAGGGGAAGTATAGAGGTGGCTGGGGAATCGGTGTTGACCATTTGGTGCATCTTTAGAACCCCCAATGAAGTCACTGGTGGTGGCAGTGCGACCGGTAGCGTCCCAGAAGGTGAGTTTGTATGTCCCGGTTGTTGGAGGTACGGTTGGGAACTAGGGGCGCCAGCGCTGGCGATTGGGGCGCCCAGCGGCGACGACATGGGAAGTAAAGACGAAAGCAGAGTGGCGGGAGGTAACGGCTTCAATAACGGTCGTTGTGGATGTATTGACGTCTGAGTAGCTTTTCAATTTTCCCCAAAGCTGGAACACCCAATCAAAAGGTAGTGGCAACGGGTTTTTTCTGACGATTAGCGCTGGGTCCTTTTAGAATGCAGTCGCTTAACCAGGGGCATTCTACGTCTTGGGCGCATGAATATTTTCATATATCAGGCCAATTATTATTTAGGTTGCGCTCTTGCAGGGAACCACAGCCGGACTCGCAGATGATATGAGGGAATAAATGGCTTTACCTCTGTCAAAGTTTTGATTGTACGAAGCTCAAATATTGAATGGATAGGTAATTCTTACTTTAATACAGCTCATTTTGTTTCTCAGATCATGTTATACATTGGGCCTTTCGGCTTAAAAAATACGATCATAAGCAACAACTACTTGCCGCAGCACTTCCGCGGAGGCGGTCTGAAGATACGCAATTCTAAGCTTGAAACACACACTCAAGACAGAGGCTACAACCGAGTTTCAATCTTTGTGATCTAGAGTCAGAATGCATCGGCGGGATACCGTTACCGATATGGATCGATGTCGAGTGGAAATTTATTCCGCTCAGCATAGTATATATTTCTTTTAGAATGGTCATTGACGGTTGCTACAAGAAGGTGATAACGAGTCAGGGTTATGAAGATAAACAAATCAGGCAGCACCTTTTCATGAGGTGAAGAATCTATGGAGGAAGCGGGGTAATTTTCTATATTTGTGGTACAAAATTGATGGCCCGATGAGGCTAATAAACTGTTCTCCAAAAGCCAGAGGATAGTCTTGTTTGATGGAGCCTGAGAATAATTATTATAAAGAGTGGAATCAGGGTTGCATGTTCATTTTGGCGAGTCGTTCGAGTGTCTGAGTACGACAATAATAATGGAGCCTTAAGATCGATCATGCTTTTAGGTGTGGTCGAAGCCGTGTCAGTTGTGGTGAATTATTTGAGACTAATCGCGATTATACTGAGTGAAAAGCCCGACATGAAACACCGTGCATCAGTATGCATCCATCTAAGCGTGAAAGGTCGTGAATGCGCAAATAACAATAATGCAACTGCGGAGGCTTGTTTTGACTCGACGAATGAAAGTACACAACGTGATTTTCGAATTGTATATGAACCAAGCAGTTTCATGTATCAGCCCTGTGTTTAAAAGACGAATTTACAATTTCGCTCAAACCAATTTAATTAATTCGAAATCCGCATCTTTGCACTTGCGTCTATCTCACACTGGAAATGAACTGGAAAGATTCTCAATAGTCGAATCTACAAACACGTAGCCATACGTAGTGTTGTGTCGGGCATCGTGGTGAGTCCTTCATTTTACTTTGTTGCCATTGCATGTTAAACAGGATATCATGATTTTTGTTCTCTCTGCCAGTGGCACTCAAGTGGAATTTAAAAAATTCATCACCATGCCCACATCAAGTCTCTATCTTCTCACGTTTCTCAGCTTCAAACTCACAAAATTCGTGCAAGAGTGGTTGTATTTTAAGATGAAGACGTAACTGCATGTGTCACATATAGGGTTTGATCACATTGCACTTGGTAGACTTCCATTCGCTCAGAGTGAATATACAAACTCTTCTTGAAAGGCTAGAGAAATTTACATCTAAAACCTTGTACTAACGAGAAATTGTACTCACAACTCCGCATGAAATCCCCAACAGATGGCATTTACAGCGATTCGCCTACTGTTTAGGCAAGCTTTTGCACCAGCCAGCCTCAAGTAAAGCTGTGTACTTCAGACCAATGAATTGAACTTTCCTGAAATACAACTGTACATGTTGCATTGCCTTTGCCCATTATAGAATCACTCATGGAAAATTTCAAGGACAGTTCAAGTTTATGAAAGAAGCCACTGCACGATAATAATTGAGACAAACGATTTTTTTCAGCATACGTTATTATGTCGAAGTAACCTTGAATGCTAACGCACCCTTCAGATTAATCATACTACATAATGCCCGAATTTTTTACCTCCAACTGACTAACATGTCTTGATGCATAAGATTTTCATTCAATTACAGTGAATGGTATGGTCGCCTAATGCTTTGTCGTAGCGAAACTCGCTAAACACACAAGAAACTCTTACTGTAGCTTACATAATCGCTACTGCCTTCTCGATCTGATGCCATCACATCAACGCTTAACGGCTGGAGTGGGGCGGGGCCCAATCTGCATCATTTAAGTTCTTTCAAATCTCGATCGTTTTCGGTTTGCTACACTATATTTGAGTGGCATTAGAAGTGATGCTACCAACATTATCAGTATGGGAGTGGAAGCGCTCACTCGGGGGGTGCCGGCCCGCGCAAGTGACTTCTGCGGGAACGAAAAAGCCGCCTACACAGAACCAGCTCTGGTGCCACTTCAAACAGGAGCAAGCTTAGAGTTATTTAGGTGACAGTCAAAAGGGCCGACGACAGTAAAGAGAGTGATATTCGGGCTCTCTCTGGTCAACATTACGCGTTCCTCACTACCCAATTTCACCCCTGAACCCTCCGATTACATCACCAAGCCTACACAATAATCTCACCACCTCAATCCTTACTTTAACTGAGTCCTCTCCTGCACATGATAATTTGAGCTGCAGTAGTCTTTTGTGCGACCCCCACCATACCCCCCGCTATGGGCAGCAACACATCCACCCCAGCTGTGAACGCCATCGGCGCCAGCCAGTCGCTGACGCCGCTGGTCCGGCGCTCCGCTGCAACTCTGGAAGAAAATCCACTGCTCGACGATGAGTTTTCAGACGATATCCTTCACAAGGTCACAGGCAGAGTTCTGGAACTGAGTCAAGCGCCCCAGCTACCCGCCATTGGAACCGCCCAAGGGTCACGAAGCGGGCTGGTAAGTGGCATAAGTAGCGTCCATGCCGTTCTGACGCCAAACCAAGCATTTGGACGCGGTGTGGCCCCCGTGGGTGGCGTTCGGCCTCGAAGTGGGACCCATCAACTGGCGGTGCTGCGTCGCTCGCGTCTGTCACTGGCTGGCACTAACAAAATCAACTTGTTTGGTCTGGAGCCTTATGATGCTTTAGATGACCAGTATAACGAGGTTAACGAGGATATGATGCATCCAGAGATGGACGATCAAGTTGTGCGCAATTTGCTTTCTCCGGCAGAAGATGTGGAGATGTATGATGACGGTGACGATGATTGGCACAGAGGTAAGCACATCGATGAAATCGACTTTTCTACTATCATCACGCCTCAATCACAACCAAAGGCTCCTGAGCCTGCTCCGCCCTCTGTAGAGGAGGTTCCGCACAATCCAGTCACCCCTAATGACTCGCTGGCCCCATTAGCGGTACTGCCAGTGGAGATCAAGTGGGTCAATACAGCAAAGGAACCTATCCGTACTATAGCGGTGATAGGTCTGTTTACGAACTGGCATGAAACTATTCCTCTTCTTTCCAAGGGTGCCAATGAGTATACCACCAGTCTACACCTTCCCCTTGGTGTGCACAAGTTGCTTTATCTTATCAACAATGAATACCGAGTGCTGGATCTGTTACCGACAGCCACAGATCTGGAGGGTATATTTTTCAACTGGTTCGAGGTTATCGCTGGTGGCGACGCTGACGCCGGGCGTTCGCAAGTCGACCAGATTCAGCGCAAACTGACCTCCTTGTTGACCAAGGTGTCAAAAGAAACTGACCAATTCGAGCACATTGAGTACGCCGATCCTAATGACCACGAAGATAAGATGGATATTGATAGAAACGAAAAGCTGGTAGTCCAGTTCCATGAAAAGGTAACAAAGCCTCAGCGTTCGCAATATCTGAATCAAATCCCAGAAATGTTTGTAAATTACGACTACTTCAAGCATAAGGCGCCTGACTACGAGCTACCCGAGCCACCACAACTTCCAGCACATTTGAACAATGTGTTGCTCAACAAGCTCAACAGCAACAACCATCCTCCTACCAAATCACATGACGCGGCGCTGGGAGAACGCCCTCAACTTAGACGTGCTGATCTGAGTTACTATGCTCTGAATAACCAACTGTATCACTTGCTGATCCCTAATCATGTCATTCTTAACCATTTGATGACCACGCTGATCCGCAACGATGTGTTGACGGTGGCTTGTATCACTCGCTACCTGGGCAAATTCATCACTCAGATAATGCACTCTCCCGCAACCATGAACGACCAAAACTAGTGTCATGTCCCTTGCCAATACCTTACAACTGTAACTGTAATAGCTTAATGTACACTAATTACCATTAACCTAACAAATGACCAGGACAAGATTGTTGCTGGCAACAGAGCTTAAAAAGCTAATATGTGAGTAAATCAAAGTCAATTCATAAAGGTTTCTGTTTGCCTACTAGAATTGTTAGCATCGCCAGCATCACGTACTTGCGTCGCCAATTACGGAAGTAGGCGCACCGATAAATGCCGTCGGAGCCGAATCGAAGACGAGAGTTCAGTGGCCACACTTTCGGGGCGAATATTCGTGACCTTTCAATTTTCGACGATTGTCACTTCTCTACATATTATCTAATCGCACGACAGTCACTCTATTCCCTTGATCACAAGCGTGTGATCTTTTTTCTTTTTGTCAGCTCGGAGATTTGAAGCCTCGGATTAACGATATACCGAACCGCGCCAACACCACCAATGCTGTGGAACGGGTTCAAAAAAGCCATCAATCGGGCTGGCACCCAGGTGCTTGTGCTGACAGGGAACGTTGATAAAACCGTTGACAATGAGTTTGATTTCAGCGAAAAGCGGCTACGTCTGATGCAGCACATCCTGGGAAAGTTGGAAACCCACACACGGAGTTACCTTCACCAGTTGGAAGTGATTTACCAGGCAAACACCAACCTTTCCAAGGCATTCCTGCTGTTCTATGGCGTAAATCCCGCTGAGGATGTCGAAAACTTGGGCAAAGACGCTCCTGTGCACAATATATCCCAGGCCTATCAAATTACCCTTGGCCAGGACAAGAACCATGCGGAATCCCTTCAGTCATCATACTATCAATCGGTTGTGAATCCGGTGAAAAGGTTCAACAGCTACTACTCCGAACTCAATAAAGCGATCAGCAAGCGTAACCGCAAGCTCTTGGATTACGATGCTTTGCGTTCCAAGTTGAACAAATTGGAAGCTAAGGAAGACAATGAGAATCATGAAGATCACACTAAAATTGACTCATTACAAGAACAGTTTACAGAAGCCGAGGAGGTGTTTGATGAGATCAACACTCGACTCAAGGAGCAGCTCCCAAAGTTCATGAGCCACAGAGCGGGCTATTTCGACCCTCTGTTCGAAGCATTTGTCAAACTCCAATGGGACTATTTTGACCAGCGGCAAGTTGCTTTATCACCGCTTGTGAAGAACATGGACGCCCAAAGTCGACAAGATTTGGAAGAGGGTCGAGCCAATCATCGACTCGATGTTGTCATGGACAAGATGAAGCAATTGATGGTTTAAAAGGCTAATACTGTTAGCTGATAGTCTTGGTTAATAACGAAGTTCATGAAAGTACATATGCAATAAATTAATAAACGATTATTTAATTCATTTCATTGTCAAAATGGGTTACTAGTATTCACAACTATTTCCGAGTTAATGGTAAGCTCGTGATATTATATTCAGAACCTAAACCTACAATTCAATTGTAAGTTCGAATAAAAGTATCAGCTCTTGCTTGTTGCTCACTGGGTGTTGATACAATTCCTGATGTGCATCCGTGAAGCAATCTGCCTTATCTGAGGACGATACTTGCAAAAGCTTTTGTCTCACGAAAAACATCATGGACTACGACGATGACTACGAGGATTACTCTCAAGACGAGGGCTTTGATGAGGATAAGTTGACCAACGAAGAGTATGAGCAGCTTCATGAAGTTCTCCCCAAGCTCCGCAAGCAATTAGCAACCTACAACGATGAGATCCCAGAGTACGATTTGAAGGAGGCTCTTTACGCGAATTATTGGGATGTGGATGCTTCGTTGGCCGAACTCAAAACCCGATTTAAAAAAAGTAAGTATACATATTCATTGCGCCCACCACGTTTGGCTCCTTCGTTTCCCTTGCCCTCATTATGACTTAATGGTTGTTATTGCTGCCATCAGCAGCACTGTGCGAAAATCTTTTTGGGCAGGTCAGTGGTAAGGACATGAGTAAGCTTGCCCAATTGGCTAAGCTACGAGCACAGAAGACTACAGCCACCCCTATTGAATCCCAGAATGAAAATCCGTCCAACATGCGAGCGTCTAAGTTGGCAGCGTTAGCTCAAACCCGCAAAAAGGATGGTCTGACTGGTGCAGACCATTTGCCATCGACGAAAAGTCTACTGAAACTTCAAAGTTTACGACAAAAGAGGTTATCCAGTAAGGTGGCAGACACCAACGGCGCTGATGAGGTGCTGTCTATTGATGTCGATCCTTCACCTCCCCCAACGGAAACTATTACACCAGAGGTAGCTATATCAGTTGATGTTTCCGTGAGCCTGACATTATTACTGTCCCACCGCCACATGTCAATAGGACGCACACCTGAAGAACCAAGAGCCAAACGAATGCGCTATTCGATCATTACTAACCACGAAATCCCCGCAGAAAAGGTTAAACAAGTGGAACAAAGTTTCTCGAAACCTCTGCCTGATGATGTTGTCATTGAGGCTCAAGAACAAGCATTCAAGAAGGTTGGCGACCTTAGTTTAAATGACAAGGCCGATAAATCTCTCAAGTCAACGAAGCCGTTCAAAAAGCTCGACTTGGCTGTGGAGATCGCTCAATCTCCTGATTTCGCTAAACCGCACCGCTCGTTTGTTGTGATTGGTCATGTTGATGCTGGTAAGCTGACGTTGATGGGTCGATTGCTCTACGATTACGGTATTGTGGATGCTCGCACTGTCAATAAGCTTGTCAAGGATGCAGAGAAAGCCGGGAAGGGGTCTTTTGCCTTAGCATGGATTTTGGACCAATCACTGGAGGAGCGTACTCATGGTGTTACGATCGATATTTGTGCTACAGATTTGGAGACTCCGTTAATCAAATTCACTGCCATTGATGCACCCGGTCACAAAGATTTTGTCCCCCAGATGATTGGCGGTGTATCTCAAGCTGAACTTGCATTGTTGGTAGTGGATTCTATAACTGGTGAGTTCGAAGCCGGTTTTGCTTTGGACGGCCAAACCAAGGAGCATGCCATTCTCGCCAAAAACCTTGGTATTGAACGGATTTGCGTCGCTGTAAACAAGATGGACAAGGAAAATTGGAGCGAGGTGCGATTTAACTCTATGAGAGAACAGCTTCTTGAGTATCTCTGCAGTGAGGACGTCGGGTTCCAGCCCAATCAAGTCGATTTTATTCCAATTTCCGGTCTCACTGGCGTGAATGTTGTGAACAGGGGCGATGTTCCTGAGCTCAAGTGGTATGAAGGGCCAACTTTAGGTCAATATTTGGAAAATACCGCGTTGTCGACCGATATCAAGAATGCCACCGAACTTCTAAAACAAGACTTCTACTTGTCGATCCACGATTGCCAACGTGACAAAGGCGCACTTAGAGTCAGTGGCAAAGTTCTGAGTGGGGTTATCCAAGCTGGTGAAACGATCGTCGTACTTCCTGAGGAAGAGAGACTTCAGGTTCAATCCCTCAAGGTCGGTAATAAGCAAGTTGACTTTGCTGTTTCTGGACAGTTGGTGGAAATGTCGTTCAAGGCGTCACAACTCTCGAACGACAATACTGACGCGCTTCGCAATGGTGACTTGGTGACAAATCAATCATCTGGAGCCAAACTGGTTCAAAAAGTCAAGGTTGAACTACACTTATTCAATTTACTGAAGCCGTTGGTTGTTGGACAACCGTTCGTGTTGTTCCGGAATAACACACACGTACCAGCTCGCATCACTCAAATCATTGAGGTCAAAAATGCAAAGAAGAAGAAGAAAATGCTTCATTTGTCGAGTCTCCTGGATGCTGTTGTCGAAATTGAAATTCTGGAGGGCAAGTTACCTTGCACCACTTACGTCGATAACAAGGTTTTGGGGCGGGTGGTCATTCGAAGAGAAGGAACAACTATCGGTGCGGGTCACATTGAGGAATTGATAGAATAGTTATATAGGCCAAAGGAACAATATAGCATCCGAGATTGGATCGCCATAATTGGAGTTCATTGGAGCGTTGTCTTCATTGAGCCTCACTCACTAGAACAAACTATACCTTAAGCAACTGAATCTAGACACAATTGTTGAGTTTTGAGTAATTTACTTTGAAAGAATCTCTTGTTTTCATTGATTATTATATATTACTTTGATTGTTCAGTGCGTGTGCACCGAGAGATACCATCTCACTAACAGCCGCACTGATTTCAACCATGGCTAACTCAGACGACGAGGACGCCTTTCTCTATGGGTCTGACGACGAAAAAACCCAGACCCAGCCTGTGGTTCAGGAGAAGTCTGGTTCTCCTGAAAAATCACTGACGGACTCGGCAGCTGGCGAAGATAACATCGCTGCTGACGATGATGAGGAGGAGGAAGAATATCTGTCAGAAGATGACATCGACTTCATTATTGGCGATGCACCCACGGTTGCTGTCGATGAATCTGAGGAGAAGAGCACGCAGCCTGCCGCTCTGAAGGAAGGTACAACTATCGTGGCTAAGCAACAGTCAGAGGAAGCACTGAGCACAATTGACGTCAACGCAGTGGCTGAGTATGAAGGAAAGCCGCTCACTCAACTTGACTTAGAGACACTCAAGGAAAAACCGTGGCGGGCCCCCGGGGTGGATATTTCCGATTATTTCAATTACGGGTTTGACGAATTTTCGTGGACTTATTACTGCTCGAAGCAAGACAAATTACGGGGAGAATTCAACCCGCAAAAGGTTTTCAATCAACTTATGGGTAAAAATGGAGGCATGCCACCTATGATGCCGGGGATGCCCCCGATGATGCCTGGTATGCCGCCAATGATGCCTGGGCAAATGCCACCTATGCCGCCTAATTTCAAATTCAATATGCCGCCACCGCCGCCACCCCCCGGACAAAACAACCGGCGATAAGCAAGCAGATTGGAGCTAGTTATGACTACAACTTTGGATTATCCTATATACTAATATACCTTATTCCTCATCTTCATCCTCTTCTTCAGCTTCTTGCAACCACTTGACAAACGGCTTAGCCGCTTTTCTCACCTTCTTCGAAGTTTCCTTGGGGACGTATTTCTTCGACACCTTGGACCCCCATTGAATGATAGTCTCTTCCGAAAGAAGTTCCTTGTCGTAACACTTCATCAAAACCTTGTTGATTTGGGGGAGCAAGTCAGGCTTTTCGACACCAAAGAAACGTTCCAAGCCACCAAGGAAGGCCTTTTCTGCGTCTTCGTCATTGTTGATTAACTTCCCGAGAAGACCAATATGTTCGTCCAATTGATTCACAATGTCCTCATCGAACAATGCCTGACCAAGCACTTGAACAGTTTCTTCCTGGTCGCCAATTTCCAACTCAACGATCTTCTTGTAAATGTCAATATCCAGAGGCAACTTTGATTTGTCAGTTTCGGCATCGGCAAGCAACCACTCGCCGAAATCGTTGAAAATCTGCTGGCTATCCTTTATGGTGGCACCGTCAAGTTCTCTAGCACGACGAGCCACGGCTTCCTCGGACATGTCAACAGCCCAGTCATCATCCTTGACCTCAACTTCTTCGAGTTGAGCAGCGGCAGCGTTGATCTTACGCGCCAAAACATCATCATCTTCATCGTCGCCAGCGTCAGCAGCAGCGCTCGATTGACCACCCAGAGCAATATCAGAGATGGACTTACCCCCACCCACAACGTTAGCGGTAGCGGTCGCAGCCTTCTTACCCTTCTTCGACTCAGGGGGGTTTCTGGCGACAAATGTAGTCAACTTGTGACGAGGGTCGATTTGAGTAACTTCACCACAGGCTTTACAGTCCTTGAAACAGTCATCCTTACCCTTAATGATGATTTCAGTTTCAGGGTTCTTGCACGCACCACAAAGGACGAACTTGGTGATGAAACCGTCGAGAGAGTCCTGCAACTCGTTGGAGTCGTGAACACCATTCACAAGGTAACGGTCTTCATCTTCCTTCATCGACGTCAACGCCCCCAATTCGTGACCAAAGTATTTAAGCACGTACACAGGGGGACGATTCAACGCCCGAGAAACCTCGCTGAGGTTCACCACCACCGTCTTGATCCCATTCCCCTTACCCTCGATTTTCAGCTGGATAGCCGGCATCTTGTACCGATAAAACGGATCGTTATTTTCCCGACAGATATTGATAAATGACATGATGAATCGTTGGTTATGGTGAGAATTTTTGGTGCGAGATGATCCTCAATGATTAATAAATTTATGGAAGGTGAGCGAAGGGTATCGAGTACTGAAAATTGAATTTACACAAAGTAATTATTTTCGTTTGTTTGTAATCATATTGCCTTAACGGCTATCCATATTGCTTTGAGTAAAACCATTTGTTCTGAATAACTCGTCATAAACGTGGTGCGCAGGCAGTGGCAAATCTGGAGAAACTGAAAATTCTCCGCTCAATGAAAAATACAGCGAGATATGAATGAATTTCGGATTTACCAGTACCATTAGATAGAGAAAATCATAATGCTTGTCATTTATATCATATCTAGATAAAGCCGCCTATATCTATAGATTTCGCCAGCACAAAAGGGGGCAGCTCTTAGCTACCCCATGCATGATTACTTATTATGAAAGGAACTGGTTCATAAAAACTGGTTGCGGTTGGTGGACGGAGTTCCCGGGCTAGAGTTGTAACCCATGGCTGCGGAACTCAAACTGAGTTGTTCCAATTGCTTCATCACAGCCATATCCTGCTGAAGCTGTTGAGTGGAATCCAGGTCGTGAGGGGCCATCAGGGGATACGCCATTGGCGCAGGCTGTTGACCCGGCCGAAGCATGTGCATAGGCATCGCCGGTCCACCATAAACTTGAGGTATTTGATAATTAGGGTTGGTCTGGGCTTGACTTGGACCCTGGCCATGCCCGTGATTTTGGTTGGGAACTTGGTGTTGATAATAACTGTTGTGATATTGTTTCCCCAGGGGTGATCCCTGAGTTCGAGTCACCGAGCGCTTGTTCCGGCGACCCTGCCCACCACCAAGCAGTGCCGTCCGCAGAATGCGGTTAGTGGGAAGACCAACTTCATCCATAAGCTTCTTGTACGGTTGCAAGTTAGTGATGTTCAGTTCAAGCAAGATACGCTTGACTTGCGACACAATAAATTCGAAATAACGCAGATTACTCTTGGAGTCCACAGAGTTGTGAGAATCGGGCAACGTAAGCGCTAAAGGATTCAGCAAAATCTTGTAAACAAACAAAGGTCCTGCAGCATTGTGTTCAGGGTTCTCTTGAAGAATCTGTTCCAAGAGCCTCGACGGTTGAGGGTATGAGTATTCGTCCATACCTTGCGCCACCGCCATCTGACGCTCACATTCTTCGAACAAACCGAAGATTGCGTCCATGATTGTTTGCTTCAGCACTAAATCCAGGCGGTTGTTGATGATCTTCAAAATGGTCAAATTTGCCAACTTGTGTGTGCACAACCGAGCTAAATTTGGCAAGAACTTATGCGTGAGAAGTGCGTAACGGTCATCTTTGATTGATTCCAGTGCCATGCTTGAACTCCGTTGGCGAGTCCCTAACGAGCTCAGGCGAGCTCGTCCTTCCGCGATAGGTTCCAGATTGAAGGTATCAAGGAACCAGGTGATCAACAAGGATCCATTTGAGTTAACAACGAGATCATTTGCAAATTCAACAATCAACAGCGCTACTAACATAACTTGCTCGTAAGGGATGTGGCCACCCTCAGCGTTCTCAAGAATCGTACGAATACAACGAGCACCAAATCTGCCAAAAGAGATCTCAAGGAAGTTGTCAAGTAAAGTCTCAAAGATGAAATCGTTGTAGGGCAGACCGAATTTGACACAACCCTGGAGAACATAATTGCCAAATTGATCATTGAATAGCTTCACAGCGTACGGCTTAAGCAGCTCAGCGATAATAGACATTTGTTGCGTGTGGCCAATTGCCAAATTGATTATCTTCTGAATAGCCCAAGTACCGTTCTTGTGGATAGCAAGTTGTGTGAGGTATGGCGCTATCTCTTTCACCATCATGAGCTTGATCACAGGCAGTTCGACAAGAACAAACAATTTTTGGATGATTGTATTCCCCAAATAGTCGTAACACAACTCAGGCAACTCATCGAGCATAGCAAGACATAACTCTTCAAGTTCGAATTGGCTCATCACACGATCCAGAGGCGAGGGCAGTCCCGATTGGTTGGGCAGCAGAGGGCATGAGGTTCCACTGACCGCAGCCTCATTGTTTTCCAAAATCTTGCGTAATTCACGAAGCTTCGGCAGGTCAAACTGACGCAATGGAATGGGATCAGGAAGGGGTCCAAAATTGTTTTGGTATTTGTTGTTATCGTAATTAATGGCATTCTTGATCAACAGACGAACCTTGTTACGATCTAATTGATTGTGGGCAGCCAAGGTGTCGATTATACTCAACAAATGAGGTTGAATTGCTGACACCTCAATAGGCGCGGGCTTCTCGCTGCTTTTGTGATTGTTTTGTCCGTTCTGCTTCGGCGGAGTTGTCGACTCCAGCAGTGTCGTGGCGGCAGCCGGGGCTTGCGCTGCGATAGACTGAGAACCCACTTTAGCAAATGCAACGTACAATACCACTCCTGGAACAAATTCAATATGATTGAAGCTAGCCTTGAGTGACATCGCAGTATCCACATTCAGGCACTCGACCAAAGCTAACTTCGAGTTGTTCACGGGGCAGATCCGCACGGCCTGAATACCACCGAACAGTCTTTGGTTGCCCAAGCTCAGCACAAGTACTTGATAAAGCTTACTCAGATCGATAAATTGTGGCAAGTTGTCCAACAAAATATTTTTCGTTGGACCCAAATTGGGGTTATCAAAATTTGTGGTGAGCGCCACCAGGGTGATGTCAAAATCATCCTGGAGAACGGGTTGATGAGCATAGTAGGATTGTTGCTGGGGTTGGGGCTGTTGAGGTTGAGCTGGTTGTTGCTGGGCTCCTTGCTGATACACGTTGAAAACTGGCGGCGGTGGGGGTGCTTGACCGATAAGCAGGTCGGGTAACAGTGGGGCTGAACCCAGAAACGTTTGCGAGCGGATCCTCGGGGTTGGAGAGTAAGTGGTGTCTTGCGGTTGAATATTGAGCATCAACGAGTCAAGAAGTGAATTCACGTCAGTATTGGCTACTGTGTGAGGGGTCTGAGTGAACGGAGAAACACGATTCAAACCAAATGAGTCAAACATCAGGTATTGCTGGTTAGGTAATCCTCCCAACAGATTGGGAGCGCCAGTAGTGGTATAAGAGCGGTTGCGACCTTGAGGCGTGGCCTCATTAGTAGGGATGTTAAGAAACTGAGACTGCGAGGCCAGATTGGACTCATTACTCAATTGCTGGTCATACATCAGCAGTTGAGGGCTGGTCGCAAGGGCGTCATCATTCCAAATCAGGTTGGTAGAGAACAAGCTTCCCGAACGCATGCGACGACCTTGAGGGGCGGTCTGTTGAGGGGCCTGGTCCAAAGCTGGTTGGGGTAACAGTAGCAGTTCCATCGTAGGGAGACCGAGGGCGTCAGTAGACGTGGGGATCATCGGCAGCGTCAGCAGCAGACGACCCGAGAATAACGACGAGGGCAAGGTACCTGCCCTCAGGCGGGTACGAGGCCCCAGCAGAGGTGTCAACGAAATCAACGGCGGTGACGGATTAGGATAATTATTCATCCATGCACTGGCGACAATGGTTCTGCCAACAAGGAGGTTTTTCGTTAGCGGAACCTGACGGCTGCCTGGCAGTGCGACTGCAATTTTCCCCTATTACTTCTACACACTCCGCGGGCCGGTGGAATAATGACGCAGAGGAAGAGCAAAGATAACTATGGGATTGTTTTACTAGTGAAAGTTCAAGAATAGAATTTCGTAGAAGTTTTAGTCACAATGATGGCTATTTAGTTGCTCTCGTGGGCTGGGTTTTAAATGGATCAGTGAGGATTTAGTCTGTGACCGGCATTGATAGGTGCTGCGAACGGAAAACAGACCACGTCGACGTTCGGCGTGCGCCCCCAGTGGCAACAACGCCTTCCCTCATGTATTTGCAATGATGCGAAACTGAAAAGCGGGTGCTACGTAGCTGATACGTCTTTGTGTTTGCCATATATCCCCTAGTCCAAAAAGATGGCACATACCTTCACAGCTCAGTCTTCCATTAGAATGAACTTACTTTGAATACGCCTGAACTTCGCGCGGTTGTCTCGTCGATATAGATGCCCGTTATCCAGTCGCGTCAAAAATCAGGGTGACAACAGGAAACGAAAACGCAAAAGTGAAATTTTTGAGGAAGAGTCCGGTGTCATTGAGCACAACAATAAACAGGATGAAGATTCATAAGTTAGAGTAAAAGATGCTAATCTCCACTCTGGTGATCCACCTTTGTGTGCTCGTTTATGAGCCCTGTGGAGCCTTCACTCACGCGACTCACATTCTCTTGACACTAAACGCGTTGCCCAGTCAATCTGCAAATAATTCGCCCCTGGATCAGGGTCGCTAGAATTTTATTTTTAGGCTCATCGATAGGTTGGTGAATCAAGTCAGGTGTGTTTACTAGGGAAATGTGATTGCACTCTCAGGTAAATCTTGTACTACCACAATTATACTACTAGTGATATAGCACCTCGAGCTCCGGAGAAGTGTTTACAATTATCAGTATCGCATCCGTAAAAGGATTTATGCTGACGTTCAGAATTGGTGTTACGGGTTTAATTGAACAGTGCCAAATATGTACGGCAATTAGAAAAGCACTCAGCGTGGCTTTGACATGCGAGAAGCATAGGATCGGCTTTTCGCCGAGACAGAATAGAATCAAAATGCAACCAGTGCATGAGGCTATGTTATAGTCTTCAATATTGAACGAAGTTTGTCCATATGAGTGAAAGCAATTCAAGGTCTGTAACTTCTGATCAGCGTCTCTTGGGTTCACAGTTTACGTCTACCTCCTGCCCAACAAGATCAAATAGGTTATGGATGTGCAGTTAGTTTTGTGGACAAGTTTTTCGGATTTCAAGGATTTTGACTGTCTGATATGTTTACCAAAGGGATAAATGACCTTGCGTGTGTCAACCGGGATGTCTCGCGGATTATTCTTTCGACGCTCACTTAGACCATGACATTGTATCGTGTGCCAAACCCCCGCTTACATCATAGGAGTTGGCATTAAATTATAGGTCTGTTAGTCAGTAGTTTAACATATCGGAGATTGAAATGTTTAAACCTCTTCTTAGCTGCAATTTTCTCGTGCGGTTGATTTGTTGCACCTTGCAGAGCAAATTTCTAGAGTAGATCACTTTAAATCGGCTCCGCGTAACTCCGATTGCGCATGCGACTCTTGATTCGAGATGATCAGGTCTAGACTAAGGGTCGAATTCACCAGCTTCTAGTTCTCTTATAGGTTTGCACCAGCCGATGGAAATCGTAAATGACAGAATTTAGTCCCGCAAAACGCCATGCTTGATCCGGTTACTTATCACGCATATGAGCCCCGGATCTGATTCTGCCATTGCGTAATGACATACAAATAGTTGCGGACATTAGTGCCCAAAAACCTTGTGCCAGCATGGACTCCTCCAGTCCTCAAGAGGAGTACACCACCATCCTGCCAGACTTGCAAAAGAAAGCACTATTTCAAAAGTCACGCCTGTTTCTTGAACTAGCTTCAGTCGGCGAAGACGATGATACCGAGATTTTACTGGAGGAAGATGATGATGAACTTGGTGCCATAAAAGAATTTCATCCCAAACCTCTGGGTGGAGCTACGAAGGCTGCTGGGAAGCTGGGAATGCTGTGGGATGATGCTGAGTCAATTGTGGGAGGACAGCTGATCTACCTGGCTGACTCCCGCAAAGTTCACCCCACAGCACAAAAAGACAAACCCACCGAGAATCAGGAGGTGAAAATAGCTGGTGTTGAACGGCCGATTGACGGTGAGCTGTTGAAACCGTACGAAACCAATCAAAAGGTGTTTTCATTCCTGTTGCCTTTGGGTGGTCTCAGTTCTCTCACACGACACTTACCACTTTTGAGACTGCCATCACCCCCACCAGAATTGCGAGAACTCAGTGAGAATATTGAGAATAAGTTAGTCAAGCAACAGCTGATTAGTACTGTTGATGATGCGAAATATTTCAGCCTGGTCGACCATCTCGATAATGTCCGATTTCGAGCTGTGAAGCACTCTTTAACCAACAAAATTGACGACGTTGTGCCTGGCTTCATCAAACGCGATAAATCGTGGGAGCTGGTATATTCAGAGATCAAGGGTAACATCGTATTGCTTGGGGGCTACAGAGGCCTGGTATTACGAGATGCTAAGACGCACAAGCGTGTGTGGGTCCCTTTAACTGCCGGTTTGAAGCTTCGTAAAGTAAACCTTTTACTCGGTCCATCCGATGAAGATGAACTCAAGGCTACAGATACAGTTGTACCCGATGGAGTCCTCAAAAACGTTGGACCTGTGGATCTTTGTAAGAAATTCCTCAAAAAGCTTAAGGCCAATCCCAACGCCAACGTACATGATTTTGGCTATGATTGGCGGCTCTCAGGTGACATAATCAGTCAGCAACTTGTTGATTTCCTTCAAAAACTAAAGGATGAAACAGGCGAGGGCACAATTGTCATTGGTCATTCTATGGGGGGTATGATGGCTCATGGAGCACTTCAATTACGCCCTGATCTATTCAGAGGCCTCCTCTATGTGGGCAGCCCTTCTGAATGTCTCAACATTTTGGGACCCATTCGTTACGGTGATAATGTCATCATGTCAGACAAAGTTCTCACATTTGAAACTAACTTTATGATGCGATCTCTGTTCAATTTCCTTCCTTTACTGGGGCGTGTGTTTTGCAATATGAATAAGAACGAGTATTACGATCTTGACTACTTTGACCCTGATGTATGGGTCGAGTATAATTTGAACCCTCTTGTGGCAAAGAAACGTCAGGAACGTGAACAGCGTCAAATGCTGTCTTCAGTACTGCCGACAGGTACGCAACTGCCATCGGGAGCGCAATCGCCAACGAGCTTTACGTCTCGCGATAAGTCAAGCAATCATTTCGGCCTTTCTAGCTTCAGTTACGCTCTCAAGATTGCTAAACGGAAGACTCTGAACTCATTGCTGGGGTTGGGCAGTTCTCCTACCAGTCTGATAGCCACTCTAGATGACGATTCCGATGAAGAAGAAAAGTATAGCTTCACATTTGCCGAGTCCTATGATTATCTTAAGCGCACATTAATTCGCACGCGGAAATATATCGATGGTCTCGAGTTCAAACCCGAACTTGAACATAAATATCCACCTTTGGCAGTGGTGTATGGTAACAAGGTGCCTCTGGTTCGAGGACTGAACGTGAGAAGCCGACAAGACATTAAAGACGGTAACTACTATGAATTCTTTTACGGTCACGGCGACGGCGTTATCCATCAAAAGTGGTTATTGCCGGAGCGGAAGGGGTTCAGGTTCTACGATGCTGAAACGGGTGAAGGTGAAATAGTCGGCAAATTTGCTCTGGATTGCGGTCATGTCGATCTTATGACTGATTTCAAGGCAATGGGCGAAGGCTTGGCAGCAATCGTTGAAGCTGAAAAACACTGGCATCGCAAACTTGAATGATAAACGACTGATGAGTACATGCATATAAAAATTCATAAATTTCATGCTATATAATTTTAGACAAGTGGATTTGTTTGTTGGTATAGGTCGCCGTCTATGGTACCGATAAATGCCCGATCGCCAAATCCGCCAATCATGTGTACTTTGTCCACATTCAATTTCACCCAATGCGCTTTGTGGGGTGCATTTTTCCGTGACGGAAGCCACCACTTTGCGTCGGGGTGCCGAGTAAGGAAACACTTCTCTAAAGCCGCGATATCGGTATTGCTCTCATCAACTTTTTGTAGTTCTCCGTACAATGTCACCCTTGGAGAGCCCGCTGGTGACGACACAATACCCCCTGGATATCTCGAATCTACTTTGGAGTCTCCCACGGGGTGATCACCTACTCTTATCGTCCACAGCAGAGCCAGTCCCCGCTTGATATTCTGGAACGTGGAACCGATGTCTACCACAAGCCAATAGGGGTTTCCCGTACCGTTGCAATCAGCGTAGTACTCCATTGAACTCACGGGAATTCCATCACTGTCGACTGTATTGATGTTGACGAGAGACTCCCTTTGTACAAGGGTTCTCGCCACTGCCGCCCCCTCTTGAGCTGAGGGAGGCTCCCAACTGGCATCAAAGGCAAAGGGAAATTGCGGGATTGCTAAGGCAACCCCAAACATGAAAAATTGATTGAGCTTCATGGAGATATGTAGTCAGAGCCAAGTGTGACTTCTATGTAGGATGTTAGCCGCAGAAAATCGACCCGCGAGATTAGCTAAAATATGTATCGAAATCTAAAACCCAAATTCTCCGAGTTGACTTTCGAGGTCTTTGATTGTTGCCTCTAGCTCCAGGCTGTTAACTTGAAGTGAGGCCAATTCATCGAACTTCCGGAGTTTGGTATACTCTTTTATCATCAGCTCTACCAAAAACTTCTGTTCATTCATGACCATTAATTGTTCACGAAGTTCACGTATTTCTTTCTTGGTAAGTTTTGATGCTGGCGGTATTTGCGCCTCTATCTCACGCTGCTGTTGTTTTTTGAGCTCAAGCTTCTCTTCTTCAGCAGCTTGATATATGCTTGAAAGCCGCTTGAACTCAGTGACAGAGTGTTCAAGGGCAAGTATAATAGATTGGTATATGTTCCGCACGAGTTGGGGGTTGTAACTGGATTTTGGGGTTAGTTTACCATTAGTATCATCAAAAAAGACTACCCTGTAGCGCGTTGCTAACTTTTCCAACTCTTTCGTGGCCAACGCTAGCCGTGAACTTATGCGTGGTGACAGCTCCTTCGCATATGATGCAAGTAATTGATTCAAATGATGTTTTTGTAAAATGAAAGTGTTATACTCATCGAATACAGCAGCGTTTTCATCATTAGCAACGTCTTGTTGATTTCGCTTCCAATTGACTAGGAGATCGTCCTTGCATTTCACACAACAACGGAAACGTGTGTTATCACTTATAGTCTTACTCAAGTTCTGCTTCACTTCATCGTTGTAATTAAGGTCAGGTAGTTTCTCCACAAATAAACCAACAGGAGCCATCAATGAGCAAAATTGGCGATTTCCTTCTGGATCATCGCACACTATTTGTCCGCAAAGACGACAATGATGTTTTCGAATCCACCACAGAAAAGTAACGCCACACACACGACAATGAGCAACTTCATCATCTCTTTCCCAGTAATCCTGTTTCTCAGTAACCTCTATGTCTTTATTCACCAATCGAATGAATCTGAGCTGAGTTTTGTTGCGACGAAGTTCATGGGAGTCCTGGAATGAAGATCTTAAACTTTTGAACAGCCGAGTCAAGTCGTGGACCTTTGTTTGAGTACCCTGACTCAAATCTGGTTTAGCAGAAAAGCATTCAAGACACACCCGTCGTAAAGACAAATTGGAGTTTTGTTCAATGGTGGCGTAACCACCGTCAGCGGTAAGACCCGTCTTATACCGCCCATGCTGATTACACACGAACTTGTGGCATTTGGAGCACTCAACACACCCACCGTTCCGTGGTGTCATTGACTTGTTGCATCCTGGATAGCCACACCCCTTACCCACGATCGACGTGGAGGGAGCCGGCAGATGCTCATCATCGGTTGAGGCGATCGATCGGGAGATGGGAGACTTGGTGGGACTTGGAAGAGGGCTTTGTGAGCGTGTTGCTTCTTTGGATGAGGACGTTAGGGTGTTTCTGAGCTGTGCCCCCACTGCTCCAATAACCCGCTTGCCCATGTCGCACAATTCATGAACCAGTGAACAAAGAGTTGTAAGTTAATTAGACGGGTTGAGCAGAAAGCTACGCACCTGGGTTGAGAAGATTTGTGGCGCTTGTCTCGGTAGAATTAGCTTGATCAATTAGGATGAGTCTTTGTTGAGTGCGCAGTGAAGAAATTGAGTCTATGAGCTGAAATTCATAATTATACGTGGTGTTCTCTATAAATGTGACATACCCGATGCTACTTGACTTGAACCAACACCACTGTAATATCGTCCTCTTTACCGCCAAGGTAGTTTTGACCCGTTAACTTCAGCAACTCCTGAGCAAAAGAACTGGGGAAGTTGGGGTCCTTACTGACTTTGACCACTTCATCAACAAATCTCTTGGCTATACTGTCGAGGTTGGGGGTTCCGGTGGCGAATTGGTCCTTCAAAAACACTTCAATGTCGCCAGGAACAACATTGTCAGAAACGCCATCGGTGGCAAACATCACGATATCGCCTTGCTGCAATTGCCAGCTATATTCATCCGCCATGCCCGGGTTGTCGATAATGTAACGGCGCCCCTCCCGTTCTGCTTGACGAATAATATGCTTGGGAATTTTGGCAAGTTGGTAAGGGGTGTTGAAGTTGTGAGTTTGGAATTTACTTTCCTCAACAAGCTTAAAATCCCGAAACACGGCACACCAAGAATCACCCAAATTAGCCACTCTAAGCTCACGAGTAGGTGTCAACACTCCAAGACACGCGGTTGTTCCACCGATCTCCACTTTGGGCAGCGACATCACGGCATCGAATGCCAGCTGTAGAAGCAGCTTAGGAGTGACATCTCCTGATGACGATTCAAATGCCAGCTTCATTTGAGCACAAAGCTCGCGCGATATAGCCGACGAATCGTACCCGGCTTCCGACCACCCACCAACACCATCAGCCACGCCACAAGCGACAAACCCTTGGTTTTCGTGTGACACAAACAAGTTGTCCTCGCCGCTTTCGCTGTAGGTGCGCTCGGTATTACCCTTTTGCTGCTTGGCGAAAAGGTTTTGCCCTTGTTCCTCTCGGTCCTTCGGCTGAAACGCAACCGATATATTGTAGTTGGTAAAACCCAGATGGATACTGTCATAGTTTCCCAGCTGCGCTGCAGTGGCGCTGAGATTTGGTCCGCCTTTTTGACCGGAGGATGTCCAACTGGTGAACGAGAACCGCCTCACGGGGGTAGTGCCAGCTTTGGAGGCCGAGGTAGCAATCGACAGCCCATACTTCAACGAGCCGGTGAACGCACGCTTACCTATCAACAGAATCATCACCATCGCTAGGGCAATGAATAGAACTGCTCGACCAAACATTTTTTTACGCGCCGTATAGATTAGTGCTGAGATAGGCCACAGACCACGAATCACAAAACAAAGCGTGTCAATGGAGACAAGGTAATTTTATATGCTGCCCGTGTTGTGATTTACAATGTTTTCGGCGTGTCTGTGTTTGCGTTCCACCCATTCACGTATCGTTTAGAGATTGTATGGACGGATATTACGTTGTAAATAAGTGTGGTATCGACGTTTGCGAGATAACTTAAAATTTTGCATTTAAATTGAAATCATGGACTACCCATGATTTTCGAGACAATATTGATAAAATCATTTTACTTTGATGTGAATTCAGCGCATCAGCTTTTACAGACCGTTACTCCACAAATTTCATGTGTTTACATGTTGGGCTCGCTAAAGATGTTTCTCGGTACTGGTAGCAAGTGTTGACGGTATGAGGCATCCGAGAAGTCCGGTGCGAGAACTACGTATGCTGACGAAACTATACAACACTGTGAAACCCCACTTGTTACACTACTGATGCAATTTTCAGCACTGGAGTGATCGGTTTATGTTATCGGCTTTAACGTAGGGAACCACTTTTGGCTGGTTATACCAAAGAAATGCCTGCATACAGCCGCACACACAAATAATGCCACAGCCAATGAGTGCTCGCAGTGGCACCACCAGGCTTGAAAAAAATCTTTCCAGGTACCTTATCCGCATACAATGTCGGTCAACTTCAACGTGTTGAGATACTCTCTCTTTGGCGCTGGTATCGTCTACGGTGCCGTGCACAGATACAACATTGAATCGGCCGAAGCCAGAGAACAAGCCGCCGCTGAATGGAAGAAGGAAGAAAAGTTGATTGCCGAAGCCAAGGCTAAGTGGGCCAAGTTGCACCCTCCCAAGGCTGCCCAATCGTCGTCGAAGGGCTCAATCAACTGGGAAGACCCCAACCTCGACTTCGGTGCCGCTATTGAATCGTTGGTGGCCAAGTTGGACTAATCGGACGGCACACGTTGTGTAAATATAGAATTTGGTTTGGTTAATAAAACGTATCAGGAAACAACCATCTTGTGTAGGGAATAGAGTTAGCCCGCCAGCATCAGCGTCGGCTTTTTTACTACTTCCAGGTATCTTTTTCATCCGTCAGACAATCCGCGGTCGTTGTCTTAAGGTTATGTTCTCCGGCGCGCGGGGAGAAACTTTGCCCCACACTCGATGTCGAAAGTGAATGACAGAGCACTCCCGTTCGCTGACGCTGCAACTATCGTTCGAGCCAACCAGAAGGACGCGTACTTTGAGTCTTCGCTCAGAACACACATCAGTGACGTGCTCTCGTTGATCATGGGTAATCGATTTGTCAATTTGTTCCCAGAGGAAATCTCGGTGGCGGCAAAGGGGTTGTACTTGGGACTCACCACTTTACTAGGTGCCCGTACACTTGGTGAAGAGTACGTTGACTTGCTTTACGTACTGAGGCTGGGGCGTCGTTTGCCTCGATTCGTTCAACGACTCGGCTTCGTCTTGCTGTACGCCCTCTTTCCTTATGTTGCTCTGCAATGGCTCAAGCGTATGAAGCTTAAGTATGAATTGGCCCAGGAGAAGGACGGTGGGCGTACGGCGCCATGGGCGGTGCGCTATTTCAGCAGCTACAAAGCGGCTTTGGATGCATTGATGAACTTACATATTGCCATCTTCTATTTCGATGGACTGTTTTACCAGCTTTCCAAGAGAATCTTTGGTTTACGTTACGCTCTTGGTCACAACCGTGACATGAGTCAATTGCAACGTGTTGGCAACTACTCATTACTTGGTGCGATCATTTTACTCCAATTCATGCTCAAGGGATTGATGAAACTCAAAGAGCTCAACGACAAATGGGCCAAGGAGCGGCGCCAACGCCGAGGTGAGGTTGTCGAAGATGACGAACACAAAGACTACCTGACTGTCTCCGATATCGAGCAACTCAAGTCAGTTCGTAAAGTTGTCATCGATTTGAATGACCCGAACCAGCTTCCGTATATCCCAGAAGGATCACGCGACTGCTTATTCTGCATGACACCCATGGAAAACCCCACCGCTGCTTTATGTGGCCATATGTTTTGCTGGACGTGTATCACGGATTGGTTAAAGGAGAATACCGAATGTCCCTTGTGCCGGCAACATTGTTTAGAACAGAACTTGCTTCCCTTGAGATGAATGCTATATAATCTACAAGTGTTGCTCTCATGAATGTACGACCGTAACGAACAGCTCATTATTGATAAATTTCCTCGTATTAATCACACAATAACGTCCATCCTATGACTCATACGGAAGTGTTGAAGTACCCAATGGGCTACAATGAATTCAAATGGACGTCAAAATTTGAAACACGTATTTGCATAGATATATTTATATGCCTTACTACTTGGACCCTTGAATTCGACATCAACAGAGATTTCGTGTCGCACACATTGAAAAAATCAGACCGCGGAAGAGCACAACACAACCGATGAGTCTACGAGGGTACTCACTTCCCCTTTCCAACGATGACGCCCAAGCCAAACGGGATGATGACTACGACAGCAAACTCAAGCCTAAGAGTCGTTATGGGGCATCGCTGGGGTTCTTGAACACATTGCGTGCGGCTCAACATAAGTTGATCTACTTGGCTAGCCGATACAAGTTGATTACGCTCGCGGTGATCCTCTTGGTATTCTTGCTGCAATTCACCTCGCTCGAAGTACCTTTCCTCCCGTCACTCTTCAAGTCGAATGACCCCAAAGTGGTGATTATTTTGGCTGCCAACGAAGGAGGTGGGGTTCTTAAATGGAAACTGCCCCAAGAGTGGCTGGTAGAGCGGTCTCTGATTGCCAACAAGAAACAGTACGCCAAGAAACATGGATATGCCCTTACTATCAAGGACATGACGATAAAGAAGCGTTACTCGCATGAGTGGCGTGAACTGTGGGAGAAAGTGGACATCTTGAAGCAAACTATGCGGCAGTACCCCAAAACGGAGTGGTTTTGGTGGTTGGATTTGCACACGTATATTATGGAGCCTCAAATTTCTCTTGAAGCCCACTTTCTCAACAACTTAGAGAACCTGACCTATCGGTCCCTTGAAACGTTCAACCCATTGCTGTTGCCGGTGGATACCCCATACACTGACTACACATCTCCAATTGACTTAATCATTACCCAAGACTGCGGCGGTTTCAACTTAGGCTCATTTCTTATGAGACGCCTGGATTGGAGTGAAATGTTGTTAGACATGTGGTGGGATCCGGCCATGTATGAGCAGATGCATATGAAATGGGAACACAAAGAGCAGGATGCTTTGGAAACGTTATACACCACGCAACCCTGGATTCGGGAGCGTGTCGGGTTTTTGCCATTGCGCAAAATTAACGCCTTCCCTCCGGGTGCTTGTTCCGAACAAGCTGACGACCCTCAATTCTTTTTCAAGAATAATGACTTTGTTGTTAATATGGCTGGCTGTGAGTATGGACGTGACTGCTGGAAGGAAATGGAGCACTACAAGGCTTTGTCGAAGCTGCTCCACAAGCCATGGTGGAAATTATGGTAGACGAATTGTGCAATAAATATAGAGGATATACGGTTTATTTTAACTACGACAGCTCTACGATGGTGTTCCAATTACTCTCAAATTTTCATGTTGCTGTTTTATCGCAATCATTTAACGAAACCACCCATGTCACCCCCTTGGCAACGTTTGAAGACTCCCAGTAATGGAAATAATTGAGCTGATGAAGTTTGATCAATTTTAGCTCAGAATAGCTTGTTGTGTGTTATATCGCAAAGTGAAGCATATTTTCCCGCAACCATTCGATACAAGTCCCCCACAATTTGGTTGATGCAATCTAGAGGATGGAGAAAAACGCAAGCATCAATTTCTTCAAACCAGGACTAATCAAATATCACTTCGAATTTTATACAACAGTAATTAAGTTATTTGAAAATCTTTCCTTTCTCCACGACCGCGTTGAAACGCGTGCGCATTTTCATCCGGCCTTTTTTTACCACTACCAACTAGTCACCATGGACCTCGACGGTATGGGCGACAACTTCTGGTTCAACGACAGTGCCTTCTCCACTGGTAATGGTGCTGGGAACTCTGGAGTAAGTAGCGTGAACCAGTCTGACGACTTTTTAACGCTATTCGATCATCCAGGACAAAGTGGAGGGGCACCGCCTCTGAACCAGGCACCAGCGCCTCCTCAACACCCACCACAACCACCACAACCGCCACAACAGCCGCAACAGTTCATGAGCCCTCAAATGTTTTCCCAGCCTCCACCCCAACAGAATCGGGGTCAAGGGCCGGTGCCAATGGGCGTGTCGCCGGCGGGGCAGCCGCAGCAAGGAATGAGTCCTCAAATGTTCGACCAAATGAAGCTGGACCAATTTCAACGGATGCGCCAGCTGATAATTCAACAAAAGATTATGCAGCAACTGTCACTGCCTCAAGGACAGCACCTGCCTAATCTCAACCATGGCGCCCCTCAAGGTATGACTCCACAACCACAAGCTCAAGCGCAGGCTCGGCTACGCAACATGGATATGGGGGGTCAGATGGAAAACAATCAAAGCCAACTGAGAGCAACTCTGTTACTGGCCCTGGGGACACCTCAAATGGGACATCAACCCCCGCCAATGGTCCCCAACCAACTGTTTAATCAGCAACAGCAACAACAGAACCAATTTAACAACCCAATGGTGAACCAAGGTCAATTCCAACCACAAATGCAACGCGGGAAGCCTCAACCTCAATCGTCAATGCCACCTCAACAAGTGCGGCAACAATTGTCTCATGGCTCACAAAACCCCCCTCCAAACGCCCCACTGGGTCAAGCACCTTCTCAGAATCCTAAAGCGGATTTACAAAGACTGTGTGATATTTTCCTTAGGGTGCTTCAAGAATTTCATCAACTGAGAGGTACTAATATTCCTCCATTGGTCATCAACAACAAGACCATCAACTTGTTTTGGCTCCACTTTTTGTGCAATAAATTTGGTGGAAGTCGCGAGCTTATGGCTTATATCAACAACCCACAAGCTCTGCAGCAACAAATGCTGCCATGGCTCCTGATGGCGAAACACTTGGGTATTCTTGAAGGCCTTAATTTACTGGATGCCCATGTAAGAGGACAAATTGAACGTGAGTTAGCTAACATTTTTGTGAAATATTTGTTGCCGTATGAACAGGCTCTCAAAACTCCTGAAGGTCACAGGGAAATCAAGCAGAGAATGATGCAGGTGACTCAACAATTTCAACAAAGAGACCGCGAGCGTCAACAGCAACAACAGCAACCTCAGCAACAACAACAGCCACAACAACAGCAGCAGCCACAACAACAGCAGCAGCCTCAACATCATCAACAGCAGCAGCACTCACAACAGCAGCAGCACTCACAACAGCCTCACCTCCAGAACCAGAGCTCAACTGCCAGTCTTCCTCAGAACCCACAAAAGTTTAATTCCCCATACAATCAACACCAACCACCGCCATCTATGGGGCAAAGTCCGAGCATGCATCAACTGCCTCAAATTCTGCTGGAACCTACCCCCCAAAACCGCAAACCACTGAGAGTTCTGAATCCTTCCCAAGTGGGTTCACCAGCTATGTCTCCTTTTGTTCAGAATCAGCTTCTGAGAGCGAACCTGGTGGTTCAACCACCTCCACTGGCTCCTCAGCCGTTACAGGGTTTCCGTCCTGGACTGAGTCAAGCAGTGGGACCATCGGTCGCGTCGTCGGTACCTGGATCAGCGCCAGCACCAGCACCTCATTCAGCACCTGTCGTGGTAAAGCGGTCAAGAGAGGTAGATTTTGACACTGGTAGCGATGAAGTCACGTTGCTCAAAAACTACCGCCCTCTCAAGCGTAAAGTTGAAACTTATGGTGGTGTTCCGGCCCGTGAGCTTTCTCAAATCGGTCTGGACCTCGAGTTAGCAAAGCCGGTGTACTTATTTGCTCCTGAGTTGGGGACTATCAACATACACGCCTTAACTATGAGTCTCAAATGTTATGAGGGCATCAAGCTGCTGGAAACGTTCAGTGCTCTCAACACACTTTTGGTCATAACTTCTGATGGCAATTATTCTTTTGTTGCTGATGATGCGCCTGAATTGATTGATACGTTAGCGCAAACTGGGTTGAAGATCTTGAAGACTTTGATTGAGGGTCAGAAAGTGTGGAACAATTCATCTGAAGATGTGGACGACGAGTTGGCCACTAATGATCCTGTTGACAACATATTCCGAAAATACGTTCCGACGGGACCACCGAAGGAGGATATAGGCATTGTTGTTGATTCCCTCACAGGGGAAGTTGTTGAAGATAGTGACGACGAACTTGACATGTTCGAATCTGTTACTGCAAATACTACTCCGAACACTGTTGGAACTGAGACACCTAACCCACCAGTGACCAAATTTGGCATCCCCGATTATCTCACAACCTTACACGAGTTCCATGCCGAAAACAAGCATCACTTCTCGAAAGTCCAGACTCGGTCCCCGATGGACAACCAAATCATGCTTGTCGATCATTTGGTCACCATCTCGATGATTTTCCGTAATTTGACTCATGTTGATTGTAACAAGCCGACAATTGGGGCCAGCAGTCTATTCAAGGATTTCTATTTCGAATTCATTGCTCAATTAGGCATTCAAGATCTTTCGAAGTTTGTCTTCCATCGAAAGAGACTTTGTTTACTCAAGGACTGTGTTGTGATTCTCAGTAATGTTGCACACGTCTTAGATTTGAGGCTGATGAGGGAGGCGTTCCTTGTGTACGCTCTTGTGGCTCTGTTTGGTCCCGACTTAACCCAAGACAAATGGAAAATTAACCCGGCGCTGTTAGGTACATATCTCTACCTTCCCTATGGTGTGGATGGGTTCGCTAAGTTGTTAGTTAGGGAACCTCACAATAGACTGTTATTTGAAGCAGTGCTTACAGGGCTGTTGTCTTTGAGTTCCCTGGCCAACTACATGAATACCAAGCCGTTTGTGGTGGAAAAGGCTGACGTTGAAAGTACTAGAGAGCTTGCAGTTGCGTACTTTGATGGAGACAAAAAGTGTTTCGAACAGGGCGAATTGTTGACGAGGGCTTTCCGGTTAGTAATGCTGTTAGTGCCCATTGACAACCACAATATTGAATTTTCAAAATTGGTGTTCGCGAGAGCACTGACTTTGGCACAAGCATTATTTGCCGCCAAGTTGTTGATCGATTTGGTGAAGCCAACCGAGCCACAAGAACAAGGCACCCTGGCGTTGACGTCGGTGGTGCTGCCACTCCTTCCGATTAAATGGTTGCTATACAACCAACAAGTTTTGTTGGGAAACTTTGCTCGTCTTCTGTTGGCCCTTCTTACGGATCTGCTCAAGTATGCTCGTGAATCCAACGACAATCGTTTGGTCACACTCATCTTACATAAGCTGTTGACGGTGGTAAACCTGTTAGTGGCTAACCTTGTTGCAAACCGTGACGAGTTAGAGCAAAGTGAGTACTGGGCTGAGCTTGAACCTTTGGTGAAGGGCGTACAAAAATTGGCTCGTAACCGCCCTGATACACATATGTCGCTCGACACATTTATGACTCCCCAAATTGATCTGCTGGTAAGAAAGGAGACGTTGCGGCTTTATAATTTAATGACAGCTCTATGCTGAAAGATCTGGGATAAGCCAAACTACACAATGATGACGTTAATATTGTATTACTATCAAACTATAAATGATCCATTTATTTAACTGTTTTGTAGCACGCGCAAGATTTTCCAACTAGAGAAGACCCAATTTCTCCATGCGAACGTGGACTGCGTTACGGTGGGCTTCAAGTCCTTCCACTTCCGCCAAGGTCATCACTGCTTTACCGATCAGATTCAATCCCTCCTCGGTGACATCTTGAGCAGTAATAAACTTTTGGAATGTGGCAGTATTCACACCAGAATATTGACGGGCATAACCGTACGTGGGCAAGGTGTGGTTGGTCCCCGAGGAGTAATCACCACACGATTCGGGCAGCAAAGCACCCACAAACACGGACCCAGCATTTTCAATTTTGGAGGGCACAAACTTTTGAGCATTCTCAATTTGAAGAATCAAGTGCTCAGGAGCATATCTATTCAGCACTTCGAATGCTTGTTCATAGGAGTCGGTCAAAAGAGTGAACGAGTGAGCCAACGACTTGGCAACAATATCCTTTCTAGGCAATACGGCAGCTTGTCTAGAGACGGCTTCTTGAAATTCGGCGATTTTCTTCAGTGAGAGCGACACACCAACAAGAATTACTTGGGAGTCCACACCATGTTCAGCTTGAGACAAAAGATCCAGGGCAACGAAGTCAGCGTCGGCATCCTCGTCAGCAATGACCAACACTTCCGAAGGACCGGCGGGCATGTCAATTGAACACAAGGCTTGAGTGTCGTTTTGCACGTACATTTTAGCCGCCGTGACGAATTGGTTACCCGGGCCAAGAATTTTGTCACACTTAAGGACCAGCTCAGTACCATAGGCCATAGCGGTAACAGCTTGAGCACCACCGGCCATAACAATTGCCTTGGCACCCAATTTGTGAGCAACGTACACCACTTCAGGAGTTAACTTGCCAGTGGCACGTGAGGGGGGCGAGGCAAAAATGATGTTGCGACAGCCAGCGACCTTAGCGGGGACACCAAGCATCATGGCAGTCAGGGGAAGCACAGCAGTACCGCCAGGCACGTACAAACCAACATTTTCAATGGGTTTCGCAAACCGAGAGCACTTGACACCAGGGCAAGTTTCCACAGTCATCATCTCTTCCTTAGGCAATTGAGCCGCGTGGAATTTCTCAATGTTAGCAATCGAAATGTCGATGGCTTTTTTCATGTCATCAGAAATTTGCATCATGTCCTCAGGGAACGGTGCCTTCAAAACGGGAGTGTCCAAAGTCACACCATCAAACTTAGCGGTAAGCTCAAGGAGAGCCTTGTCGCCATTTTGCTTGACATTGTTGATAATGGGAAGAACGAGTTTCATGATATCCAGAGTCTTTTGTACGGGTCTGGTGAGAGCACGTTCAATAGTCGCCTTATCAGCCAGATTGTAGTCGATAACTTCGATGTGGTAAGGGTCTTCATTATCCTTCTGCTCCTGTTTGGTCTCTTCTTTCTTTGCTTCGTATTGAGGCTTGGCATCACCCTTTCTTCTGGTCACCTTGAGAGATTTAATGTCAAGATTCTTTTCGATGTCCGCTAACAGCACTCCGTACTTGGTACACCAAGTAAGAATAAAGTACAATAAGTCAGCCGCCTCCCAAGCAATTTCAGCCTTGTCGTTTTGTTTACCAGCGTCAATGAGCTCGTCAAGTTCTTCCTTGAGCTTAGCCACAAGTAAAGCGTCATCGTTGAACAATCTTGCGGTGTAAGAACCCTCGGGAGCACTTACCTTGCGTTGGCTCAAGAGATTACTAAGCTTCCTGATACCACCACCCACAGCAGCGTCCGCTTCAGCCAATTGTCTGTCGCCAAAGCACGAGTAATCGCTGGAGTTGTGGCAGAAACCGTAGCCTGACTTCGGAGTGACAACGAACTTGACCACATCATTGTCGCAGTCCTTTGAAAGACTCAAAAGCTGTTGAGTAGCACCCAGAGTTGCTCCCTTGTACCAGAGTTCATTGGGACGTTTGCGCAGCTGGTAAACACCACTTTTCAGGGAAATCAGCTCGTGAATCGAGGCAATAGAGGAGTACACAACACCAAGGCACACACCTTCGGGGTCGGTAACCAAAGTTGTGTACAAATTATCGGGTCTATCAGTGGTGAGTGTCAGAGTGAACACTTCACCAACATTGACCTTCAGAGTATCTTTCGGGTTGGTAGTGAGAACAGTTACCGGGACCAAAGAAATGAAGCCCTTCTTGGCCACTTCGTTGAGCTGCTCCTGCTTGGCATCGGTGCCGAATTCCACATACTTGCGGTCATTCCCGTCGGGGGCTTTGGATGTGTCAGTCACCAAGTCCTCGCCCACCACGATTACTCTGGAGACGGGGAAACCAGAAGCCTTTTCCTTGTCATCGACAATTACTTGAGCGACACCCAAGTTCAATACTTTGGTGACATCAGCCTCCTCAGCTTGACGAAGATCAATAATCACATTGACTCGGGGAAAGTTCTGGATAAAGTGCTTGTTGTAGTTGTCGGTGGCTTTGAACGGAAGCACCACCGTGCCACAGAGTGAAAACTCTTCAACATCCTGGACCGTGTTACACACGGGGACCACGGGAAAGGTCATATTGGATAAAGTCTGGGGTTCTAAAGTTTTTCGATCAGTTCGCACTGACTCTGACTCATCCTCTGATGTGCGCTTCATACCAAGAATACATAATCGCTGGGCTACATTATCTATAGCACAGGTTGTTTAGTAGCTGTAACATAAAATCTAACTAGACTTTTGAGAATGTGTTTTTCGTTTGGTGTAGTGTGTGCAAGTCCATAGCCGTAAGGGGACCGAGATTTTGTTATATGTACCGGTTGATAGCCGCGGCTAAAATAATGTATTACCGTTTTCAGCATCCCAGCCGTTGACTTGACACAAGAACGGTCTTATGAAAAATCAAAAGTGCTGACCAGTATCATTTCGAACGTCATGTCATTTGCTCATATATTCGTTACTATTTAAAAATTAAATTCATTGCGGAATTGGTTGAGGTCCATTCCGGGCTTAACCTTTTCCAACAAATCACGGCGGTCCATGGCGATGAAAGCTCGCTTCAACGTTTCGGTAAGTGCCGTCAGTTGGTTGTGGCTAAGACCAGGGGAGTCACTGCCACCTTCGACTTGATGCATAGCTAAACCACTTAACAAGTGTTCAGCAGCTTCCTTGTAACAACCAATGTTGATGCACGAGACACCCAAGTTGTACCGAGCACGCACAAATGCGGGCTTCAATTCGAGAGCCTTAAAGTAGGCGTCCACAGCCTCCTCAGAACGGTTGGAGTTCGCAAGCGACGCACCCAAACGGTTCCACAAGATGGGATCATCGGGACGGATGGAAAGAGCTGCGCGGAAACAGTCGATAGTCTTGTCGAAGTCTTCGTTGGCGTAGAACAACACACCCAAACCCATTTGGACATCAGCATCCATGTTGGCCCCATCCGGCAGTAATTGAGCCGCCTGTAGAAACAATTCGGTCACACGCTTATTAATGGTAAACCGGTCCTCGTCGGTGATAGCCGGGTTCTGTTGACGAGCCCGCTCGGAGATTTGAGGGTATTTGGTGGAGATCCAACGTTCCAAAGTCGCAAAAGCAGCATTGTCATAGCCTTCATTGATGTAAGAAATGGCCAAAGTCATCAATGCCGCCGAGTTCTCAGGGGCAAGCTCGAGACATTTTTCAAGAGCCAGAATACCAGCGATTTCCTTTTCGTTTTGAGTTTGAACTTCACCCAACTTGAGCCAAGCGTCAACGTGTTCAGGGTTCCGTTGGATAGCAGCTTCAAACGCAAGAGCGGCTTCCGACAACTTAGCACCGTTTTCCATAAGTTGCAACCCAATCTCGTAAGGGTCGGCGTCTTGGGGAAGGTCCATGAATTGGTTCTGGCTTTTCTCTTCAAACAGGTATTCACCGAAGTTAGCTCTGGTACCGGCGAAGCGAGCGAAGTCCCGCTCCCATTGGCTCATGTTAGGGGGCAAGCCTTCGACTTGAGTCTTCTTGAATTCTTCGTATTGTTGAGTAATGAAATCGTTCTCAATTGCTTCGGAGTTGAGCCCATCCCACACTTCTTGGAAGGTGGCTTGGTACTTGTCGTCCACAATCAAGTCATCAGCCTTCTCTTCCTGAACATCAGCTTCCTTAGTGGTGGCTTCAGCCTCCTTTTCAAGGTTTTCGATTTCCTTAAACTGGTTATCCCAGTCAACTTGTTGTTCCTGATTCACCGGTTGCTGCTGCATTTGATTCGACTGCATGGGGCCACCGGCCATTTGCATACCCATACCCATGCCCATGCCCATACCCATCATGGGGCGGTAGCCACCCATGGTGGACATCGAGGCTGAGGGAGCAGCTACAGGCTGTTGGAGTTGAGGCAGTTGGTGGGCGAAATCTTGGGCCCAGTTGGAGTTTGCAGTGACGGGAGCAGCGTTTTGAGCCATAGGCGACGCTTGAATGGGACTAGGCGAGTGGGCTTGGAATTCAGCACCCCAGCTTTGCTGGTTTTGCGGAGCCCCCTTGGAGATCATGTTGAGCTCATGACGCATAGGTTGGAATTGAAACGCTTGACCGGGAGAACCACCGCCCATGAACTGCTCCATGTTTTGGCGGTTCTGCTGGTTCATCATATTCTCCAGTTTGAACCCCCCTTGTTGCATCATGGGGCCTTGAGCCACTTGTCTCTGAAGCGACCGGTCCTGCTGGGAGTGTTTGTTGAGCTGAGCAATCACATTGTTGTTGGCCGAACATTCGGCACCGCCTCCGACAAACGACATTATGGTTGGGATATCGCTAGTAGTAGGAGAAGCTTAGAGCCGATGGATAGGTTTTTGCTGCTAGCTTATGGGTGGGGCGCGGCGAGTTTTTAAAGTCTCATTTTTTCGCCGCCGTTAGTCAAAAGAGAGTGATCCGCGGGAGGGGGAGGGGCAAGATTAGAAATACAAAATTGACAGTTTCTTTCAATGTACTATGTGATTAGCACAGTATTCAGCTTATGATTACATCAGTACAATGAGCTAGACAGAAATCGTTAGAGTTCCATAGCTAAATGGTTTTTCATCGATCGGTTTCTGGAGCCGCCACTTCGGGGTTCCCCACAATATGGAAAACTTCGGTATCATGTGATAAGAGTCAACTGGACTGCACACAAGCCACTTTGAGAGGTTTCGGGAATTTTCTGGGGGTGTGAGCCGAAGACGTAAACGGCAGTGGCGAATGACCAGTGATGACCAATGTAGATTTGTTGAGTTTCGAAGTCTCATGCTTCACGAATTTGTGATGCATTCAAAGTAGCGTGACTTAAAGTATCAAAATATCAAATTTACGGAGTCGTCGGTGAGGACGCTAAGTTCTATTGTTTTTTCATATTAGTCTATACTTTAAGTTATGATGGTGTACACGGATTAGTGGTCAGCTTTAGGGGCAGTAGGCAATTGTTCCAAAGCCTTTTCAATGGCAGTAACACCCTTGAGCAAGTCTTCTTCCGAGATGACCAAAGGAGGAGCCAATCTGATGATGTGGTCGTGAGTAGGCTTGGCCAAGACACCTTGGTCCTTCATGAGCAAACACAAGTCCCAAGCAGTGCGGCCGTTAGTCTTCGAGTCATCGATAACAATGGCATTGAGCAAACCCTTGCCTCTGACTTCGGAGATGATGCCGTTGGACTTAGCCTTAAGCTCTTCCAACTTGGACCGCATCAATTGACCCAAAGTTTCAGCCTTTTCGACGAGGTTCTCTTCCTTGACCACTTCCAAGGCAGCAATGGCCACCCGGCACGACAAGGGATTACCACCGTAAGTGGAACCGTGGGACCCGGCGGTCAATGTGAGCATGATTTCCTTCAGCGAGAGCACGGCGGACACCGGGGTGACACCACCAGAGATGGCCTTACCCAAGAGAACGACGTCAGGCTTGACACCTTCGGAGTGTTCGTAGCAGAGCATCTTACCGGTTCTGGCAATACCAGTTTGGATTTCGTCGCAAATGAGCAACACGTTGTGCTTCTTACAGAGGGCCTGGACTTGAGGCAAGTAGTCGGCGGGAGGCACGACAATACCGGCTTCACCTTGGATGGGCTCAAGGAGAACAGCAGCAATCTTGTCGCCAGCGTTGTTCATGGCCTTTTCGATGTCTTCGATGACACCGTATCTGATGAGGGTCCCTTCAGCTTCACCGGGAATTTGGGGGCCCACACCCTTCAAGTAAGGGCCAAAGTCGGTTCTGGCATCGGGGTCGGTCGACATCGAGATAACCCCCAAGGTACGACCGTGGAAGTTGTCAGCGGCCGAGAGGATGATGGCTTCCTCGGGCTTAATCCCCTTCTTTTCGTAACCCCATCTTCTCGCCAACTTAAGGGCAGTCTCCACGGCTTCGGCCCCGGTGTTCATGGGCAACATCATTTCGTAACCAAAATATTCGGTCAAGTACTTAGCGTACACGCCAAACACATCCGACGAGAACGCTCTCGAGCAGAGAGTAAGGGTGCTGGCTTGGTCAACAAGCGCTTGCACGATCTTGGGGTGACAGTGACCTTGGTTGACGGCGGAGTAGGCCGACAAGAAGTCCAAGTATTCCTTACCTTCAGCGTCCCACACCTTAGCGCCGAGGGCCTTGTGGAACACCACGGGGAGGGGGTGGTAGTTGTGGGCCGAGTACTCGGATTCCCATTCTCTGGCGGTGGCGGAAGAGATGTTGAAGTCAACCATGTTTGTGTATGATGGTGGTCATGGGGCAATGGCTTGGCTTATATAGACGTGGCCAGTCATCACTCGACTGCCGTGAAATCCCCTATAGGCAAGCTCTCCCAGGGCTACAACCCCTATAGGCAGGTCACAGCGCAACGCGCGCCATGTGGTGCGGCACTTCCAGATGTGACGGATTGAGAAAGTGGGGACAAAAACTGGTCAGAAGCGGGTGGATATCACTTTGCCAGGGAAATATACTGGATTACCATGGTACCAACGCTCGTCTTTGGTAAATCTATACCCTAATTTGTTCGGAAGTTGAATGCCGCTTCTAATTCCGCGTCGCATCGGGAAATAATTCCGCACGCACCCCAGTTAGGGGATCATGAGGTGCATTCGAACATGATCCCGAAGATAATTTGGAAGAGACTAGCGATGAATAAGTATAGAAATGCAATATGTGCAATATAGCACTTAAATGTATGTCTATGAATGTCTACTACGCCTCGAGGTCTAAACTGTCGAGGAGCAGCTCTATGATTTCCATGTTTTGGTCATATTGGAGCAGCGCCTGCTTCATAATGTCCGTCTCTTCAATTTTGGCCCCTGACAATAAACCCACTCCCTCGATATCCGCAAACGCCTCTTTATCGATATATTTTTTCCCAAGATAATACCGAATGTCATCAATCACTTCGATTGTGTCGGTGGTTTGTCTTTCGGCGATCCGCTCAGCACTTTCAGCAATGATCGTGAGCATCTTTTCACGATCATTCTCGAAGACTTGCTGCAAATTGAACGCCAACATTCGAGTAATATGTTGTTCTAGTTTCTCTTGCTTCAATTGCCACGCAATGCGGAGAAGATCGTACCCATCATAACCAGTTGCGGGTTTTAAACTCTTGAACTCTTTCCACGTGAAATTGGGAAACTCCACAGTAATCTTCACAGCGCAGATCAGTTTCAATCTGGCAAGCAAGAGCTCATCAGCACAGAAAAGCAAATCGATGGCCTTGTCTAATGGAAGGGATGGGACGTCATCGTGATACAAGAACTCAAGAATCATTTCGGCGACGTCAGTGTCAGCACAATTCGCCAGTAGCTGAAGCACTGGCACGGACTTCAAATTCGGACGATCAACGACGGCCCGGTTCAAAGTCCGACCCGAATCCACAATATGCGGCACCTGATTGTTTTCCAAGAACAATGGAGACTTGAACATTGTTTCGAAGTATTCTGCGCGGGCTAACATCAGTTTGTGAGCTGGGTAATATACTGCTACTTCTCTCTCTGCATCTACTACACCCACGATGATGTCACAAAAAGTTTGATCAATCAATTGCTGTACTTGACCGCTGGTAATGTGGTCACTCAACTTGATGTCGCTAGCATCAACTTCTCCATCATCTCCAACAAGATCATCAACATCTAAAGCAACCTCAATGCGCTTGTAGAAGATCTCTTCGCGCAAGTAATTACGGAATTGTTCGCGAGCCGTGGTAGGGAATGCAAGAGTGTGTTCATTCTTAAGTCTTGCCGCCTCACGTACATCCCGAACCTTAGCAAGAGCGTCGAGAGCCGCTACTGCTTCGTCGAGATCCAAGCTTTCGGCATATTGGCGTACATCGTCGCCGGCGGACAAACTGTTAGGCTTCAAGTAAAGATAATCCACCACTGCCTTGAAAGCTTCAGGTTTGACAGAAGTAGGCATTGTAACAACTGCCTGCTTACTCCATTCGCCTCTTAACTTCTCCATAAAGTGTTTCGACCGAGTTGCCAACAAAAATCTATGCAAACAGACTGACTGATAGTCTCGCACCAAAGGTCCGTTTACATGGGGGAAATGAAAGCAAATATCAGCGGAAGCCGATGCAAGCGGACCCGTAAGACTGGAGATATGACTAGCAAACGGTTGCGCTGTATCCACTGCTTTTGACACGTCAAAACTGATCAAGAGATCGCGAATGCTATCGGTCAATGCCCCATAAATACAACGTGCTCCCTGGTAAGTGTCACGATCACAAACTGCCCCACGCTTGAGTAATAACTCCACCACAGGTAAGTGACCGCATAGCAGCAGTAGGATAAGGGGAGAGTAGTCCCACTCATCCACCATGTTGATGTCCAAGTTGGGGGTGGAAAGAAGTGCTTCAACCTCTTCAATATCGCCTTTACGGCAAGCTAGACAAAGAGCATCGAAGGCAGCGGCCGTTTCTTGATCCACCGTCTTTCCTGCCAGCGGAAACTCAGTGTATCTTAGTGATTGTTCGACCCCAGCAACCGGCATGATAAATACTAGGCGCGCCAGGTAGAAACCGCCACACTACGGATGAATTGAAGTTTCCCTCAGTGTATACTATTGCCACCAAAAAATTTACTATCAAATACAAAACAGTTACGAAGGATTCAATTGTGGATTAGTCTAAAAATGGTCTATTGCTGATGGGTTGGTTTAATAAATTAAGAAGTATATGAAGAAAATACATATGAATCAAAAGCGGTGGCGACGGTTGGCCTCTTCGTGCTGAATAACAAAAGTGACCACGTTAGTCATGTTCTCAAATCCGCGTTGATTACCTTTGATGCGATGCAAATGGAGGGACAGTGTATCCACCAAATCTATAATTTCGATCTTGAACCGAAGCTTTTTGCCATGGGCGTACTTGGCTGGAATAGACCCGTTGATCAAGCCAAACTCCTCATCCAATTCAATCAGCAGGATGGTACCTTCCATAGCCTTAAGCTGAAGATGCTTCTTGATAACTGTCATCAATTCCGCCAGTGAAAGCATTGAATTGATAACATTAGTATCTTTTTCCTGAAGGCGAGGATCTCTTACATCGGGTACACCAAACAAGTCAACTAAGCGGGAAAACCACGACTTACGTGGTGGGGCACTATTGTTTGTAACGGCTTCAGGGACCGGCCGGGGAGGGGGCGGTGCCTGACGCTTGGGTTTAAGAGACAACTTCCGTAAAAGAGTACCAGTCTTTTTGGGGAATCCACTTCCAAGTATTTCCGGCGTGTGGTTTATAGTCACTCGCTTGTTGTTCGTAACATTGTTGGCGTCGTTGGTTTCAGTTGGCGGCTTAATCCGAGTGGAAAAGATACGCGATGGTTCAGGGTGCAGAGCTGGACGTCTCTTCGGCATACTTTTCTCCTCAACATTAGGTTCGGGCAATTTAACCAGCTTGCGACGGCCAATGCCAATATCAGATATCTCAAGTGGCAGCAGCAGAATAGAAGCAATGTAATCGTTTGTCGGAACTCCTGCTACTGGGGTCAACACTTGCGAACTCAGCAATTCTGTTTTGGGTTCTTCTTCATCATCATCAAAACCAAGATCATCAGGATCGTTCATCGTCAAATCCTGTAAAGAAAACAGAGGTTGCAGAACGTCTTTCTTATGAGCAAAAGTATCATCAAAATCTTCATCCAGCGACAGCACAGTTGTCTCAGCGCCAATGCCCAAACCTGCTGAAAGTGGCTGCTCATCAAAGTCGGTTGTAATGGGCTGTACTTCGTAGCTTGAAAGCGGCCGCTCCTCGAGTAAAGGACCCACCGAGAATCTCGAGAACCGAGGATTGGGAATGGGATCTTTCCGAGAAGTCAGTGCAAGCAGCAACTGCAGGTTCTGTCCGCCTAATAAAGTACGATAGGTGGCTGAGTGTCTCGAGCGACGCTTCTCTGGTTCTTCAATCCGATTGTAGTCATCCAATGACAACTCTCCTTGGCCAATCGGCGCCTGCGCCGATGGATCGGAGTTGAGTTGCTCATTGAGGTTGAGATACAGCGACAATTTCCGCGATCCCAGTTGTTTTAAGTTCAGAGAAAACAGTCGAGTAGGAGCAGGAGCAATATTGATGCCGAGCAGTTGGAGCACTTTTTCCTGAGGTGAACCCACACCTTTACCCCGAACCACCAGACCCTTCCGCCGAGGATCAAGCGACGTTGGCGCCAGTTCCATCAGCTCTCGTGAAGACACCAGCGCTCGCTGAAGTTCATTCTGGGCTTGACGTTGCATTTGTACAAGAAGCAGACGTTGTTGTCTTTGTGCTTCAAGTCGTACCAGCTCCGTCAGCTCAGTACGAGATGGACGTTTTTGTGGCGGCGGAAAGTTCTCTTTGTTGTCAAGAGGCGGTAATTGGGGAGTAGGCGGAACCGGCAGTGACGCATGACTTTTCTCAGCCTCACCAGAGTCAGCAGGATTGTCTTGGAGATGACGTGTTTGTTGTGGGTGATGCGGCGTTTCAGCAGCAGCAGGACGATATGATGTTTTGGCTTGAGCGGCAGATTGACTGGTTGCAACGGTTTCCGAGCCGGAACGTACTTGATCAGAGTTGTCAGTTCACCGGTCAATTCATTAGTGACGGTGGTCTTGACAACCAGGGTCAGTCGAGGTATCAGAGCTTTCGGTTTAGGAGGAGCGGCGTCGAGATCCACGTCTGCCGCGTAATTCTCGTTACGATATTTCAAGAGCAAGTGGTAAAACATCTTCTCAGGTGATCGAGAAGACAGTAGTAGCCGTTTGATGATGGTCTCCTCGGCGCAGTTATGAAAGAGCACCAGGAGATTTTTGAGAATTTCCCGGTCGATTTTCTCCCGAGATTCTATCGCTGGCAAATCATAGTAGGCAGGGCCTTGACGGTTACGACTAGACCGCCCATAGCCATACTTGCTAAGCAACGGGTGAGCGAAGATCTCATCGGTGGTGATTCTTTGGTCGGGGTCAACACGAAGCATCCGCAGAATGAGATCCTTGGCAAGTGGCAGAAGGTTTGGTGGCATATCAAATTTACCGCGTTGCACTTTCAATAAAAGCTTACGGATGTTTTCGTCGTCGAAGGGGAGGTGGCCGGAAAGCAAGGCGAAAAGAATGATACCACACAGCCATACATCCAGCGGGGCACCGTGGTAATGGCTGCCGGCGACAATTTCTGGCAGGGCGTAGTGTGGCAGCCCACACAGAGTTTCTAGTAATTTTTCTTCCATTTCCAACGCCGCCATCCCAAAATCGGCGATTTTGATGTTGTTGCCTTTGTCCAACAAGATATTCTCAGGTTTAAGATCACGGTGGCAGATATTAAACTGGTGTAAGTAGCTAATACCCTGGACGATCTGGGAAAAGTAGCGCACAGCCTCTTGTTCGGGCAAGCATCGCTTTTTGATCAAGTAGTCAAACAACTCGCCGCCTTCCACGTATTCCAAGATGAGGTAGAGATCATTACGATTCTCCCACACGTCATACAATCCCATGATGTGCGGATGCAGAATGAGCTTCATGATGATAATCTCTCTCTCGATCCCGTAAGGTAGACGGTCGGCGTGGCGTTTGTACTTGGGGTTTTCCAACTTCTTGAAGTTGGCCTTGGGCACGATCTTCACTGCTGCCAAGCGGCCATTGTGGACGTGCTTTGCCAACCTCACTCGACCCGTCAGGCCTCGACCCAACGTTCGCCCGAGTTTCCAGGGCCCGATGCGGTTGTGGGACTTGCGCTTTTTCAGAGACGACGTGGTCAGAGTGGAGATCTGCGAGAGCCGTTTGGTGGCATTGGTCACCAGCTCCACGACCTTGTCCACGTTTTCCTCCGTCATCACCGTGGTGCCGATGGTGTGTTGTAATGGCGGCACTAATTAGGAGCGATAGCCAAACAAATCGAGGTGACGCGGACCTGTACGAGGCATGACAAACGTCGCCTGCGGAGCGGTAAACGCGTCGCCAGGATGGGAAAAAAACCAGGGCGACCGAGAGGAGGAATGTTACACGTTCGCTAGCTACTAGAGACATTGTCTGGGGTCGATTAGGGTGGGTAGAAGTCGTGGTTATTGGGGTGTCGTCGAGTTCGTCCTGCATACGGGAAGGCTGCTCCCCGCGTCACAGGGGGCACCCACACCCAAACACGCCCATGGAAAAGCGGCTTGAGCATGGACGGTGTCACTTGCGAGGGGAAGGCCGTGTGCAGGCCAATGTCCCGCTCAAATTAATCTACCATAATCTAGACATAGCCCACTTTACTTCTACCGTTTGTCTGAGGCGATTGGCGGCCCCGTACATCGGGGACATCGCCTCGCTCTCCCTCACCCAGCGGTGAATATTTCCCTTATGCCGGCCAATAAGCTCGCACTTTTCGGTGATCCACAAAATATCGTACCGGCGACACTTGCTAATGCGAAATGGTAACGCATCTGTTGCCGCAATCGCGGCAGCACTTGACATGCCATTTACCTGCTAACGATACAGTTATATCGCTTATAGTAAACGACACGATTTAGCCTATTGATAGAGTTAGGGTACCTATCTGTTGTATATCTCATAGTGATACTGGTCACCCTTCTCTGCAACTGGTCCTGCCGAGTGGCTATTGTTCTCGCCGCGAGCACCGCCATTACCTGAAATTTCGGGGTACGGCCAAATGTAAACATAGGGCCACGGCTTCTACTTGGCACCAATTCCGGCGGACAAACCGTGTCAGGATTGCTGGAACACGCTGCGTGATCGTAAACACAAAACGCCAGCGCTCATAAGGCGTCGACTCGTGGGATTAGATGGTGATCTCGCCGTTCGTCGATAAACACACCGACGCGTTTCTCTATCACTGTCGAAACATTTGGCAACCACAATCACATGGGATAGCCATAATCTAGAGACTACAAATTGACCGAAAATGTGGCCTCCGTTGTCTCAACATTCTTTTTGAGGTTAACCTTCCCTAGTTGCCCCTTCGGCAATTCTTCCACCGCAAATCTCAACGATGCAAGGGTACGCGTCGACGAACATTCGATGAGGAGGTTCAGGGTCCTTGGTGATGCCGAAGACCTAAAAATGCTGTTTAGCTGCCGACAGTGGAATGGTTTCGCTTAAAATTATGACAACTATAGCCGTGTAAGGCAAATTGAAGATTTTACTGTGAATGTCGTAAATGAAACAATATAAGCTTCGAATAGCTATTTTCATTGACGACATGAGCCAGTGGAGTAAGGACACGATGTGTTGGTTGGAATTGCTGGTGTAACCACCATCGGCCCACGTTCAGCCCTAAACGGCCCTTTCCCTGCATACAACCCTCGGAGCCAATTTTTCTCTTCCGCGCTGGCACAAATTTTTCACCACCCATCACTGTAAGTATTGATGACGTTTCCCCAATTGTCTTGGCTTTCCGCTAACGTGTTAGATGTCCAACACTGAAAGAACTTTCATTGCCATCAAGCCCGACGGTGTCCAAAGAGGTCTCATTGGCCCCATCCTCTCGAGATTCGAAAACAGAGGTTACAAGTTGGTTGCCATCAAGTTGTGCACTCCCCCTGAATCGCAATTGAGAGAACACTACGCCGACTTGCAAGAAAAGCCTTTCTTCCCCTCGTTGTTGTCGTACATGATGTCCGGTCCCGTCCTCGCCACCGTCTGGGAAGGTAAGGACGTTGTCAAGCAAGGTAGAGCCATCTTGGGCGCCACCAACCCCTTGCAATCGGCCCCCGGTACCATCAGAGGTGACTACGCCGTCGACATGGGTAGAAACGTCTGCCACGGTTCCGACTCGGTTGAATCCGCCAACAAGGAAATCAACTTGTGGTTCAAGAAGGAAGAACTCGTCGAATACAAGTCGGCCTTGTTCTCGTGGATCTACGAATAAGCGTGCTTCCGTAACACATTAAACGTTTGTAGCTCTAAGCTTGAAGTGTAGACATCATCGCATTCATCAACGTCACTGGTTGACGCCAATTATAACGTCAATTGAGAAAGTCAATTGAGAAGAGAGTTGTGGTTGATGAGAACATTGGTAGTAATTGCCACATCGTCTTCAAATCTGGAAAACTCTGATTGTTTTCTCTTAATGCTGACCGTTAGATATTTACTATTTTGTTGATCGACCGTCAGAGGGTTCACGCGTATATGGTAGCGCGCATTAGTCTCCACCATCAAAGATGGATGAATTATTCAATGACGTAGAGGACGTGCCCGACGACGCCCAGGACGACCTCCACGAACAGGACGACGTCGACATGGACTTTCTGCAGCTGGCCAATGGCGACGATGCCGGCGGCGGCGACGACGACGACGACAATGACGATGACAACGATGATGACGACAACGACGACAACGACGACGACAACGAGGATAACGACGAAGATATGGAGGACGACAACGACGAAGATAACGATCAGGAAGAAGAGAACGACGACGACGAAGAGATGGAGGAAGATGATGAGGAAGACGACGACTCAGAACAGCCGACGCAGGACGTGAAGATGGAAGGCACCGAGGCCAGTGAGGGTCAGCCGGAGTCAGTCTCTGCTGATACCGAGTCTGGCGAAGCTAATGAAGACGCTAAGGAGTCTACTCGGACATCCGCTAACGGTGATACCGCCCACGAGCCTTCTCAGCCTCGACCGCGAGTCGACAGCACCTCGTCTCCCCGACAAGAGCAGCAGTTCCTGCCGCGACAGCTGTACCGTGTCAAGGCTCAGCTTGCTCTGAATTTTGATATTATCCCGCTGGTGGCCATCCCCTACGCTGGCCAGTGTCAATCGTTGGCGTTTACATCGGGGCCTAAATGGATTTTGACTGGGGGTGAAGATGGGTTTATTCGCAAATACGATTTCATACAATCGATCGAAGGGAAACTGCCATTGACGATGGCTCAGAAGCATAATCTTGTCGATCTGATAACAAAAGCCGGGGTCATCGTCCTGTACTGGGAGAACGAACAGCCGGTGACAACGGACGAGTTGCTTAAACTGCACCCGAAACTAAAGCCGAGCGACTTGACGCTGGCGACAGCATCTTATGAACCTAAGACGAGTCCTGTGTACGCGTTAGAAGCTCAAAAGCTGGGGCTTTGGTGTTTATCAGGGGTGCAACTGGGAGGTATCAGTCTCTACTCGATGCGTCATTCAGAGGGGCAAATACAGTACTACTTCCGCGATGCTAAACTGGGCGGACTGGCCACGGGCCACCTGGATGCGGTGTCGGTGCTTAAACTTAACGCCGACCAAACGCAATTCCTTTCTGGTTCATGGGATAAAACCGTCAAGCTCTGGGATTTAAATACTGGCGGCAACGTCATGACCTTTGCCGGTAGCACCGGTCAGATTTCCAGCATCCAATTCCGACCACAGGAACTAGACAGTTTCGTCATGGCCGATCCTGGTGGCAGTGATAACAACCAAAACAATGACGACGTCGACCTGTTATTTGGCAGTGACGATGACGAAGGTGAAAAGGGTAATGAGCCCAAGAAAGAGGTGCCGTCACTGCTGCTGGCGCTGTACCCTAATTCGCAGGTGTTTATGAGTTCAAGTATCGACGGGACGATTAATATCTGGGATATTCGATCGCCGCAGGCGGTGCTTAAGCTCGGAGTGCCCAATGGTACCCCTCCTTGGTGTATGTCTCTGACATGGTCCAACGACGGCTACCACGTGTTTGCTGGTCGCCGTAACTCGACGGTAGAAGAGTTTGACCTTAAGATGCCTCATATCAAATCAGTGGCGGGTAATCTGGTCCCCAACGTGCTGAAGACGCTTGTGTTCCCTAAGATTCTGGGCCCGGTGCTGACACTTGCCACCATGCCCAATGAGAACTTCTTGCTCTGTGGGTCGGTGGATAATATCCGGTTATACAACCTCAAATTGTACGACGATTTGGCGGCGACGGGAAAGAAGCAAGCGACGCCGTTTACGATTATTCCCGGCCACCATGGCGGTGTTCTCTCGTGTCTCTGGGTCGACGATACCGGCAGATTCATGGTGAGTGCCAGTGGCAACCGTGGGTGGGGCCAGTCGAACTATACCGAGACGGTGATCATATATGAGATAGATTTTGACGTCTAGAAAAGAAGGATGGAAGTGTAATAATAAGTTTCTAGCCCCTGGCAACATACGATAATACAACATCATAATATACAAAAGCCCGCTTTTGTCACCACTGGCCCCGGCCCAACCCGACCAGGTTGATCATCAGGATCAGCGGTGTCCATTGGGGTTGGTGGAAGACCCTCGTAAGCACCACCAGGGCCCAGTCGGAGATCTTCGTTTGCACGTACTGCAGTTTGAGAAGCAAGTGGATGAGGACGCCGACAAACCCTACGGTGAGGCCAATCTTATAGAGATTAGGGACGTGTTTCACCGAGTCAAATTTGGAGTAGATCACCAGTGGAATGAGCGTCAGCGTCAGCAGCGCTAACGACAAGTCGTCGGAGCTCTCAGAGATGTTGAACTCGGCCACTTCCTCGTCCTGGATCGCCATGGTGGCGTCGAGGTCGTCCACCGCTATCAGTTTGCCCGCGAGCACTGAATGAGGGTTACACTTTTTAAACCACAAGTCGTAAGTGGTCAGCGAGTTGGGGAGCTCTTCAAGCTTGAAATCTTCATAAAATGTCAGGGCTTTCTCGAGGATGACCAGCCAGTCGTCAACTTGAGCAAAGAGCTTTGTCGGCAGTGCTAGTGAGTGGATGATGTCGGGGTCAGTTTCCAGGACAAATTGGTCGCGGTAGTGGACGAGGGCAGCTGTGTAGATGTAAAGAGCTGCTGATATTGATCCGCGTTTAAGGATAAAGTCCCAAATGGTGAATACGTCGGCCACTTTATTGACGTCATGAGAGAATAATGTGATGATGGAGGAAATGGCGGGGAAGAAGTCGTAGTTGGGACGCTCGCCCAACGCGGTATACAACTCGGGGTCGATGGTCTCGACGAGAGCCATAATAAGCCGCAAATGACACATGGTGAGGCCGATGTCTTTCACCATATAGTCACGCAAATAGTTCACCGTGAGCATTTGTAATATGTCAAAAGCGTCGCTGCTTCCCTCAGGACACACAAGCAACACGATCAGGGCCACGTCGTGGTAGCCTTGGTAGTAATTAAGACACGGGTGGTGGCGGAGCACCGAGATCACGAGTGTCTTGAGGCGCTTACGCAATTGCGCCACTTCCTGGGGCAGCCAGATCGCCGTATAGCTCAAATTGCCCTCGTCTATCGTCAGCAGACTCAGCACCGGCGGGTGGAACAGGATGGCGGTGAACAGGCGGTCGATGTCGAGGGCGACCTGCGCCTCGTCCGGGTGCGGGGGCAAGTCGACGGTGGCGAACTCGACCAAGTCCGAGGTGAAGCTCAGCAGCAGGAGGCGCAAAAGTCGCCGCCACCGCTCTCGCCGGGAGGCATGGGCGTCGATCATCTTTGAGGGAGGGGTGCGCTATAAACTGCGGACGGGACGACTGCGGGCCTTGTGAGAGAAAAACTCCATGAGTGTGTGTGTGCGAGAGAGAGCCTAGAAGCCCCGGTCGGCTCCGAACAGACCCCGTCATCGCCGCCGGTCATTCCGGTAATATAGGGGGATTGTCGGTTTTGTCAGTGGGGGTGGTGGAGGTTGTAGTATTTGGTAGTGGTAGTGGGGGGAGAGGCATTGTTTTTAAGGGGGGGTTGTGCTTTTTATCTGGGGTAAGGTGGTGGGGGGTACATAGTAGGTGTGCCAGTGGGAGCCCCAGCGTCACACGAGAGACAGCCAATCACACCATCGATAATCGTCACCGCAACCAAGAGTAGTGCTAGTGAGGGTTTGATTAGGGTATCTAACCACATGGACGACACCTGGTGCTAAAGATAATCACAAGACAGGCCAAAACGCTGAAAAAAGGAGTACAGGGATTTTGGTGTTTCATATCTCTTCTAGAACAGTGTCAAATTTTGATAGATTTAAGTGGTATTTAACTATAAACACTCAGAAATCCCGGTCAATGCTCTCCAGGTCGAAATTGGTCGAAATCGTCCACATCGGTTGGATTGGCGGTAACGCAGGGACTAAGCTTTCATGGTGGAGATTGTGCGGGATAAACCCGGTGGTGCGCTGCTGGCGCTGCACCGTTATGTCATGAGCGCTCTTCCTCTTCTCCGAGCTCAGCTCGGCAAGGCATAGAGATTAGTAGGGGTCAGCACTGGCCACATGCCACCCCTACTAAGGCGCCATCGCCGTGGATCGCTCACGGCATCGGGGGAAGGGGCGGATGCAGCGATAATCCGGAATTTCATCGTCCTGGGCGGCGGGCGTCGTGCGTCGCTCTATTGTTTCCATGCCTCGATGCCGCGACACCCCATCGCTAACAGGCGCCGCCAGCACCGGCACCAGCGCTAATTTCGGCAGCTGGGGAGGGGGGCTGTGTTGGGTAGGGGATAAAACCGTTGGGTGGGAAGACGCTGATAACCCCGATGAATGCACCGTCTAACCCCCGTGGCCACCGGCTGCTAAGGACTCCATCCACAGCGCTAGCTCGCCACGGGTGGGCTCCACCGCCAACGGTACCTAGATCCGAGCGGCCGGCCCGCGAGTGCGCCCGAGCGGTAGAGCCGTGGCGCAAAAGTAGTAGTAATTACTGGTTTTTCCTGTGTGTAATAGCGCCGATAGTTTAGACCTAATGCGCTATGGGATGTTGATACGATAAAGCATTCCATCATGTATAAGCAGCCGCCGGTAGGGGGGCTATTGTCGCTGTGGGGCTTGATGTTTAGTTGTCGTCCTGCACACAGTCGGAGTATAAAAAACCGAGCTCCAGCGCCAGCCGTGGGGCGCCGACCACTTGAGAGATCCCTTTCCCCTCATTACATGGACGCCCGCGACGACGACGAGTACGTGACCGACACCAGCACCGTCGGCGGCGCCGTCGACGACGGCCACCAGCGGCGGGCGCCGCTGTTTCTCCCGATACCGCCACCACCGAAAGTCGGCGTGTTCCCTCCGTATAACCCTCGCCACCAGCTTCCGCCGCCGGTGCTCCAGCCAGCGCACCCGCCGCTCACGCTGACGCTCGCCAGACGACGAATGAGGGTCACCCGCGCCTGTGACCGCTGCCGCCTGCAAAAGATCAAATGCCTGGGCACCAATCCGTGTGTCACTTGTAATAAGCACAAGAAGCTGTGCACGTACACGACGCTCGCCGAGCAGACGGGGCTGGCGCTGCTGGCGCCGCCGGTGAAGCGGCCCAAATTAGACTTCCGCCAGGTCGAGCCGTTCGGGTTGCCGCAAATGGAGCCCACCGGCGCCGAGTACGTGCGCCACTTAGAGAACCGGGTCCAGTACTTGGAGCTGTTACTAGTGCCGAGGGGCGACCAGCTCTTCGCTAAGCCGGAAAGCGACGACCCCATGCACCCCGACATGAAGGCTTTATTGCTCAACGAGAGCGCCAAGTGGCGCTACCTGCGCCGCCACCAGAACTCGCTTATCAACGCGTTGTGCAAGCAGATCTACAGCCAGTTGCTGGACGAGCTGAAGGCGAAAGTGAGCATTCCGAGAATGCAGTACTTTGCCTGGAACATGAGCGGCACCCACTACTTGCTGGCAGAGCTGTTGCCGCCTACTCCCTCCATCGACGGCTTATTTGATGAAGCCGAGTACCTAAACTACTTCTTCCAGGACATTAACCCGTTGTTTGCCATCATCCACGAACAGGTATTCCGCGACCAAGTGGTGGCGTACCACAAATTGATGGCGGAGGCCGACGGCGACCACCCCAGCGTCGACGACCGCCAGCTGAAGGCGTACCACGCCAAGTTGTTCTCAGCGATTTTGATGTTGTGCTACGTGCTCGCCATTAGAATGAAGCAGATGCTGTTGCCAAACCCGCTGGTGACGATGCTTAAGCTCGAAGAGCGCTTGTTCAAATACGCCCACAAGGTGATCCTGGTGCTCCTGTTTGAGTGGGAGCTGTTTGAGTTGTGCCAGGGGTGGCTCTTGATCACGATGTACTTGCGCATCGCCTACCGGCAAACGTCAATGTACCACGCGTTGGGGCAGGCGATCATCATGTGTAAGCTGATGGGGTTGGGGCTAGATCTGCAGCAGTGGATCCGGTGTACTCCCTACGAGGAAGTTAAGGCCCGCAGAGTATTTTGGCTGGTATACTCGATGGACCGGTGTCTAGGGCTCCAGCTGGGGAAGTATTGTACTCTACGCGACGAAGACCGAGGCCGCACCTTCCCCCCGATGGAGTACCCGCCGCTGCCCCGCGATCTGTGGATCACCTTACCCGCTTTCGCCATGATCCAGATCCTGCGACTAGCCAATTTCGTCCACACCAGCCCCACGGACGTGCTTGAGCTCAGCAAGCTCCAACAGATCAATACCGAGCTCTACCAGTTGAGCCAGTGGCTTGACGAGAACGGGTTTGCCAATGCCAACATCATTAAGGAGGGGGGGCTCACCGTATACGCCCAGGTGAAGCTCAACTACTATGACCTCGTCCTCACCGTCCACGGCAAACTGTTGTACCTGTTGCTTGACCGCCACACCTCCAAGGCGCTCAAGATCACCATGGTGGTGGACGCGATGCAGGGGACCATCGACATCGTCGAGCGCCTCCATCGCGCCGGCAAGCTCTTCACTCCCTGGTGGTTGACGATGCTTTTACTATTCAACAACGGCATCGCCGCCTGCTGCCTCATCCACGGGGGCACCTTCATCAGCCAGGCGCGCGAGATCCTCCACAAGCTGGTGAAATACCTAAAGATCCTCCGCAAGCTGCCGGTACGCGACGAGCTGAATAAGCTCATTGTGCGCGAGCGGTTCAAGATGGTTAAAGAGTGTATTTGGGCGGTCAAAATGACGAACCACATCTTGCTGTTGCGGCTTCAAGAAGACATGGACGCCATCAAACTGGTGGGGATCGACCACGGGCTGAGCGACGTCAACCAGGCGCTGTTCAGCCAATTGGGGGTGATGCAAGAGGACGTTACCCCTCACGAGCCCGAGTACCAGACGTTGCTCGGCAAGGACGTCCCCGTCGACGACGACCAGGAGGCGTTTGACGACTTGCTCCTCAACCTCCAGTGGTTCGACCAGTGGGGCGATTTTTCCCTGGTCGACGGCCTCGACAAGCTTGGCGATAACGGCACCACCGCGTGTGACCCGAGCATATGATTTTCACGCCTACGAGGGTACCAGGGCGCTAGCCGCGCTGTGATCAGCCCACGCTGGTAGCCGGCAGTTACGAGGGACGGGGAGGCTACGCCGCACCTCGAGGCACGGGATTGTTTTTGAGGTGAATGTGCATGTGAAAGTGACAGTGGTGTGGGTGTTGCCGTTCGGCTTGCGGTCGACATTGTCTTTAGCCGGGCTCGCCCCCAAAGTGCATGTGATAAGTGTGCGGTGCCGAGTCTCGCGGTGCAAGTGTCGGCCATTGAGCAGCTCATCTGCGATAAGCGTGCTACCACCCACTGAGAGATAAGCAGATCCAGGAGTATCAGAGAGAGCCCCTAAACACTAACTTGGTAGTTACACTCATAATACAATAACCACTACGATTGAAACAGATCATACTAACAGTAGAAACCGCCACCTATTTGTCGTGGCTGCACCCCTCTTCCCCAGGATTTTCCCCAACCGCTAGCCACGTTCTCGAAGGCCGTTGGCGGTGGCGGCGGTGTCCTCGTTCCCGATCGGGAAATTTCGACGCTGCAG